GATCCCACGGCCTCAGCCTCATATCTGTCTGTCCCTGCATGACCCCACAAAGCTGCTTCACCCCAGCTGAGGGAGCCAGGTGCTGATGCCAGTGGGCATGCACATCCCACCATCCATGGGTGTCCCCTCGTGGTGACAACGCCTCCGAGTGACACTATGCTTGTACCAGCACCAGTGTGCCATCCTGCCCGGCAGGGTTAAACATTAACAGGGACTGCTGCCAGGGCAAGGCCAGGTGAGTCTCAGGAGGGGGTAAGGATATTGTTTTGGGAGAAAGCATTGCTTAGAAAGTGCTCAGCTCTCTGGTTGTTCTGGTCATCTCCTCCCACCCAGCTCCTCCTCAGTTTCCTTCAGGGCCAGGCTTGATGGGGCCCTGGGCAGCCCTGAGCTGGTGGGGAGCAGCCAGCCCATGGCAGGAGTTGGAGCTCTATGGTTATTAACTTCCCTTCCAACCTAAGCTATTCTGTGGCTCCATCCTTCCCAGCTGCTGCCTCCACTTCTGGTGGCCAAGCTTGGCACTTCACCCTGTGGGGAGGGGATTTCTGACATCTGCTAACATGTCTTTGGCTAGGGGATAGCTGCTGGAGGTGCTCTAAGCTGGGGATACACCAGTCCTGTTTCTGCCCCTGCTGCCCCCAGTGCTTGGTATGGCTGCAGCACTCTCACCCGCTGCAATCTGTTCACAGCTGTTAACATCAGCTGTGTTCTCCAGGGCACATGGTGCCTCTCAACAGAGGATGGCTCAGCACCAGGAACACGGTGTGAGTGGGGACAGCCTGGGGATAGCAAAGGAACAAGCTGTGCTGCTGCAAGGCCCTGCAAGCGGGGTTTCAGCTCCCAAAGCAAGGAGGAAAAGGGCATCTCTAGGTTGACCTTGGCTGGAAATCACGGCTCCTGAAATGCTGGTTGTCCTGAGTGGTCACGGCCAGCCCTGCCCTCTCCTGGACACAGCTTGCTGGGAAGCGTCCCAGATTATGAGAAGTCCAGCATTGGCTGTTTGAGGGGCTCAGCTCACGTGAGTCCATTCATGGAACCTGAGTGCTGATTTACCACGTGAGCCACGCTCCTTGGAAAACAGGCTCACGGGGCAGGGAAATGCACATTGCTCTGCGTCCCGGCACCTTCTTGGCAAGCAGGCACTGGCTATAAATAGTGCCCAGCAGCCTGGGATGCGTCCATCCCTGCAGCATGGGTAGAGCTGTGCAGGTGGGCTGCAGCTCTGCTCCTCTGTAAAAGCCCACATTGGGATCCTCTCCCCAGCTGCTCCCGGCAAAGCATGGGCAGAGCAGAGCTGGCACGGATGGAGCAGCACATCTATCAAAATGAAGACAGCTCCTTGGGCACAGCCATACCTCATCCCAGCGTCCAGGGCTGCTTATGAAATTACTGGGACCATACAAATGGCAAGTTTTGTTTCAGCAGACACAGTGTCCTGCGGGAGATAAATCTCTGACCCAGTAATTGTATTTCTTCCTCCTTGGCTTCGCTTAAATGGGTTTGAAGCTCAGTGGTGTGGTGGGGATGGCTGGGAAGGAAGAATTGGGTGAGGGATGTAAAGGGCTCCACAGCCCATGGATAGAGGTGGGTAGAGGTGCCCCCACGTTTCTCCAGGTATTTTGTGTGAAGAGATGCATCTGGTAGTGCTTTCCCATAGCACTCAATGGTTGTGAGCTTTAGGCCAGTGGTGCAAGCCCACCCCTTCCTGAGCGTGCCAAAAATTATTGAAATTCTTCTCATCAAAAAGCCAGATAGAGAGTGGTCTTGTGCTCTGTATTCTGTGGAGCAGATGCAGCTCTGGCAGGCAGCCAGAAAAACTCTATGTGAGCATTTATATGTGTATTTCTATATAAATGAGGAGGGTTTCTTCCTGCTTTTTGCATCCACGCTGCTCTTCCATGCTTGCAAGGGCATGGCACAATCCCTCTCCTTTTGGTTTTACTGCTCAGCTACAGCAAGATGATGGATGGGGGCAGAAGCAAAAGTAAAGTCTGCCCCTGGGGCTGCATAAATAATGGGACAGAATGGGGTGCAATTGCTCCTCTGTCCCTGTGGGCCTTAATAAGTACCCAGCCATTGAGGTTCCTGCACAATGAGGTAGATACAGGTCTGTGCTGTGATGTCAGCATCCTCACTGATGTCCTCAGTTGCCTTCCCATTGCTGTCCCACCAGGATGGTGCTTGGAGCTCAAAACACACTGTCTGTGAGTGCAGCCAACTTCCTCATCTCCAGGAAATTTATAGTCTGGGCCCAGCCTTGCTGACCCGCACTCTATCCATTGGGTTTCCCAGCCAGGGCCTTGAGGAACTCAAGCAGTGCAGCCAAGGTCAGCTCGCAGGTCAGGGCAGAGCCGGCAGAGCCTCCAGCTGTGATTTATGTCCCACCTGCTGCTTCCTCATTTTCAACACCTCATTACATCCTCGGATCCCTGCACGCAGCGTTGCTGGGGGATGCCTGGCCATCCCCAGGTGCTGAGGCTTTGGTGAGAAGGGAGATGATGACCAGCACTTTGCCTATACCATAGCACATCTTGAGCATTCAGGCAATTCATTTTTGCCTCTGGGTGGGTTTCTTTGCAAAGGCACATATTTGGGATGGGTTACCCAGCACTGAGACATTCCTGGCTTCACACCCAACTCTGCTCCAAGCACAGCTCCTCCAGAGACTTGCATGGAATCGCTATTTATTTTAGCTCATCTCAACCTGCAGTGTGGCTGCATGGCTGAAATCAGCTGCAGCAGCCGAGATCCTGGAAGAGGTGCTACATTTCAGAATGCTCTTCTATATCCAGCATCATTAACCCAAGGTAATGAGGACCTTTGTGCATGTACACTCTGGACCTAACAAAGTTGTCCTGATGGTGATCCCAGCTTTTGAGCAAGGTAAAGCTTGGGTGCCCTGGGACAAGGTGCTGTGCTTGCAATGGGGCTGGAGCATGCATGGGACAATGCTGCTGGTGCAAAGCTTGCCCGTAAGCCAGGGCCTGAGGAGGCTGAGTTTCCTGGGCTGGTGGGATCTGCCAGGTGCCCCTGGGTTACTTTCAGTGTAAAACACCCTCGCTGCTGCAGAAGGGTCACACTGATGATGCTGGAGGGCTGGGTGTTTGCTTTCAGTGCAACAAATGTGGGTGTGAGGTGTTCGCAGCCAGCAGCAAGGCAGCACTGGTGCAGAACAGCATGGGTGGTGCTGGTGGCACAGCTACACTCCCAGATCAGTGACAGCATCACACATCAGCCCATGCCACCTCCTGAAAGCTGCTTTCTTCCTGATGTGGCTCAGCACTGCCCAGCGTTGACACTGCCCAATATTGCCATTGCTGGATGCAGACTGGGCTGTGACAAACAGCATCCTCGGCTCCCTGCTGCTGCAAGGCTCCGGCTCCAAAGGCAGCAGAGATGCAAGAAGTTGCTTTAAGGATTTTTTTTTCCCCAGTTCCTATGCTGGTGGGAGCGATGGCTGTGAGAACTGCCCCCTCTTCAGGCAGAAGGGCTGAAGGGTCCCCAGCCCGCTTCCCACATCAGCAGTTATCCCCAGTTCAGCACACACCTATCCGACACAATTCGGGTTTTCTGTAAGCAGTGCCAAAACACTGCCCATCACTGAGGAGCTGCTCTACAGCTCTGCTGCCCTGGAGATGCAATTTGATGCTGCTGCCATATAAACATATGCAAAACTGTAACAGTCTGGGTCCTAGCAAGGTTCAAGGGGAATTTGTTTTTCATCTCGTTGTGCACTGAGTCAGGTCCCACGTGGGCAGAGCCCCAGTGCTGCAAAGCAGGATTTGCAATCAGATGGCACAAGAAAGATACAAAGGGGGTCTGAATGTTTGGCATCTTGGGGGCTTCCCTTGGGAGTGTGAGAGTGGGCATGTGTCCACGAGGCTTGGAGCAGGCTGTCATGTGTGCAAGAGATCTGGGTATATAGGGTGCCTGGGATGAATGGGGCTCGAGGGCTTTGCCATACCCAACTGTGTGCACAGTGTAGAACTGCAGAGCACAGACAATCCTTGGCTGCAACACAAACCGTGTTCTCCCTTTTTTACTACTGCAGGAAATGTCATTGGAAAGAGCCTTTGGATAGCACAGTACACAGGGATGAGGGTGGTGGGGAGAAGCAGCATCTCAAAGGGAAGCCTCACCCCATGCACAGCAGCATAAGGGCTGTGGAGACACTGCCATTTGCCAGTCATCTCTGCAGCCCTGGAAAGAAGCACAGGATCCAGGAAGTGCTATGGAAGAATCTGCACTGTGAATTTTAAATGGAAGGCAGCCCTGAAGTGGCAATATATGTGTTTGCATGCACAGCCCCATGCCAGCATTCTCACCTTTGCATTTTGGCATCTAGAAATTGTATTTGAATTCTGGGTGTGGAAGGTGTGTCCATTCACCCATGTCCACCATCTGGTCCCAGGGCCATCCTGTGGGTCCATTGTGGTCCCCTCCATGGGATGGAAATGAAGAGCTGGTGCAAGAAAGCTCTAGCAGATGAATGTGTGAGTTTCTTCGTCCCAGCACTGCTGCTCCTCACCCTACACTGTGGGTTTGAAAGGGTTTCTAAGCTCCTGGCACCACCTCTGAAGAAAAACAAAGACCCAGCCCCGGAACGGAGCTGTGGGTAGAAAAGCAGATGCTTCATCACTCCTCTTTGCTGGAGGATGGCTGGGAAGAGGAGGCTCAGCAAATGAGAGTATATTTCATGTTGACTTTGCTATTTGGTGCAAAGCCAGAAAGCCAGAGTATTCGGTGGGGTGGGGGGGGGGTGGGGGGGGGAGGCGGAGGGGGGGGGAGAGGAAGATTAGCTTTGCTGCAAAAGAAAACCAAGTCATTCTGCCAGGGAAATCTCCTCTGAGGTCTGAAAAGCAGTGGGAAGGTCACTTCTGTTGCTCTGGGTGTCCTCTGGGCTGAGCTCAATCTCTTCTTTACTTTAGACTTGAGCAAAACCAACACACTTCCTCACACTGCAGCCACATCCTGTATGCAGTTCAGCTCTCAGCTGCTGGTTTGCCTGATGTTTCCTACAGTTTGTTGTAGACTGTGCCTATATCCTGTATTGTCACTGGAGGTGCTCAAGAACCATGGAGATCTGGCACTGAGGGTCTTGGTAAGTGGGCATGGTGGGAAAGAGCTGATGGTTGAACTAGGTGATCTTAGTTGTCTTTCCCACTTTAATGATTCTGTGATTCTACACCATCCTATAGAATACCCCGTACTCCATGCCTTTGTATTATTTCCCAGCGAAGCCTGAGTGAGGCAGTGCTGAGGCTTTCCCTATTAACACCATAGTCAGCCCTGTGGTACCCAGCAACTGCACCTATGGGCAACTGGAGCAGCACTGGACCTTGCTGCATGCATCTTTATTCCACCTATGTTCAAGTCCATCTCAAGACTGTGTCTCCTTCTGGATCCATGCTAGGGGTGTGCAGAGCTAGGAAGTGATGGGCTGTACTGGTTATCCACACACCACATGTGCTCTGTAGCTTCTATGTGTCCTGATATAACTGTAGGCCCAAGGAAAGGGGATGAGAAACAGAAGAAGATTACAGGAGCAAAAAGCTTCAGGAACTAAGGACCCAGCACAGCAAGCTGTTCAATGCCCTGGGCCATGGCTCTCCTCACCCTGCACAAACAGTTTATGCAAGCAGCCTGGGTGCAGCCTCTCCCTGGGTGGAGCACAGCAGCGCACACAGGGACATCATGCCCTCACCAGGCTCTTGCAGCCATCTCCCAAAGCTTGGCACAGCCCTGAGCAAACAGTTCCTTCCCTGCAGTTTCCTTCACCCAACGGATAACCCAGGCTTTGGCAGGATGCATCCCTGCTGCTGAATACAGAGCTCCTATAGTGGTGTGCAAGCTGGCATCCTGCACCCATCAGACATTGCTGCATCAAGATAAAGCTGTGCATAGAAGCAGGCAGCAAGGACTGACTATCCCACGAAGCTAGAGGGTCCCAGAGCCAAACACCCTGCCGTTATAGCAGACACAGGCTCTGGGATTGTAATCTAATGCTCACTACCCCAACACCTCAGCGCACCGTGTACATCTCACACTTTGGCCACCAACATTCTCTGTGGCAAACCCATCTACAGGCAAGCCCCAACAGTGTATCATTACTATTTGACACCCTGCAATCGACAGCTGGGTCTGAGGGACCTGCAGAAAGACACAGGGGTGGGCTGTGGCGGGAGCATGGGGATGGGCTGGAGCCTCTCTCCCCACACTAACACCGGCTGTTCCCAGGCAGTCTGGAAGGGCAGCGGGCTGGAGCAGAGCCGGCAGCCACCATAAACCATCCCGCAGTGATTTACAGCCGCCCAGCCTCCCGCAAGCACAGCAGCTGCTGTGAGCTAGGAGCTAGAGAGGAAGAAAAACAGCAAAGCCGACAGGAGGGGGAGAAAAGCAATGAGGAACAGGCAAGAATACGTCTGGTTGGATGTGGGGAGGATGAAAGCCTGCTTTCCTTGCTCTCCTTCCCTCCTTTATCCCACCCCCCAAAAAATCTCTTATCTGCCTGCAGTGAAAAACAAGGCTTCCTTTGAACCTTTTTTATTATTATTATTATCATTTTTTTATGGGGAAAGGACACGTGTGCTAAAGCGGGGGCAGCCCATGAGCTCAGCCCAGCACCTCCCCTCCATCCCCAAAGAAAAACAAGCGGCTCGGAAGGAAGAAAGGGAGAAGGAAAACATGCCGTTCCCTGCACCGCCGCCTTGGCAGCGCGCAGATTGGCCGAAGCCTGGGAAAGGGAGCCTGCTTCGGTGTTACCGGGCAGATTTGGAGATTTTGGGGGGATGGAGGCAGGGAGGGGGGAGCAGGACACCCGCGCGCCTGCGTCGTGAATGGAGCATGCACAGGGCTGGTTTTGTGATGCTGGATTCCAGTTCGCCTCCGCCGGCGCACTGGGACACGGCCTCAGCCGCTTTGTTTCTTGCGCTGCTATTTGGGGGAGGCAATGAGGGGTCAGGGGGGGTCCCATGCTCTTGCCTGGTTTGTTCCTCGCTGCGCGGTGCCCGGCTGAATGTGCTCATTGTGCCAGGAGCTGCCATCGGCACACGGCCAGGGCTCCCTGGGCAGGGGCCCGGTCCCAGGGGGCTCAGAGGGAGGGAGGGGAAATAGGAGGGGAAAAGGAAGGAATAAGAAATCGAGAGCAGGGTTTGGAAATGGGAAACGTCACCGTGCAGAAAGGGGTTTGAAAGGGAGGGGGAAAATGTGGCCAGCATCTTTGTCTGCTGTCTTTTGGCATCCAAAAGGGCATTTTTCTAAGGGAACAGTAAAATAAGTCCCCCCATCACTGTCCTAAAATGTTGATTTCATCTCTAAAAAGGGCTTGTGGAGGGATCTGCCTTGATGCCCACATGGGATGCCTCTGCTGCTCTCCTGCATGCCACATCCCGCACCATATATCCCTGCAGGGGAATGGTCCTGGCTCTGAGGGATGGGCTCATGCTGTGCCATGTAGCAATCCATCCCAAATCCATCCACCAAGCTCTCAGTTTGCCTTGATGCCATCTCCTTCACCAGCATGGGCTGAGGATCTCCCGTGGTGCTCAGACTGTACAGCGCAAAATCACAGCCTAAGGCAAGAGAGAAGCATTTAAACAGCAGCAGAAAAGGATATATTTTTGTTTTTAAACTTGTAAAAGACCATTGATTTCTCTAGGCCGGAGACCAAATGAAAAGTAAAACCCTTTCCCATGCCACAGTGGCACAAGGGACGTAGCTTAGAGGGCATGGGTGGGTATGGGTTGGAGTTGGACTAGATGGTCTTAGTAGTACTTTCCAACCTTAGTGATAATATGATTAATCTTTCTTACTCATTGGCATGCAAACCAGAAAATCCATCATTTTGTCCTGAGCAGAGGGAACAGAAAAAGGTCCAGAGAGCTGGCTACCACATAAGCAAGCAAGATGACACGGAGACCCTCCCTGCTTCCTGGGGCTTATTTGGTGATTCTTCCATGAATTTCCATGGCTTTCCCCAGCAGAGCAAACTGTAGCAAACTGTAGCATCTGTAGATACAGCAGTTGGGGAACCACACATATTACAGGTCTACCAGGTCATCTTTCTGCTAGCCATGGGAGATGGGGAAGGTGACAGCAGTCACCCTGTCAGGAGACAGGGCCCCAGGCACCTCTACAAGCCCAGCAAAGCCCATAACAAAAGCATTTTAAGAGTGACACTCATTAGGGATAATGGTGAGGTGTTTTCATTTGTGTGTGATGTGAACTCCTATTCATGGTTCCTCATTAAGACACAAAGGACCTGTGGACCTGTCCCAACTTTGGGTTGGCAGTATCCTATGAGATTGTGACCATCCCTTGGACAGGTCACCCAAGGGCAAAGAGAAAAAAAAAAAGCAATTAAAAACCAGGCCCTGCCTTGTGCTCAGCCCCAGCTCAGGGATGCTCTGCTGAGGTGACCCAAGACATGACCTTGGTCTTCTGCCCTCCTCCTGTTCACTCTATAGTCCAGTCAAGGCCAACACCAAAGGATTTTAATTAAAACCTTTTTCCAGCCACAGTGGTGGGCATTTTGTCTCTTAATTGCAGAATAGACAGGCTCTCAGAGGAACGAATGGTTGTCCAGTTGGCTGGCATACCCTGCCCAAGCCAAGGGCTGGGAACACTAGCACCAAGCACAAGAAGGGTCTTTCAGCATTAAGGACACACACAGTGCAAGAGGAGCACTGTCATCATCATTAGGAGGCAAAAAGGAGAAGAACACTTTCTTCTGCCTGGCAGGGGTGGAAACTGAGCTCAGCGCCTGCCGCTGCCAAGCTGGAAAACTGAGGGACAATCACCTCCAGTCCTCATGCCTCCTTCACCTTCATTTGCAATGTGCTTGCCCCCAGCTGACATTTTCTGGAATAAGGATGGTCAGATCTGCACCCTCTGATCCAGCAGACATCTTGGTGGGTCCTGACCTAGAGGTTTTAATGTCAATGGAGAGACACTGCCGTGAGAATCGCCAAGAAATACATAGACGTGGCACTGAAAGCCATAGTGGTGATGGGCTGGCAGCTGGACTTGATCTTAGTGGCCCTTTCCAACCTTAATAATCCTGATATTCTAAACGTGCATCTGCCTTTTGAATGACAGCATTCAGGTGGCGACTTTCTCTGCCACCTCCAGACATCGAAGTCCTACTTTAACACATGCTATTGCTCCTCTGGCCCAAGGACCTTGTGTTCTATATCAATGGGCTTTGTATCACTACTGTCGCTCCCATCTCTCAGCTCACAGAATTCTCTCTCTAAAACCACCACAGATCATGCAGCACTCCCCGAAGGATTACTCAGTATTAAACACTGCTAGCTCTACTCACTTGGTAGATGCAGGAAAACCCCAGCTATTGCCTGTGTGCCCTGTAAGGGCGATAGTTTGGATGTTGCACAATCTCACCTGTTAGCTCTTTGGTTTGCTTGCTTGCAGTTAAAACCTAATTTTGCCTACAGGGAGTAGCACAGAAAACCAACATGTTCTTCTGTTACACCACAACAATTTCTTCTTGTAGATGAGAAGATCCCTCCTTTCCATTTATGAGCATAGCATATGCTTCAGGATGCACTTAGCCTTTTTTTGCCCTGGAATCCTTGCCAGCTTTCACCTGGAAAACAACACGAGCATACTTGTAATTGAAGAATGTTGACCCACGGGTGAAAACACGTTGGTAAGGAAACAATTTTCACTTTCAAACACTATGGCTTCGCTATTTGGAAACTCTCTATTTCATGTTCCTGTTCCCAGCCAATTCACATTTTTGCTTTCAATCTTTGCAGCCTCAGCCAGGCTCTGCTATGCGGGCTTGTTGTTAGTGTGTCATGGAGAGCAACACATACCTAAGGGAAGGAGTCAATGCATGTTGAAGATGGGCCTGGCCAAGTTCCCTTTCCCTCTCCCGCTCCAAACGTCCCCCAGCTTCGGAAAAGTTTGCCTCCAACTCTGAACTCGCTTGGCCCCACCGCTATAAATAGATGGAACAAAACCTCCCAAGCCAAATGCCCTGAGTGTTTAGAAAGCTTTGATCCCGCGCTGCTTTTGAGTGCTTGATCCCTTCCTGCTAATGCAGCTTGTGACCATATTGCAGCTCAAAGTGGGGTGAAGAGGGGGGAGGGGGAAGGTCTGTGCCATGAGACCCCTGGTGTTGTCCCGTACGGTGCCAAGACACATCCCTGGGGCTTTGCATCCTGGTGGTCACTGTGTCACTCCCCATGTCTGGACAGAACAGACCATGGGTTAAGCCTCCTTGGTGCCAGCTATGGGTTTTCCCTTCTGTTTCCCTTTTCCTGTGGGCTAAGGGCACTTGCTCTCCCCCCCCACAAACCCTGCTGGGTGTGCCTGCCTCTTATGTCTTGGCATTGCTTGCCTTGGCCAGGGATGGAAATGGAAAGAGACAAACATCAGGAGAATAAAAACAAAAATAACAAAAAAAAAGGGCTGCTCTTGCAGTATTTCCAACCCATCAAGCCCAGGGTGGGAATCTCACAAGAAAGCTGGCTCTCACCAAACCCCAGGCTGAGAGGGTTGGGTAGCGGCCCCAAGACTTGACGAGTCCTGCTGAGATCCCAATGGGTACAGAGGAGATCAGCACTGTGGCTGTGCCACTCCTCAGCCCCCCATTTCCCTCCCCTACTTCAAGCCAGTGCAGCCAGAGCCCTGTGTGCACCCCAGCACTCACACGGCTCCATGGACAACCAGGACAGACAACACAGGACAGATGTGCAGCATCAAAACAACCTTCCCACCATGCTGCTTTAACATTTCCCAGCAGCTTTGTGGCAGCCCTACAGCAAACCAAGCTGCATCAAGCTAGATACAGGCTTCTTTGCAAATCCCATTTGAAAGGAAACTCTCTAGTGTTTCAAACTTCCTGCCTTCTCACCTTGCCCTGCGCAAGGCTGCAGTGCTGCAGTCACAGTTCTGTGGAAATGCAGGAAAGCTGGTATGAGCTGGGGCTGGCATGGGACCAGCCCCACAGCTGCGTCCCTGGAGAGCTGGATTAGCTAATACCACGTTGGGAAAGGGCTGAGGTCAGCCCCATCACCCTCTGTCACTGACAGGGACAAGAGAGCTTGGATATTGCTCCAGAGGGAAACTGCAACTAAAGAAGAACAGTTTTTTGAGTAAAATGATACAGAGCTCATTGCAGAGAAGAGCAGTGCTCACCTCTCCTCGCTCCCTGTACCTCATGGTACCTATGATAGGGCTCAGCACTGCTGGGACACCTACGACCCTCACAGGGAACACTCAATCTGATCAGCGTCTGCACAGCCCCCAGCCTGGGCTCACCATAGGAACACCCATCCTCAGCTCACCAAGGATGCAGGGCTGGGCTGTTGATCCCCATCCATCCATACTTGCTGGGGTGCTTTGCCCCATTTGTTCTGCTCACTCCTCACCAGGAACAACACTCACCTACCCAGGAAAATAGCATCCAAAAATCACCCTGGAGAGGCTGAAAGTGGCCCCATCACCTCCACGCACCCTGTGGTGGCTGGCAGGAGGCTACTTCGGAGGCGGGCGCTGGCGTGGGGCTTTGTTTTTTGTCCTGTTTACCCTGCCGAGAGGAACAGAGGAGTTCAGTGTGCAGGAATCTCGTGCCCTCGCCCTGCTCCCCCGCCACACGAAAGCTGCTGAGCAAACAGGAGGACGCAGAGCCCCGCTGGCACCCGCTGCCTTTTGGTGCAGGCGGACCCACTGCCAGCTCTTGCATAAGTGGCTGTCTCAGCTCAGTGCTGTTCTCGAGGCCTTTTTCTTCTTTCGTCCCACAGGAGGCATGGCCTTGGGCTTAGGACCACAAGAGCATTGAGCATTCCCTCCTGCTTGTTGGATGCATGGTCCATGTCCCATGGTTGCCTCCTGCAAGTCTCCAAAGCCAAACACAAGAGCATCTTTGCAAGGGCATCTCGATGCCATTACCTTCAAGGAACAATCATCATCCTCCACGTTGCATAAGGGTTCTTGCATCCTATTTTTTATTTCTTTAAGTCCTATGTAACAATTCCTGATTAGAAGCAATAAAAATAATAATCCAAATGCCAGTCTCATGGATTTCATTATTATAGAAACCTGTGTGCCAACAGCCCTGCTTACCTGCACACTTCTGCAGTGGGGATCTCCTCACCTCACAGCACAGGGATTAGATCAAATTAACTCACGCTTGGAGCTGTGGCAGGATCAGGCAAATCCTGGCTTGGCTAGCTCTCTTTAAACTACATCTTGCAAACAGAAGGCCTGGAAACAGTTTTGCTTTAATTGCTTTTTAAAATGCAGCCAGCAGATGGTTTGGTAACCCGAATTCATGACTCTTTCCACAGCTCCAGGCTGCTGGCTTTGAAACCAAACCCAAGCACGGTGCAGGTAGTGAGGGCCCCATCCTGCCTGTTTCACCAAAGCACCCACTTGGTGCATGGCACAGGAAAGCACAAACGTAAGTTACACGACACTGGGGCAGCCCAGATGGGCAGGGATGTTCAAGCACACGTGCTTCTGGTCCCAAGTGTTATTTTTGGTTGAAGGCAATGGTCTGGCTGCTCCTGAAGAGCACTTACTGAGTGTAGGACGGCCAGAAATGAGGGGCAATTTGCACAGGTACCACAGTCTGTGGCCAGGGCCACTGTGTTCAGAAATGCTTCAACGAGCCTGGAAAGCCCGTGGGTTCATAACATAGTCTGCACCACAGGGAACGTCCCTGGCCACACATTCTTTCAACACCTGGTCCTTGGGGCTGCTCCTGTGCACCCATATCCAAGAGCATCCCAGCTGCTCCCAAAAGGCTACGGGTTAGGGAAGCAGGATCCTCTGCTCACCCTCACATGCGATGTGATTGCCAGCAGTCCCTTCACCTCTCCCATTAGCCACATTGATGGGCCAGTGTACGGTGTGTCCTCACACCCATCAAGCTGGGAATGGGGACCAACAGGGCTGCAGATTGACCTTCACGCTGCAGCAAAGTTTTAGTAGGTTCCATATGTCTCTGCTGACCTAAGTGTTGTCCTCACCTCACTAGAACACCTCCATGCTCAACATCCCACACCCAGATGCACAGCCGTGCCCCAAAACCAGCCACATCCCAGCGCAGATGAATTAAGGCTGTCCCGAGAACCTCGCACGCGTCTGGTGAAGCAGACTTGTTTTTCTGTTACAAAGTAATTTGAAATTCTTGGAAGGCAATCAGGAAAGTACAAAGTATTCCAGCTCAGGACAGCCTGGGACTCATTCCTTAGAGGCACAATGGTTGTTTACTCAATCCCTCATACATTAATATCTAAAAATTCATGAGTTCAATTGTAAACAAGAAGCACTGACTTCAGTGGGTTGTCTACTTAACAACAGTTGTCCTAGCCTGAATGCTGATTTTGTTATCTTTCTTCTAATCTTACTATCAGAGGGTCAAGATTTCACAAAAAAAAAAAAAAAAATTATGGGAAATATTTCAAGCCCATTTATTTCTGGTTTTGAAACGCATCCCTCTGAAACCCAAGGCCAAAGAAAGACTATTTCGAATCAACATCGAGGAGAGCAGGCAGGGAGAAGAGCTGTTTGTGCCAGCACTGTCCTCTGGCTCAAGAACAAATGAGCAAGAAGCCGGCCACAGATGCGCTTGTGCTGAAAGTCAGAAGATTCCTAACCACCACAAGGGACTGTCCCAAGGCAGGGGACAAATGGACACTAAATAATCCAAACTCAAACTGCTGCCAAGACAAAGCACAACTGCTTGCTGGAAGCAAAACAGCAGGCTGCCTGCGGTGAGCAGAGGTCTCACCTGCATTTATCAGACTCAAGGAACACCACGAGAGGAGGAGGGAGCTTCCTGAGCGGGATGTTCATGTATCTTTATCTCTGCTGCTGTCAAAGGGCAATAGCTGAGATTGCAGGCTGTCAGAAAGCCTCCCTGCAGGCTATCTCCCGAGGACATCAACAAGCGCGGACAATCACCTTCACTCTCTTGATAAAGGTTTCCAAGCAAGTGAACGCCCAGGGAGCTGTCACCTTCACCAGTTATAAATCATAGAGCCACAGAATGGTTGGTTTGGAATGGACTTCAAAGCCCATCCAGTCCCATCCCCTGCCATGGGCTGGCTGCCCCCCACCAGATCAGACTGTCCAGGGCCCATTTGTGGCCTTTGTGCACCCCCATGGATGGAGAATCCACAGCTTCTTTGGGCATCAGCTTGCCTGGGGCTGGCTCAAGCTCCAGGTACAGCCTGAAGATGCAAAGCCTGCAGCCCCTGTTGGAGTTAATTGCATTTTAGCTGTAACCTCCTGTCCCAGCCTGCAGAAACAAGGCAGACAAGTAGGGGTGACGGGACGGTTACACACTTACTGCCAAATCACTGTCCAAGGACAAGAGCACTTGGGCAAGTCCAAGTTTCATCCAACAAAGAAAACACCCCTCATTTCAATCTCTGTACCTTCCTGCCCCATGGAAGCCAGTAGAACATGCCATCAGGAGCACTCACGAGTCTTCAATCTCTACTTCTTCGATCTCCACTTTGGAAAAGCCACTGCACAACAACGCTGGCAGTGCCACAGCAATGCAAGAGGCACCATTCAACTCCCCGTTCGTTTTGGTGAGCAGTTGCTTCTATGAGCACCATGTCCCTGCAGGACATTTAGGTCTAAGTTTGCATCCATACAAACATTCCACTGGAGCAGAACAAAGCCAGGCTGTGTTTGGAGCCAGCCTCCCTGAGGAGGACACACAGAACCATTGGGGGTTGGAGCTCAGTGATCTTTAAGGTCCCCTCCAACTTGAGCCATTCTACGCTTCTGCACTGATGCTACTCAGGCTGATAAACTCATTCTGATGAAAGAATCCAGCAGATCACTTCAGGCGGTGGTGAGAAGGGATCCTTCTCCCTATCATGAGCTGGGATATCTCCTCCCTGACTGTCTGCAGGGATGGCAGTGAGGCAGAATGTCTGCCCATCCTGCCCGCCAGCTGGGCTGCCCCGCAAAGCAGTTCCATGTTTGTCTTGGACGACCTCCTGCTGGACCAGTGCTTTCCACTGCGTGGCTCTCCTGCGCTGTCAGAGAGCGGATTTCCTGCTGTTTGATCTATTTTTGCTGCTCGTTGTGCCGAGTGCCTCCTCTTTTCCTCCATCACGACCAATCTTAATGCCGCCTCAGTCTGGGTCTTGCTGTGGGAAGAGGGCTAGAGGTCAGGGAGCTGCTCCATCCCTCAATGACCCTGGAGAGGCCACATCCTAGCCCACAGGGACAGCATGTGGACACAGAGTGCCCTCTGCTGCTGCAGCCTCCGATGAAGACGCGGGACAAAGCAACATGCAGCTTTGTAAACCTCAGGACAGGCTGCCAAGTGAGCGTGCTGGCACACTGCTGCTAACCACAGCTCCTGGGGAGCGGGCTGGCAGGGGAAGCCCTAGTGGACATGTCACACCTGGAGGGACACCTCTGTGGTCCCTTAGCAGCCCACACCACAGGAAGGAGCACAGAGCATGGCAGAAATGGGCTGTTTTTCCTGAAACAGTGCAGGGAAGCAGCTGCACAGGGAAGCCTGGTTGCAGGCCAGTACTCCTCGCAAGCAGATGGGGTGCAAAATGGACGCCTCGCCCTTCCCAGGCCACGAGCCAGCAGCTGTTCTTGCCGCAGAGGGCCCGCTAGGAGCACAGAGACAGATATTAGTTAACTAAAGGCACAAACAGGTTCGGCACAACACTTTGCAGGCTTGGATGCAGCCTCTGGAGGTTGGTGGGTGTTCATCTTGCTCCCAGAGCACTGCCTGCTCTGTTTTCCTCACAAACCCTCCCATTTCATTTAGGCACAAAGATCCTCAAGGCAGGTTTCAAGAGCACACCACAGGCGTCAAAGTTCATTCCCTGTTAACGAGACTCTCTCTTTCAGAGATAAGGCCTATTGACACCAGAGACCGATGGGGATTTATAGCATTAGCAGCACTCCGTCCCCCAGCAGGGTTACGTGGCACAGGCAACGTCCAGGAGATAGTCATCACCTGCTGTGAGCTGACACTGGCCTCTTCCTGGCTGCACAGCCTGCACGTTCCCTACCTCTGCTACAAGGGAAGGGCTCTGCCAGCCTGAAGTCCAGCTCCTGGCTTCACAAGGGACCACCCAAAATTCAGAGTGTATGTCTGAGAGCACTGTCCAGGTGTTTCTTTGCCATGCTTTTATCTCTAGATCTTTCAGCAGGCCCCCACCATTCCCAGTGACCACATCCCTCAGTGTCACGTCTCCATGGTTCTGTAACACCTCCAGAGATGGTGACTTCTCCACCACCCTGGGCAGCCTGTGCCAATGCCTCACCACTCTTTCTGAGGAGAAATTTTTCCTCCTCCACCCAAATTTCCCGCTTGAGAGAGACCCCTTTCCAACTTCTCAGACATTCCTGCTGCAAAGCCTTCCCTGCTGGGACGTTCCCCCTGGGTGCAAAGCACAGCATTTGGGGCTGGACCCCTTCCCACCTCCATGACCCACACATCCTTTTGCTGACCCTACCTCTATCCCCAGCGTGCTGAGAGTGCACAGCCACTATCTCTGTGTTGTGCTGATCAGGAGACACCTGGCCAAGAGGAGTGCCCCACTGTGTCTTGTAGTTATCTCACTGTGCTGTAAAGTGCTGGCAACTGAAACGCTGAATCAGGAGTGCACAGCTGGAAGAAACACCTTTGGGTTTCAGCACCAGCATGGACTTGTGCCAATTTGAAGCCTTTGATCAGGGAGCAGAGGACAACCCAGGTAAACGTGACTCAGTGTCCATCTCCTCAGGAATACCTTGACCCCGAACATGCTGCAGTCAGACAATGGGGAGGCCAAGGGGACCAGCAGCACAGCAGCCAGCAACCCAAAAATAATTTTCTAACACTACCTGGCTTCTTCATCACAATGCCCATGGTGAGATATGGCAGCCAACAGCACTGGCACCCAAAATCTCCTTGTTATTCTAAGGAGTCAGCAGAACTCCTCAGGAGCCTGCCCCAACCACAAGCAGCTCCTGTTTCCCTGAGCTCAGCAGCCCTGCCTGATAAAAGATGCAGTAGAGCAGCTTGGAGAGAAGGAGGAAAAGCGGCTCCAGCATTGGCTCACATCCCATCAGATAGGGCACACAGCCGCACAAAGTCCTGGGGTACAGCCCACGGTGCCCTGTGGCCCCTCTGGGGGACATGAGGTGGGGACAGCAGCTTCATGGTTTCCATTCCCAGGCACATTCCCTGTTTCAGTTTCCCCAGCTGTCCCTATCCACCTGACAGGATGGATTTTTGGGGCATGGCAGGTGAGATGCTGGCAGAAACAGGGTACTCCTGCTCACCCCCCGACTCACCGTGCTGCCTGCACAAAGGAGCCAGAGCCACGGAACATCCCTACAGGCCAGCATCCAGCACTGCCTGAGGCTCTGTGCCGCCTACCGAGGGGGTGACATTGACCCTGTCCCCAGCACTACCAGCAGCACTCGCTAGGCGACAATGCCACCTGCTGCCCGCTGCCGGCCAGGACACCCCGCCACGCAGCCCCGCAGGGGACTGCCTCCATCCCGCATCAGACTCTGTCCCATCCAATCCCCTCCATGCTGATTTTGAGCCAAATCGATGCCCTGAACTGCCTTAGGGCAAGCCCGTGGCAATCCCAGTGATTCACCCACCGAGTGCCACCAGCCACCTCCAAATCCCTGCCTGGATTTAATCATCTGGAAACACAACGATGCCATTTTTTTTTTTTAACTAGGAGCCATACCATGAGACACTGACGTATTTTAACCTTTCAAGCACTTACACATTGTTTCTACAGCTTAAGATAAAAGATGTTACCAAAGGGAGGAGAGCAGCGATAATTATCTGCAGTTCATAAGTTTAACCTTTAGAGAAGGAATTGGGTTTCCAGCCCTATTTGTTAAATGCTTTTAAGCTGCACTTTTCTAAGTGGCTGTATGCGTAATTATAAGCATATTATACTGATAGCTGGCATCCACAAGCACAGCCTGAGGCTGATGGTACCCCCAAAACTCAGGAGTGACAATACCACAGAAGGTCACATGGGAACAGATTGATGAGGTCCCTGCAGCCAGACACCAGAGGGATGTGGGTTCTTATTCCCAGCTGCTTACCTGGTGGCAGAGACTGTCCCCAAAGTCAGGCTGAAAGTCAGGGTGACAGGCTTCTGCATGGATCTAGATGGCTTCTTTCCCATCCTGGTAGACTATTTCTGAAGGAAACAGCATGGTGATGTTACATCTAGCATTAATTGCTGGAGAATGGTGGGGAGAATGAGTACCAGCCGGATGATGCAAGAAGGGAAGGTGCACAGCAGGAAAGGAAGAACCCCACCATTCAGGGTCATTCAGGGACCACAAAAAGAGCAGCCATCACAAAGAACCAAATGTCTTATCCACGTGCTGCAGGGATGAGGATTTCAGCCCACATTCACTTCCCTTCGAAGCTCCCTGGGGCTCTGTGTCCTGGCTGCTTGCCCTATTCCCTGCCTTACAGCAGAGCAGTGCCTCTTCGTCACACTGACAGGCAAAGTCAGTCTCGTTGGCTGTCTGTAATACATCAGGCTGCTGCACCCTGAAGGCATCGCTAGGTGCTGATCCTCCCCTGACAGCCATTCAAATTCATATTTACCCATATGGAGTTGCCACTTGGCATCACAGCCTCCTGAACCGATGAATATGGGTGGGGAGAAGGGGGGGAAGCATCTGATGTGCTGGTTCTGGATGCGATTCTTTTTGTGTTAATTTCAGAAAATACTGTAGTTTGCAGCCAGCAATACCTGCAAGGGAAGCATATTTTAAGTGAGCATTGCAGGAGAGCCATGCAAAAACAGATTTCAGCTTCACCCTTGCACACAACGGAGTTAGGTTCCCTTGGGGAGAGAACAGAAAAATGCTGCGAGGCCATGCATCGCCTTCACCACCCCACAAACCACAAGCTGGCAAGAGCACCCAGTCCACAACTGGGACTGGGATTGACCTCAGGACAGCTGCAATTGGTCAAGAAAAAGGAAGAGGCATAGAAGCAAAAAAACCCAAACAACCCAGCATTGTCGCACCAGCAGAACAACAGCCATGCACAGAGATACCTGGCTGATATTCTATAGAGTATGTCAGATGGTTTTGCTGCAAGGTTGTAAACTGTAAGATACAGCTCTGAGATTTTGTGGCATCTTCTTAAATCACTGTTTTCTTGCTCAGGATGCAGGGCTTTGAGGTTGTTTTTTGTTTTTTATAATGTAGATGGCATATTACAAGGCTTTTTTTTCACTTGGCTGCATCTTCAGCATAGATCTCTGCTGCAGTTAGAAATCATTCCACAGCACGTTGTTCACAGATCCGAGCAGGGAGGGCAGGTTGCTGCATTTTTCCTTAACTACAAGTTTATCCCTTATTTCAAAGGCACAAAAGGGAAGGAACCCTCATAAAAATTACCTTTTACAATGCCTAGAGCTCTCCCCAGCCTGACACCCTTCCTGGTGCTGGCAGGACCCAGCTCCCAGCTGGGTGACAGCACTGCCAGAGGACACGTTTTGCAGTCCCCTGCCTCGATGGCACCAACTACAGCCTGGAAATGGCAAAGGAGATGGGCTCCAATCCAGCCCTACATGGGACTTTCTGATGTGCATGGAGAGGGCCAGCCACTGTCCATAGAGATGAAAAAGGGAAAAGCAGTGTTGCTCCACACTGAGAAGTGGTGCTCACCTGCCCTCCTCCCACATCTCCTGCCTTGCAGCAGCGTAGGAGCTTTCCTTCAGCACGAGCTCCCAGAGCTGCTTCACATGGCGCAGGGCAGAGCCTGCGGAGCTGCTGGCAAAGCTGCAAAGAGAATGAGTGAAAATATAAGCAAAGCATCAGTCCTGATTCGTTCTGCTGGTGGCACGCTGGGCACTTTCCTGCTGAGCCTGTGGGGCAACTTTCCCACCAGTGCTGTCACAGCTCCCACACGTCCTCACTGCTTTCTCATCCTCTTGCTATTTTTATTTCTCTGGAAATGCTCTGGGCAGCCAGGTGACCTTTATTAAGATTGGGGCTTTTTATACTGCATGATTCTGCAATAATACAAAGCTTTTTTTCTTTGCTGAGCCATCCTGGAGAAGCTTCTGCTGCTCACCTGGCATTGCAACATGTGAGTCAAGATGAGAAACAACCACTGGACCTGAAACCTGGCAGAGCATCAGGGCCTCTAGAATTAACGATAGTGGCTCTTGCCACCATGTGCTTTGCATGGGGTGGGGAGAACCCTGACTACTAGGTTTAAATCCCACACTGGAATAGGTGTGGAAAACCACATTGAAACCTCCTCTCTCTCTGCTGCCACTGAGCAGTGCTTTGAACAGCTCTCTCACCTACAGCACACCAGGTCCAGTAATTACAAGCAAAATATTTGCACTCTTCACTCTCCTCCTGGGACAGCCCCTTCCCAAAGCACTGAGTGTTTTCACATCAATAAGCTCCTCTCTCAGGCCAAGAACAGGGAGCAGAGGGTTGGAGAAAATGGCTTTTCTCAAGTACCTGGTAGCTGAGGCAATTAAAAGAAAATTAAACTGACATTTCTAACTTGCAGCATAAAAGAGATGTGCAATGGTGAAATAATTAAAAGTTACTGCTGGGAACATCCTGTTCTCACCAGCTTGCTGAGAAGAACAAAAGGGCAAGAAGCAATTTTGGTGCTTCTTCTTTTGATTTATTTATTCCTTCTGTTTTGATAATTAATTATTAGTTATTGCTGTCTCCTCAAAAGCTGGAACCCAAGGGTTTTCCATAGGATAGCAAAGAGACATACTGGTCAATATCTGGTTTACCCAGTCTCACTAGTGACAAAAGCAGCTTTTTGCCAGCTAGGTCCCCTGCCCACAAAGGGCTTCAGAGCCCCATTTTCAGGTTTGCAGCACCTGCCTGCAAGATCTTTCCAGCAACCTGGGAGCAGATCCACAACGGAACTGCAGCCCATCCCATGCCGTCTCTCACCATCCAGCATCACTTACTTCCCAAGTCAGCTGCACCTGGGTATCTTGGGCACAGAAAGAGAACCTCTGGTTGGAAACCAGCTTTGGAGCATCCATACTTGCTCCTCCACAGAGCTCAGCTGGCCACATACAACAGCATAAGAAAATTCTTGATGTTCTTCAAGCCAGAGCATCCCAGGATTTTAGTCTCATGCACTTCAAGACTGACTATACCCAGGGTTTAACACTGACCTTGTGGAAGCAAAGTATTCACTGTGGTTTTAGAATGAGCATCTCCTTGCTCTACACATAAGCAAGATGAAGATACTTCTGCAGTGTCTGCATGACTCTGCTTCAGCCTGTCCAACCCCCTGCATACAAGTGCTTCTGGGAGGGACCTGGGAACAGTCTGGAAGAATAAGGAAAGCAAATGCTCAAATCACTGCTGGGGGTTGTGGTCATCTTTTATATGTCTGTACCCACTCATCCAGCAAATCTTTACAACACACGACAGAGAAGTCACTATAAACTCTTCCTCAATGGTGCTTCGTGGTGAGAGAAGCAAAAATGCAATTATAGCAATCTGTGTATTTAAAAGGAAGTCAGGTGAAAAGACAGGCAAGCGCACAGTGCACCCCAAATTTGCTTCTCCTTCTATGAGTGTGAGCAAAACAAATCAGGCCAGGCTTTTCCTTGCTCAGAGCTGGCTGTCTTCTGTTTCAACAGGGGCAAGAAAGCACATCAGTCTGTGGAGGCATACCCAAAGTGAGAGATGTCCTTGTTTCCAGTTTGCTTCCACTTGACTTAGCAGGTTAGGCCTCAACAACATTGATGCCAGCATCACACACCCTCTGAGGCCACATCCCAGATTTTTTGCTCTTCTTCGCAGTGGTAAGAAAACCTGCTGCAGAGGTTAGCCATGGTCCCATCTGGCTGTGCTACAACATTGCAGACACATAAATATATCTGTAAACAACATACAAATGTGCTTGTATTGTGATATTACCATAGCTGCTAAGGACTGGCCAGGCAGGGGGAAGCCTAGCTTTATTTTTCACTCTTGCAGTAATTACTGTGCAACCATTACAAAGTGGATGCCGTGTAACACTTGTAGAACTGAGAAGAAAATGATGTACTTAAAATTGAGGATATTATTTGTGTTTACACAGACTCCTCAATCCCTGAGCTATTTTAAAACTGTTGTTGTATCTCAAGTGAATACACTGGGAATAAATACTCTGTCTACAGACCTACTCATGTATGCCATGAGCAGTTTAAAAGAAAGTCTCTTGTGCTTTTAACTCACATGCACTGCAGTGGTGTTGAGCAAGCATTTGTACAGACACACAGCATACAACAGGTGTGCACCTGCATGCATCCAGAAGTGAGAAGGACCTCAAGTCTTGCATCTGTGCTGGCAGCTTGAACAGAAGCAGGCCTGCTTGGGAAGAATCACAATAAAAACACAGTTCTCCTTTCTATTTCCAGCATGTCATGCTCCACTCTGTATTTCTACATTCCACTGCTCACCAACACCATCAGGTGATGAGAAGAGCCTGCAATTCACACTGAGAGAGGGTCAGATGACTTCCAAACCCTTGTATTAAAGCTTGGAAGAAATGATGATCTCCGGGCTAAATTAAGTTGCAATGGACTTCCTGCAACTTGTGCAGGAGTTTGTGGAAGTTTCTTTGCAGAGGGTTCAACAGGTTTTTCCCAGAAATCATCACACATTTTAATTACTCCCTTCACACATCCGAGCACTCGATATCCAAGTCAACCTTCCAGGCAAGTATCTTTTTAATAAGCTTTCAGTTAAGCCTAGCAGTTTCCATTTCACCAGCCATTTACTTTCCCCATTAAACGGGCCTTTGTTCAAAACACTTTCACCATTATGCTTTTACAGGTACAAATTGCACCGGCTGCTAACCCCAACGAGCAGAATAACTGGATGTTCCTAATTACCACAACTGCCTAAGCAGAACAGTCAAACAGCATAAAGCTGTGCATACTGGTGCAGTTTAATTAGATACCAAACCCCACTACAGCAAGAGCACAGCATACCAAGGGAAAGCAAGATGCTGAAAAAGGGGAGACTGTGGCTGACAACTCAATATGGGTTTAGAGGAGGGTGTATACTTAATGTGTGACAGCTCCCGGGATGGCTTTGCTCCTTGCTGTCCTCCCCCTCTCTGGGTCACTTCAGACTACAACCCAGTCCCTACAGAACAGCACCTCTCTCAGCAGGTTATTTACCCACTGTTTCCTTCTGGCCAGAACTCTTTCCATTTGAAGATCTTTCCTTACAGAGATGAAGCAGCCCTCAGATGAGGTCTGTCTCTGAAAAGCTTTTCAGTATTGGCACTCCCTGCAGGGGTAGCTTGGAGAAGTCTCATTCACCGCTTTAGTAAATGTACATGGTATGGAGGGCCTTGGCACAGGTATCTGCATTACATCACTTCAGAGACAGCACAACACATTCCTAAGAACAGGAATGCAGATCTGATCCCTGATCCAGAAACTCCTTTGATGAATCAAATCAAAGCAATCCACTAGTGAGACTGGGAGAATTAGTCTCTTTTCTGCAGTCAAGCTGAAGTGCTGCTGAGGACAGTGGTTCAGCTTGATCTGAGCCAAGGACCTCACATCAAACGCTGTACCAAGCATGAGTGCAGCACGCCTGCTGAGCAGCCATCACCCCAGGAACAGCATCACATTCAGCCCAAGCTCTTACACACAGTCTTGAAACTTCACATCTGCACAGAAACACAGGAGAATACAAGCTATTTTTACCTGCAAAAGATGCAGGCGAATGGCACAACCACTACTTTACATTAAATAGTCTGGTAGTAAATGCAAAGGTACATTACCCTGAAGTTTTACTTTCACTCTGCTGCACAGCCTCCTGCTGAAAAGGCAGAATGCATTAGACAGAAACTAGTGAATTCACAGCAGCTGGCAGGGAAAGGAAGCAAAGCTTTCTGACAGAAAGGAAATCTGAGCTGGCACTTAAGGGCAAACTGGATGCTTCTACCACAGTAGTTAACAAGAGGCTATTGTAAGCATCATGATTATGCTTCAAAGTTAAAACCCCATTACCATAACAGTGGCAATACATACCTCTTCCAAAGTCACACTCCCGTAGAATTTGGCAACATCTACCTGAACCTGCAGTCACAGTGGATACTTTTCTTCACTGACCATCTGCGCCTAGATGAAAGTGAAGAGTCTAGCAGCCACTGAGTAGCACACAGACATGTCACAGAGCGAAAAACTTGGTTTAGTTTGGAGAAGCTTCCTTAATTCCCAAAAGGTTTAAATGAAGGAGGCTCCCATGCAACAAGCAGCAAAGGTGGCTTAAGCTGGGTGTTTCTCCTGCCCTCTGCATTTTGTGTTCTCCAACATTTGCTACCGCAGTACTCAGTTGGACAGATTTTGAGTGCACGATTCCATCATAAACATGAGTGTATTTAAATGCCTCACCTCAGGAATGTGCACCATCACAGCAAAAACAAAGCTCTTACTAACAGTCCATTAACAAATAACATAATGATGTGTAAGGAACTGGTGCTCCTTTAAATAGAAACATTTATGCAATACAGCTGACAACTGTTGTGTTTATTAAGGAATTGTTTTGTGGGTGGGTTGTTTTTTGTTTTGTTTTTAAATAACAAACATGATACTTTTCTTCCAAATAAAAATACATAATGGAAAGAAAACCTCAGCAGAATGTAAGAACAGATACACGGCTGACTATGGACTGTTCTGACTTAAAGACCTGCAACAACAGATCTCCAAAGCCACTGCCAACCAGTCATCACACTCCAGAGGGCAGAGCCAATTTGTCCAGTGACCAGGACTGCAGAGAAAATTCCCACAGCCCATGCATCCCTGCAAAAAGCTCAAGCAGATGCACCTCCCATTCACACTAGTGACACAATGCTAGCACATGTGAGCTATTTCAGTCTTCACAAGTCTCACATTTCATTACTCAGTGGTAATTCAGTAAATTATTCACACAAAGGCAGTTTAAAACCAGCAAAGTGCAAGCTCTACCAGCACAAGTTCCTGTGCTTCCCGCTGCTGGGATGTGAATCTGGACTGGCTGTAGTGCATGCAGTGGAGTGCTTTTCTCAAGCTTCTTCAGGTAAGAACCTGAGAGCCTACAATCACAAAGAGTTAAGATTTGTCCAACTTGTGCGTGCGCTCGTGCCTCCGTAGGGTACCTGACTCGGTGAAGGAATGCCCACAGTAATCACAAGAGTAGGGCTTCTCTCCGGTGTGGATGCGCTGGTGGCGCTGGAGCGAGGCCAGCCTTGTGAACGTCCCTCCACACTCCTCACAATAGAAGGGACGCACCCCAGAGTGAGTCTGCTGGTGTCTTTTCAGCCTGAGCAGCTGGACAAACGCCATGCCACATTCCTGACACTTATAGGGCTTCTCCTGCCGGTGGATCACTTTGTGTTTGGAAAGCAGGTTTGGCTTATCGAAACCTTTGCCACACGTTGGGCAGGCGTAAGGCTTACAGTCTTCTTCCTCAGCCTTGTGGTTGTCTGCACAAGGCTGATCGGTGTACTCAACAGTGTGCTGGTTACGGTGCACTATCGACCACGGGTTCCTAGCCATACCGTTGCCTAAGATCACCATGGAGCGCTCTATCTTGTGCACATTGCGGAGGTGCCTCCAGACATCAGCCGTGCGAATGAAACCCTTGTCACACTCTGGGCACTTGTGTGGCCTGTCACTGTTATGAATGAGCTTGTGCATGCGTAAGTTTGCTGCACGGAAGAACTCTTTGGCACAGACAGGACAGCGGTACGAGTTTTCCACGAGGTGAGTCCTCTTATGTTGCTGCAGCTCACTCGGCCCCTGGAAAGAGGCACCACACTTCTTGCACCGATAGGACAAAGCCTTCCCAGATGCAGGCTCTGCATCAAACACACCACCAAGAAGGGCATTTTCATTATCACCACGTGCTCTTCTCCGTGATCTCTTGGAGTGCTCAGAGGAACCACGTTGCGAGGTTTTATCTTCGCGCTGCAGGTCCAAGTTGGTACTGGAGGGGACAAATATCCCAGCTGTACTCTCACCTTGTTTCTGGTAATAGGTCTGATAGATTTCTTTGTCTTCACACTGCAACTCTGTAGAAAGTTCCTGTTTATCTGATGGTCCTGCAGAGTTGCGACAAGGACTGAGTGTCTGTGAGTAATTCATGCCCACCTCCTCCTGGAGGCAAGACTTGTAGCCCACCTCCTCAGTGCTCTTTCTGGAATCATTTGACAGCTCCTCACCTGTATCACAAGTGCTATTTTCAGAGTCCCAGTCCACCTCCGCATCCATCCTCTGATATGTGTGCTGTGTTTATCTGCAGCTCACTGATGATGTGGATACCGAGAGCGCCAAGACTTTTGTGGTAAACCCATCTCATCCTCAGCTCACTTTACAAGCCCTTCCTACAAAATAAAACACGTATTTCATCAGTGATTTTCTGATATTTACAGAAGATAAAATTAACACAGTGAAGTTCTTTTAATTATTATTAAAATAAAGGGACAGGCCATTATTTAATGCAGAAGGAGGAAAAAAAATCATCTACGTCATAGATGCAGATTATATATTCAACATTTAGAATACACACAAACTATGCTGAAAAAGGTTAAATCTTCTGTCATAATTCAGCCTCCTAACTGTAAACTGTTTAATAACATACACTTTAAACTCACTTAAAGACAAGAAACCTTCAGAGCTCCAAGGTGCAAACAAACATGTTAGACAATGTTCTGCACGTATCTCCCCACAAGTCTTCATCCAAAGACTCACAATCATTTTTACCTTGCTAAATCAGAACCAGTTACAAGGTACTGCCTTTCAGTAAGTGGTTAAGGAATGCAACAAGATCAAGGGATGGTGCCAAACTGCCAAACTTGGCAGCAATAGAAGGAAGTACTGGAAGGCCTATGGAAGGAACACACCTGTGCGAAAGGTGGGTTTGGGAAGTTCTGGAACACTTTTGGTCTACCATCCTCTTACAGCATTCTCACAATCATCCTGAGGATGTTTGGGATACTACCAGCTGGTATCATGCAGAAAAGACAGCATATGGAGCAGCAGCACAGAGAGAAAGGCCTAACAGAGCTGTCCAGAAAGCTTACTAATCATCTTCCTGGCCTTCAGAGCACCACAAGAATCCTCCAGAACTGGCACTCTGCAGCAGCTTCAAATTCTCTGGGTAAACAGCCCTTGCTGGTAGAAAACACGAGCAATGGTAATTGGTCTGAAACACCTGTTTGAGTCACAGATTTTCTTCTGAGGAAGCTGCTTTCATTTATGCCATACCAAGGTGTGGATTTGCAAAGGATTTCTAGGTTTGTCCCAGCGGCCTCTGCTGACAGCAGCTCCACAGGGAGCTTTCAATCACCTTGTTTAAAAACACACTGAATTGCTAATCTAACCTCAGAAAGTACATTTTCCCCCATCTCTTGTGTGCTCCTCATACCCCTACTTTCTCCTTAACACCCATTTTTCACATTCCCTTTACTCCCCCTGTTCCTTCAGCTCCTCATGGCTGCTTTTGTCTGGGTAAGACTTCTCTGAATATAAGCACATGTATATCCACTCAAACGCATGTAAGCATGTAAATACAGATTTATGCGCATACATGTAAATATAATGCTCATCTATTTAGTTTATGTTTAAGTAGTTATAAAGGCAGTATAGCTACACGCTTTAAATGAAAGGCCCCATTCACATCTCTGAAAGGCCAGTTTCATCTGAAACACAAACTGTGCTTTCTTCTGCTACAAACACAGAAAACAAGCCTGAATTGATCTTTAATCACTGCCTGGAACAGAATGGCTCAAGTCACCCATCAGCATCAACTGTTCTTACTAGCTCAGTAATGCCTGCATGAAAACAAGACTTTGTCCTCACCTCCAGCAAGGCATGAGCACCACCAGCAGCACACCTGCAGCAAATCTGAAATCAGGAGTGAGTGGGGCATTTCACAAGAGCACTATTTCCATCATTGTAATGGCAGCCCTTTGGTACATTGTAAAATTCCATTTGTCTTCTTAAAAGTCACAGGAGGATAGCAGTCTGCAGGCATTTCCAAGCTCCTTTCCTCCATCCCTTACAGCCCATTCACAAGCCACCAATGTGAAGCAAGAACTTTCACCACTTGCCTATCATCATGTTTTAATTTTTTGGAGGCTCTGCAGCCCTCCCTCCTGTCTGTATTCCATGTCAGCACATTTTACTCCCACTGGCCCATTCTTACAATCAGCATCAGTACTGTACTATTCAACACAAGGAGTCCAAACTCCAGACCCCACGAAGCCCCACCACAAACCTCCCAAAAGCTTCTCTTCCACAGCCAGCAGCAGTTCCTGACCCAGCTCCCCTAGCTATTATGCATTCATCCCCTACTTACTGTACTGACCAGCACCGTGCTCCCTGCAGTCATAATCACTCTCCAGCATCACCAGGTAATCTTGCAGAGAACACTGCTGCTTTCAATGTTATTCTGCACTTTGGTCAGCCATCTCGGTGTATTTTCTTAACTGAGCTCACAGGTTTCCAAAATGGGTATCTACAATTAACAACAGATACAGAACTCAAAAACAACCAAGAATGTACATTATATGCCATATTTGCATGCTAGTAAGTTTTGCCATCTAGAAAAATCTCATGAAACCAGAAACTATTCTTCTAGGATGCAGAGGCAAGGAAAAGAAACATAACCACTTCCCTCACATTCAAAAAGTCATCTACTTTTGTACATGCAAGTGACAGTTTTATTTCTTTAGGCTAGGCACTTAAAAAAAAATAAAAAAAAAAATAGGCAACTTCCCCTTAATAGTGGTTCTTGAATCCATGACAAACTCACATGCTGCATAACATGGAGAACCTTGCAGAGAAACTGCTGCCATTCCAACTCCAGCAACTAGGAAGACACTCGTTTTTTCTGAACTTGAAGTCTTAAACATGTCTTACTGTAATGCAGTAGTTGGGCAGCAAAGGCTTTCTTCTACCTAGGCCCGGGAACACAAACTCCCACACCTCCTCCCCATCTCCAAGACAAGCACACAACCCTCTCTCTGCTCATCAGCGCTCATTTCAACTGGACAAAGGACTTCCCAACTGACATTCGTGAGGTTTCTCTAGTCAGTGGATCGCCTTGTGTTTGGAAAACAGGTTAATAGGCTTACAAAAACCTTTGCCACACGTTGGACAGAGGTATGGCTTACACTTTTTTTTAGGTTTATGGTCATCTAAGCACTGCTGATAAACATTGTTCTCACTGTACTGTGTGCTTGAGACTATGGATTCCTAGCCTAAAATCTTTAACACTCTACCTTATGCATATTTCACAAGTGCCTCCAGGTATCAGCCGTGTAAATGAAACCCACGTAACACTCTGGATGGCTGCATGGCCTGACACTAGAATTAATTCACAGATTTGCCACATGAAAGAACTCTTTGACTCAGGCAAGACATCAACGTGGGTTTTCCACAAGGTGAGTTTGCTTGTGTTTCCACAAACGACTTGCATCCTGCAAACAGACATCACACCTATTGGTTCTGTAAGTCAAAGCATCTCCACCTTCCAGGCCCTACTACAAAGAAGTAGAATGCTTTGATTAAAAAGAATGACCACCCTCGCTTACCCCTCCTTGAGGTTCTTCAGAGTAACAGCACTCTAAATGTTCATATTCACAACGCAGGTCTGAAGGTGACAAAAACCCCAGGAGTGGTTGAATCACACTTCCAGTTGTTGGTTTCTAAGGTCAACTCCATCAGTTCTATGAGAATTTCTTCTCAATCTGAAGGTTCAGCAGGAAAGCACCTAGGAGCAGATAGCAGTCCATAATCTCTGATATTTGTTTGGAATTATTCAAGTATTCCTCACCTGTTTGAGAACTGTCATTAATAGAAACCAAGTCCATCTCCAACCTATGGTATCACATAGCACTTACTTGTTAGTAATTGTGGAAACAGGCAGTACGAATTCTCCTCGGATCCTTCATAGTTGGTTTCTTTCACATCAGCTTCCTTAGAAAAGAAACAAGAATTCCATTAAGATGCTAATTTAATTAAAAATACTTTTGAAGTGTTATGACCTAGGTATTACTACTAATCATAACGAATAGGTTAGGCTGAAGACCCAGAACAACACTATAAAGTAGACTCTTTTTCCTGCTATTAGTCTGAGATAAGACAGAAGAGAACTTCTGTGTCAGGTAATACAACCAGCACGTACACACCTCAACACTTACACCCACAGAAATATCAATATGCTCAAACAATTCATGAGCACAATCCTCATACTAGCCTCTTGTTTTCAGTAATGAAGAACAGGCCTATCTGCTAATGTTTCCCTTTAAATCTAAAGCAAAAAGAACATGAAAAATGAAATTCAGAGGTCTTATCACATACATACTGGTCTTCAGACTAATATGCTTGGCTCTACCAAGTTCTTATTTTTATATTTTACTCCTAATAATGAGGTATTTTAAAACACAGCTTGCCTCCTACTTCATATGCGCTATTTATGAGCACACGATTTCATTAAATTCTACATTCCAAGCATTTTCCATCAGCCTTGATATTATTCCAGCACAAATAAATAAGCCCTAATCAAGGGGAAGGAGGCAGATCTCCTACCAAAGCTGATTATAACACATGCAACATGCTCCAACCACAGAAAGGGACAGAGGGCAGTACAAAGTTCTGCAGCACAGTTCAAAGAAGGCTCATGAGGTGATGCTGTCCTCTCTCAAATCCCAGGCACCACTCCACTACCTAAAGCCTGCTATTACAAGATGCTTTTCCACAAAGCTCTCTCTTCAGGATCTTCCAGGTCTTTGGGTCCCACTCAGATGGCATCTCACAAACAAGACACCCAGATGAGAAGAGCACACGGAGAAAACAAACCGTAAGCACATCCAGTGTGAGGTACTGTTATCAGACCATAGAACGGCTTAGGTTGGAAGGACCTTAATGATACCCCCACGGGCTGGGGACCAGCTCAGGCTGCCCAGGGCCAACCCACGGCCTGAGGCACCTCCAGGGATGTAACTGTCGGATTATTAGGGCGACTCAGGAACGCCTTTGATAACACACTCAGACCTACTCTGAGCACGAAGGCTTTTCTCTGCGCAGTCCCATAAACCACACGCAGGACGCTTCGAGCCGTGCCCCAGGAAAGTACGCACTCTGCAACTTTGGTGGCTTTGTCGGTCTATTTTTAATATACATACATATTTTGCTTTAAAAGAGACCTGCAGGCGCATCCCTGCCGTCAGCTGCTCCACCCGAGCCCAGCTCCCAGGCAGCCCGCAGCCCTTTGTTCCCCGCTGCCCGCCCTCTCCCCCGGCCAGCATGGCCACGCACAGCCGGAGTGCTCTCCCCGCCCTCTGCTCGGCCCGCACACCCCTCCGCCCTCAGCATCCCCTCACCGTGCGCGGACGGCCGGGCCGGGCGCTGTCCCCGGCGGCCTCGGCCCCGCGGGCGGAACGAGGGTAGCGGCGCTCAATGTCCGGCCCGGCCGGCGGCCGCCATGTTGTGCCGGGACCATCGGCGGCGAGTGAGCAACGGCCCGCCGTCGCTGTGTGAGCGCCGATGTCCCGCCCTTTTTCTGACGGACCAATCGCCGGGCGCAGATCGCTTGACTGGCAGCGATAGCCACCAATCGCTGCGCAAAGGGGTGGGGGCCGGTCGCTCCTCTTACCACTGTGACTGACACAGCGCTGTCACACCTCCAGAGAGACTGATACTGCCAAAAACAGCCCCCTCACACCTCCTGCGTTACCGACACAACCACAGACCGCCCCGTGACACCCTCATGGGACGGGCACTGACAGGGACCAGCCTCTGTCCCAACCCCAGTGTGAATGGCACAGTCACAGACCAGCCCGTCATCTCCAAAGCGCGACTGAAATCCTGAGATCGATCTCTGTTACTCCCCCAGAGCCGCTGATACAGCCCCAACGTGACGGACACTGGAGGGACCGCCCCTCAGTGTGATTGATCCAGGCAGAGCCCACCCCCATCACACCCCCAGTGTGACAGACACAGGCAGAGCCCACCCCCACTGCCACTGAGGCAGGCAGAGCCCACCCCCATCACACCCCCAGTGTGACTGACACAGGTAGAGCCCACCCCCATGAAACCCCAGTGTGACTGACACAGGCAGGGACCAGCCTTGTTCCTCTCTGAGCATCACTGACAGATGCCCATCACACACACCTGTCAGGTGCAACAGCCAGAGACCAGCCTCTGCTCCAGTCCGCAGCGTGACTGACACAGCGACCACCCTTGCCCCCAGACCCATTTCATTGCCATGTATCTGATAGAGACAAGCCCTGTACAACCCTTCCAGGCTCACTGACAGTGCTCCTTATCACTCCTGCAAGGCCAGAGCGACCAGCTCTGCATGCAGCCCTTCAGAGTGAATGACACGCAGCTGCAGCTAGGCTGCCACCCAGGACAACCATCCCACTGGCACACCAGCCCAAACCTGATGGCAGAAGTACCCCCACCTCTGCCCAACAGGGATCAGGCAACTGTCACAGCCTTTTATAGCCACGATGTCCCCTTCTGAAACAGCTGGTGGCACAGTCGCTCGGTCAGCCCATGGCCCTCATCACAGCCAAGAAAGCTAGAGAACAGCTGGGGTCACACCAGGCATCAAAAAGCACAACAGGGGATGGCGCCACCACGCTCACAGAAAGAGCAGAGTGCTCTTTAACACACATGTAATAACCCAGGATGGCTGGATGCACCATGGACACTCACCACCAGCAACCCCAGAAGCAGCCCCCCCCCCGCAGGGTCAGCCACGTGCAACGGTTTGTGCACAACCACCTGCACTACCCACAGAACGGAGAAATGACGCTGTGAGAGCACTGTGTGTATATGAGCAATCCCTTAAATATACTGGCTGAATGGGAGAAGCCTCCAGATCCAGGACTTTTTGCTAAATCAAATCAGGGGTATGATGCCTGTGCTATGCAGATGAGCTGTCATATTGTCTCCCACACAAGACCGTCTCCAAAGGAACCTACACCTACTGCAAATATCCTGCAGCATATGGACATTTATAGGTCAACCTGGAAAAAGTGAGAATAATGGCTGTCCAAAAAAAGCAGGAGCCCAAATAATTTTCCAGTGTTATTTTGGAAAATGCAGACGAGGAACAGGGTGAATTATGCATACCTGAGAGCCATTAGAAAATGTCAGATTGCCTCTAAAACACATTAGAAGGAAAAATGACTCCAGCTTTCTCGTGCAATAAAGGAATGCAGTAAGTAAATAAGATTCCCTAAGAAAAATCAGTACTGGAGTGGCTTTGAAAATATACTTTAACCATCTGTTGTGGTGCGGATGGAGTCTGAGGCCTCACCCTAGAAGCCAGGAGCACCACAGGGCTGAAACTCAGACACCTTCACTGCAGGAACAACCATGATGTATAACCCAGGATCTCCTTTCATAACAATTTCCGAGCAAACCCAGAATGTTTGTTACCCTTCTCTATATGGAGCTAGAAAAAAAGAATAACTTCTGGTGCCAACTCTGTGAAAATAACACATGTGTCTTGACAGCATAGTGTTAGATGATTTAAAAATGAAGACTGATCAACAATGCAATATTCTGGGATATTCTGCAATACTGTGGGAGAAAGGGAGCTGGCAGCCCCTTAGGTCTGTTTGCATTTCCAAATTCCCCTCTAGTGCATACCTGCTACACGTCCCAGTTGTATGCACCATCCTCAGCCTATTTTTCCCCAGCTTCAGCCTCTGAAAAGATCTGAACTTCCTGTTGACTAATGTGTCTGCTGGAGAGCCGAGATTTCTATAATTAGCAGCAGAGAGAATTCGGGGAGGAAGGTGGATTTTCTGGGGGGGTAAATTTGGATGTCGCACATTTAAAAACAAAACGCTTTACTTAAACATCAGCACATCGGTTCATAATTGCGGAGCAGGGAAGAAGAGCACGTCAGCAGTTGGAGAAACATTGAATTTGCAGGGAAGCGACTGAAGCGTTTGCACAGAAGGGGGCAAATGGAGATAAGACAGGCTGTCTTCTGCTTGCATTCCGCTGTCAGGAAATTTGCACAGCAGAGATTTATCCTTTTTAAAGGAGCATGGAGGAGAAAAGGAAAGCTGTAGAAACACCTGCTTTCCCTTCTCTCCTGTCTGTAGGGTCACAGGTTCATTGGGCCTGATGGTTTACACCAGGATAATCCCACTGGAATCTGCACATCCACTTGCAGGAGTGTGCTGAGATCCATTCTTACAAAGGTTGCAGTGTTCAAGGGGGAGAATCCCTCTGCCTTACGCTGTGAGGATGACCAAGGTGCCCATGTTTGCACATTTTTATGAATGTCTTTCCCTAGAACCGTAGAATCATTAAGGCTGGAAAGACTAAAATCATCTAGTCCAACCACCAGCTCGCCACCCTGCCACTAAATCATGTCACTCGATGTGACACCGACTATTCTATGAACACCTCCAGCAGTGGTGACTACACCACCACCCTGTGCAGCCTGTTCCAATGCCTCACCAAAAGTGAGTCAAGACATACCAACTCCTCGGCCAGCTGTTGAGCCAAAAGTGGCTGTTTTTTAAACTCCTGCTGTCTGCCATCTTCCATAAAAGAGAAATTTGAAGTTGTAAGGCTCTAGGCACACTTGGGGCAGTAGAGAATCTTCTTCACAATACATTGCCTCCACTGAGCGAGAGGTGAATCTGTGCTGTCTCATGTGTACAAGATGGGCATGGAAGTACTGGCAAGCTTTGTGCAGCATCACAGCTTTCCAGGCTGGATTGCTCCAGCGTAATGCCCTCATACTGCCCACAGCATGCTATCAACAGGACAAAGAGGACACCCAGCTATGTGTGAAATGCACAAGTGCCAAAGCAAAACCCTTCTTACCCGTGAGGGGCTGAAGGTCTGGTTTGGTTTGTACTTGGCTGCCATCCCAACTTCAGGTAGAACAAACTCAGCACATCTCCTTATACCTGGGAGGCAGCACAAAACATCCAAAGTAAAGGCATCAATTCTCCATGTGGTGGGGAAGCAAGCCTAGCTTTTAAAACTGTCTGCAAGATGGGAGCAAATGAAGTCCTGAATGAGTGCACAAGGGAACAGAACATAATAAAAACGAGACAGGTAATCGCTGACAGATTATCTGGAGACACAGCCTAATACAAAACAAACCAGGAGACACAGCCTAATACAAAACAAAGCAGGAGAGATTGCTTAAAAATATCTGATAAGTGAAGCACTGCTCTGGTGCTGAGTGCAACAGTGTTCTTGACATCTTCATATTTGCTAACTGGAAACTTGCAATTATTCAGATTAAAAAACCATCACTTACATGAATCCAAGTAGCATTCTTTGCATTATTTTATGCATCTGTCCTATACAGATGCCTCTGTGACTTTGCATGGAAAGAAAACCTTACTTGATGTAAAATAATCCATTTGCCGAGTAAAATTCAAGTTATCTAACGTACTTTAGAGCTTTTTTCCTTTTCAGGGAACTGAAACACAAGGTAATGAATCAGAAAACATCTAGAAAAGAGGTCAAAATGGTCAATCTTGCTCAGATGAAGAATCCACTGGTTATCTGCCCTAGATTTAATTAGTGAAAACCACAAGGACTGCCTAGCTCAGCGCAAAGTTTCTGACCTGAGCCAATTTTGTATTTGACAGGATGAAATACCACTTACTTAGAAGAACAAGCTGCATAACATCTACTAAGCATGCATGAGCCATTGAGGGGCAATGGCTGTGCAAAACCAGCCCCATTTGGACGAAATATATTTGAGAGATCCAACCAGCAGGGCACAGCCTGCAGGCACATCGCTTTCAGATACCAGGGCTTCCCCAGAGCACAGTTCTGCCTGCTGCGTCCTTTGGGGTGACTTTGAAACCAAAGGATCACGGGTAACACAAAGCAGCCAACATAATCAAAGCCACTGTCATATGTAATAAGTTCCAGATTCCCAAACTGCTTATAAATACATGGTAGCCACATAAAAATTAATGACCCATTGATTGCAAACAGCAAACTACAAGGCAGAAACAGCTTTGTTGATGTATCTATTTGCCATTCTCTGCCCATCTTCACACTAAAAATGTTTCTGGTTACGGTTACTGTTAATTGCTTTTTATCTCAGCAGCCGAGCTAAGAGGTTTCAGCTGAGATGGAGTTTCACTCTCTTAGGCAATTACACAACCATCCAGATGCACAGAAAATCCCTGCTTTGTAATCCTGGCAAGGCAGAGTGCAGCAAGGTGTCTCAGGCCTGAAGAGAGGCTTCTGATGTAGAAAAAACACATCTGGTTGACCAAGGAAGCATCCGGGGAGGAAAAAACTGAATTACTCCTCCTCATGCTTCATCTGCCACAGCTCGCGGGTTAAGAACCCAGCCACGGTTGCCTGAATTTTAGCTCATCAACAGCAAGACACATGGTATTTTCAGACACACCACGTCTTCCAAAGACGTTCCTCCTAAGGAGGGCTTCCTCGTGCGGTGTCATTATCTCCGACAGATTTGCTTTGGAAATTTCCTCTCGAGGCTCCTCCAAGCTGACAAGTGAATTCTCTGCATCGGAAATATTTGTTCAGAGGCTGCCAGGCTCATCAGTCACTTCCCGGAGGAGGAGGCGGTCCAGGGGGGATTCTGCTCTTCCTGCTCCTATTGCCCCTGTAAAATGGCTTCACTGAGTCAACCATGTGCCTGGGCCACTTGTCTCCCCTGCCAGCAGCCACCCACTGACACAAGGAAGGTTATTTTAGTCCTATTTGGGCAGAAGGGAAGAACAAAGGACCTCCCAGCATAGGACAGCTCGACACACACCTTTGGCCTGATGGTAATTCTTCATGAACCGTAGACGTGATTTATGACATCTCCGTAGAGCATCACAGGTGGACAAGGAGAGGATGACCCAATCTCAGGAGGGTGGGTGGCCAAAGGCCTCTGACAGCTTCTGATCTACTTAACGAAAAGCTCCTTCTTACAGTTCTGACTGCTTCTTCATCAGTCATTGTTAACGAAGCACTCAGGTATCTTATCTCTGAATGGCAAGATTCCTCGTGTACCCATAAATCAGCCTCTCTCCAGCAAGAAAGCTCCATTTTCACCTCACTAGCTCTTTCTGAAAGCAAAGGCTCCTCCACATGAAAGAAAAAAAAACCCTTCCCATTTTCCTTCTCAGACATGCCATGCTACTCTCTTCCCTTTCATATGTTGTTATTTTTCATACTGCGTTCGCCAATTATTAAAGTGATTTTGCTTAGACAGAGACAAGCAGAGCACAGTGTAGCTTCTTCCTCTTGCTTTTTCATCTCTTGTGATTTTGTCATACGAGTGGAAATTTCATTTGTTCTCTTTGAAAGATGGCTGAGGACTCATTTGTCATGATTATTCCACTTTTAAGCTTGTGCTGCTCTGCTACGCAGCTGAAACCAAGCAAACCAGTGGTGAACATAACAGGTTATGAGAAAAACGGTTGTCAGCTCTTCCTGCTACCAAAGGTACCGTGCTGGATTTTCAGCCTTGCCACTGCTGCTGCGTCTATGGTTTCTAAAGCCAAAAAGATGAAGATTCATTAATTAACAAAAGAAGCTGGCAGATAATTTCATGATTAAGGCACTGGAGTGGGACCTGGGAAAAGTGGGTTGATTTCCCAGTCCTGGGTTGGTTGCTATGTGATCTTATTCAAATCAGCGCGTGGAGATAAATGCTCAACGTTGGCATTGCCTGCTCCCCATCAGCTCCAAGTGCTGTGGGTAGGGGCTGCTGCACAGGATTTTTCTCATTATTAACAGCTGAAGTCTCTCCGTTCCGCTGGGAGACAAATGGAAATAACCCCCAAACTCTCCTTGCATTTCTTGTTACTCAACCGGCCTTCCTTCGAGGTTGTCATTTTTTCCAGAATCTCCCGTGATTGACTAAATAACTGCTTCTAATGTGTTGGGGTTTTTTTTTTCTTTTTTTCCCCTTTCTTCTGTTTCCTAGTGAATGCCTTTACCTTCTGTCTGTTGCAAATGTGAACGGTTTTAATTAGGTGCTGTTGAAATGTCTTTTGCAGCTTGGCATCCTGTTCAATTTCGCTCCTCTCGTTCTCTTTGCAGTTCTGTTCCTTCCCACATTGCTTATGTTTTCTTGTTTGTGGACTCTTCTTTATATCCATAACTCAATCGTGCTGCACTTCAATTTCATCTCTAATAAGCATAAATAGGGAAGAGGACAGATAAAGCCAATCTCTCCACATGCTCCTCAAATATTCCTCTTTTCCTATGGCATATCCTTCCAATGTTTGGGGGCTTCCAGCGGGACTCAAGCACAAAACACCTCAGCCACTCAGCTCAATGGATTTGTTGTGCTTTCAATTATCTTCTTAAATGACATCATTTTTTTTTCCCTACAACTTCACAGAACATAATAAGCCTTTGAGTAAGGTCCTTAAAAACAGGGAATTTCTCAACTAACTTGTCAAAGAACCATTAAAGCCATTCCTTCATCCCTTCCCATTGCTGTTCTGGAGTTGATGAGCCCTGGAATTCTGGTTTTGCCAAACCTTAAATGAGGTCTGGGAGGGTGGATCCTGGCTCCATACCTTCTGGTCACTCAGATGCATTGCACACACCTGAGCTCCCCACGTTGGCCCTGCCTTCCCACCAGGTGCTCAATCACTGCTTCAGGCCATGACTTAGTGTTTCTGCTACATCTACTTACATTCAGGTTGTCTGGGGAAGTCAGTAATTTCTACTAAGCTGTACTCTGCATTCACTTCCAGGTTTATAAGAGAAGACAGTTTCACTTTTTCACTTCCTGATCTCCAGAAGCAGTACTGCAAAAAACATAAGAAGCAGGGATGGAGTGAAGTGTGACAGTCTGGCAGCTCACCCCTCCAGCACTAGGACACAGTCAACTCCACGCCAACCCACCCCAGATGGAGGTGCTCCACACAAAAACCTTTTGGAGCCTCTCACACAAGCTGTTCTAGCATGTATGCTAAACCTTTCGTGACCACGTTTCCTTTCCTCACCCCATTGTGTTCCTACTGCATATGCTCTGCTATCATGCAAGCCTACAGCATCTTCTCCCACCCAAAGCACGTGCAGCGGATGTGAATTTAAAAGCATGCAGTCTGCTACCAGATCTCCCTGCTTACAGTCTTATATTCTCCTCTATGATTGCTGGCTTCAGCCAATCCTTTTAGCAGAGAAGCAGCAGGAGACATGCCCCCTGAGCTATATGAGGCCTATGATAGAGGCCTATTCAGCCCCTGAGCCTATGTTGGGGCTGAAGTCAGCTCCCCCAAGAAAAAGACATCTGAAGAGCCAGGATTAGCAAGCTCCAGACTGTAAGAAAGGGCATGGTAAGATGAATTTTATGATAAGTGATAAACACAGAGCCAATCTTGAACACACTTTGTCCTAATGTTGGCACTGGTCAAAAGACAAAGAACACTGCTTGGCTTTAGAGTGTCCACACCATCCTTGGAGGTGCTCTGAGGAGGGTTTATCCTGTCCTTGGGAAGCACACATATCTTCATGGAAGCCCCAGCATAGCTGGCCAGTGAGAGTTTCTGTTCTAATGCTTCCCAGCACAGGCGAGTCTGTCTTTTCTACTTTGTCTCATCAAAGGAAATGAGGACACACAGCATCCCCAGTGAATGGCACCTCATTCCTCCAGTGCTCCCAGCTCCCTCCCCAGGGGATGCCCGTTGGATTTCATTCCCTTCAGCTCTTAAGCACTTATTGGAAAAGCAGCAGCCAAGCACAGCAAGCTTAGAGATCCGTCCTGGGCTGACTGTAAAAAGGAAATGGGGTAACAAGTGGTATTTTAGCTGCAGCAATGAAATCCATGTCCTAAAATTCAATTCTTTTGGCTGTATTTCTTAGGAGGATAGAAAGCCTCAATCTGACCTGTGGCTTGGGTCCTTATTTCACATGTCCTTTCTGCTGCAGGTACCAAGGCACTAGATGTGGCTCGGGGGATGTGGTAGTTCAGGCAGGAACAGAAGGCTTTGTGAAACACCTCTCTGCACAGCTTCCTGCTCAACTTTTCAAGCACAGCATTGAGGTGACCTCCAGCATCACCGGGCACATTGTTTACCTGGAGCCACCTCTGACACATTCATTGCAGGTTGCTCATGCTTAAATGAAATAAGAGAAGCCCTGGATAACTTGGTTCTGACAGGTGCCATGACATTTTCTTTCTACTAGAGGAAACCTCAGAGACGTTCATGCTTGATGAGGTCTGACTGTTTCCATGGCTCACGTTTACAAAGGAAATAGGTAAAAATACCCACAACTGGAGGGGAAGAAAAGGAAGCCTTTGTTCTGCAAGTAGTGAAAACCCTTGCTTTAAGAATTAAGGCAGTTAGAATTAGTGGTTGCTTTTCCAAGTCCTGGCCAAACAGCTGCTGTTTGACGTTTGTGAGCAAAGTCACCGTACAAAGAGGATGTGTTTGGAAGCAGAGTAGAGCTGCATGCAGGAGGAGAAAACACATGGCTCCTTCCAGCCCGGATTGTGTCACGTACTGCATGTCTGGGTGGTAGAGCTGAAAGCATCACATCTGACGTGCTCGTTGGCTGTGGGAAGGCAGCTGGGGCAAGGCAGGTCATAGAGTCAGAATCATTAAGGTTGAACGAGATCACTGAGATCATCAAGTCCAACCATCAGCCCATCCCCACCACGCCTACCTAGCATGCCTCTCAGTGCCTCAACCACACAGTTCTTAAACACCTCCAGGGATGGTGTTGTAGAGAGCTGCCAGAAAAATTGGTTGTGTTAATGCCGGTGGCAGGCTCAGCCTGAGCAATTTTGTGGTCAACTCCTGCAAAGGAAAGCTCAAAAGAGGATGCTGAGCAATGTGCACTTAGTTTTCCCTGATCCTAGGTCAAATCAAAAGCTTGTGGTAGATTTGCACAGCATCACTGTTCCGTTTGCATCAGTGGAGATGCAAAGAGCGAATTCTGATCTGTTGAAATGACAGGCTGCCTAGAGAAGTTATGGGTACCCCATCTCTGGATGTATTCAAGGCCAAGTCAGATGGTGCTCTGGACAGTGTCATCTGGTGCATGATCTAGTGGGTGGCAACCCTGTCCAAGGCAGGGGGTTGGAACTGGGTGATCTTTGAGGTCCCTTCCAACCCAAGCTGTTCTATGATTCTAAGGAAGTCAGCCCCAACAGGAGAAGGCACTTAGCTGTGCCAACATAATGGCAGGGAATCCTTATGGGCGAAGACGACTTGGAGAGATGAATCCAGGGTGATGCTGGAGATTAAGTGCATGCCACTCAGCTAATGAAAGCTCAGCCTGTGTTTCCAGAGGGGCTTTCAGCAGCATCAGCAATCAGTGCCCCTGCTAAGATGGTGAGAATAATGGGGCAGCTGGACAATAAGATGCCAGCAAGCAAGAAATGCTCAGCAATGAAGACAGATGACTGCAGGAGAGTCTTAAAATAGCATTGACATGCTGGAGAAGAAAGAGATGGAGATGAAGGCAGAAAACCAACCCGTTGGATCAGGTCCCTTCCCCATCACAGGGTAATGCCCCAAGTTGTCTAGCTACAATGAAATGAGCTTGATAGCAGCTTAATTAGAGTAAAAAGTTGGGGAAAATAAATAAAAGATGTAACTTTTTATGCAAATGGAGAGCAAGTAGGTCCTCAAAAATCTTCCCTGGTGAGCAAACAGAGCCTGCTGATCCAGCAAGAAGGAAAGCAAGGAGGAAGGAGTGCCAGGAGCTCTCAACACAACACAGGTTGGACTCCTCTTGGACCACCCACAGTCCATGCATGGTAGCCTCACGCTCCTTCCCCACGCAGCATGCCCAGCTGGCAGTGAGGAACCAGACATCGCCAGCTCCTCGGCTTCATCAATATTTCAATGGATATTGGTTTTTACTGTAAGAGACATCACTTCTTGTTAATTTGAGTGCTAGAATGGCACTGGCAGGCAGAATACTTTGGCTCCAAACAAACCCCGAGGGAAAAAGGGAAATATATTCCTAAGAACAACAATTGGAAAGAATCTAATTCAATAATAGATTTGGTTTGGTATCGTTCTGGCACCAGCAGTCGTCTTCCTGTTATTTTTAGGTTCTGATGACGCCAACAGGTTTGATTTTTTAATTTTTTTAAAAATTGTTGCTGTTAAGCAAAAAAAAAAAAAATATATTCCATAGTTTAATCACATTGAATGAAACCGTAATTATTTTTAGAATTTAAGACTTTGTACATCTAGATCTTCAGCAAAACATGCAGAGGTTTGCCTGAGCCCAGAGAGAAGGATAAGGCTGCTTCTTTGGCTTTTGGAGACGAGGACAGAAAACAAATATGTTTTTCTAGCAAGAGACTAACAGGGTTTTAGATGAAGCATATTACACAGCCCAAAAGGCAGAATTTATGTTTATAAACACAAAACAAACATCAAAATCATCTCTTTTCATGTGACAGCTCCTTTCATTGTGTTTTATCCTTCCAAGGAATTAGTCACAGAGGTATTTATTTGGGATATTAGCTGCAATAGCTACACAAATAGGCACCAAACATTACGAATGCTTGGCCCCATATTGTTTGTGACTTCCACTAGGTCGTGAAATACTTGATCTGTGAAAAAAAAGCCTGTTTTGAAGAGAGTTTCCCCATGACTTCCTTTGCTTTGTGCATCACGAAGGCATTGTTTGTGCACTGTGCAGCAGAGCAGGGACTGCAAATCCAAACTAAGCCAGGAGGGCTCCCAGGAGAGACAGGGTAAGGGAAGTACATCAGCATCAGCCCTACTCTTGGAGTGCAGCAATGGAGAAGAGCTGTTCCTCTTGTACCCCAAACCAACCTCAAGCGCAGCCAATAGATGAGGCCTGATGAAGGGTTGCTCACCAAAGGGATACTCACCTCGCTCCAGGTCCAACCCAGCTGATGTCTACGGTTCCCAGAAAGAGGACAGAGATTTCTTATTCATCAATGGAAATGCCTTCTCTCGTGTTTCATTTCACTCCTGTTTTGGGAAAGGGATGAGAACAATCCCATTATTGGTCTTAATGGTAAACTTGAGAGGAAGATCAACCGAAAAAACAATGCCAAAACAGAGTGAAGAGCGAACGAGCAAAAGAGCAAAGGGAGGGATCTCTTTGAATGCACCCATCTCTCCCCAGGATACGTTGGCCAAGGGAAGAACAGTGAAGAAACAAACCCATCAACTCCTGAGAGCTCCGTGCCCTCATTCAGTGATGACAGCCTCCAGACCAAAAAAGGACTATCATCCAGAGCCACCCAAATTGACAGTGAAACTCTCCCAAAAACCATTTGTGTTGCTGTAGGCTTGGCCATACCCATCATCCTGCGCAGGCTCACGGATACAACAACAGACGCACACCAACCCCCCACAAATAAAGTAATTTGTACTTTGGGTCAGCACGCTCTGAATCTGCTTGTGGGATTTACTGCCAGGCTTGAGGCATTTTCTGTTCTTGCTCGAGCACTTGGTATGAAGAGACACTGGTTACAAATCTGCTTGCCTATGAGGAATGAGATGCAAACCGTAAACTCCTGTTTTGAAGAGTTTGTTCAGCTAAGATGTCACTTCTAGGCTCCGAGTTATACAAGATCTCATTTTTCAAAGGTTAAAAAGAAAGGACTCCTGAACTCTTTCCAGTTTCTGCTTCTTTTTTCCTGCTTTTCTCTCTTTAAAAACAAAAAAAATTACAATTACAAAAGGTATGTGCAAAACATTTTTTTTTTTCTCGGATAGCTTCTGGCTGCTTTCATGCTGAAATTTGGCAGTCAGCATGCATTTCTTATTCAAGAACAGACATAGATTCTGCACTTTAAAACTTGAGGTGGTTACAGACCCAAGAGATTTTTTTTCCCTTTTCAAACCTGCATTAAAAATTGTGCACAACCCTTTTTTTTTTTTTCCCCTCCTCGTTGTTGTTTTTAAAGAAAAAGCTACAAGGACGTGTATTAGCAACAGCCAATTAGCCCCACATCACCAGGGCAGCTCCTGCAGAAAGTGTTTTTTAATCAATAATAAAATCCTGGGAGATGATGAATTTCTACAGCGGGACATTTTAATAGCGAGGAATGAAATGGCTTCAGATGTAGGATGGGCTTTATACATCTGTTGGGCACCTGATCAAGGACAGCCCTACCTGGGGCTGCACTGTGTGCTTGGGGGCTGGTGATGGTGCTGTAGGGTGAAGGAACTGGGAGAGGGAACAGAGAGCTCCTGGTCTGATCCTGCTTTCACATCTATCCATCACCTTTCTCCCTGGAGCTACAGGGAGACACACTCATCTAATTTTACACTTGAAGTGGTAGAAATGGTGGCTGCTCTTTCCGATTCCCCACAACAAACATCTCTGCAGATTGTAAATCCTACACCCCCCAGTAGCTGGTTTGATATGCGCAGCTTCTTAGTGCTTGCTCGGACCAGTGCCTTTGGGTAGCTTTGAAAAATACGAGAAATTAACATTTGAAAAGGTATTCCCACACACTCTTTGAGCAGGAAACGTGGCTTCCTTCTCCACCCACTTTATCGCTAAGCAGCTTGGAGATGCATAATGGAGACTTTCACGGCTGCTGTGGTTTAAAACCATCAGCCAGGCTGCGATAATCTCTTGAGCGTGTCTTTGCTGAGGGAGAAAACTGGATGGGGAACAGCACCTAGATACCCATGGATTGTCTCTGCCACTGCTGAGGGCTTTCTATAGACCTGTGCTTCATACATCCTTGAGTCCATGTGTGTAACCAAGCTATGGGCAGTTTGAAGCTGCCTCCTGAACAGGCCAGTTTGCTTCCCATTGCTGTCCCTTAGGGCATTATCACATGAACATGCCTGGTTTGGGTCTAGAACCCATGTTAACCCTCCTCCTTGTGCTGACAGGCAGCTTGACTGGAGCTAAGCTGGGGTAGCACAGGGAAGGAACCAGCAAGATCTTGAGACAAAAAGTCCAGGAAAGGGCTGTTATAGAATCATAGGAACGTTAAGGTTGGAAAAGATCACTAAAATCATTACATACAACCATCAATCCATCACCATCAAAGCTTTATGGGCAAAAAGCCAGCAAGTGTTTTAGATGTTCTACCACGCTGAACACAGATGCAAAATTTCGACTATTAGAGCACAAAATCTGTGAGCTGAACCTCTACTGAAGGACACATTTCAATGCAGGTATAACCTGGTACCTTCCTGAGAGAAAAAAAACAACAAGAAAAACAGCCCCAGTTTGCCATCCAGGCCTCAGTGTTTCCTTGCCCATTTTCTCATGTGCACCAATCTGCCAAGCCAGATGTACAAATGTTTTGTGTGGGCAAACAGGCACTTGTATGGGCAAACATTGCCCTGATGCGTGCGTTCTCATGGGCATGAAATCAGGCAGTGCACAGAGGCAACAAGCAGCAATGGGGCTGGGGGGGACACGTCACAACCTTGTGTTCCCAGCAAGTTGAACCTTGCTGGCATTGCCACACAGTTGATTAGGAGAAATGCCTTCTCTGAAAGAGCAGAGGTGCACTGGCACAGGCTGCCCAGGGAGGTGATGGGGTCATTGTCCCTGGAGGTGTTACAGAACCGTGGGGATGTGGCACTGAGGGACATTTTTACTGGGCACGGTGGGGGTGGGTTGGGGTAGAACGTGGGGATCCGAGATGTCCTCTCCAACCTTAGTCATTCTATGCTCTCCATAAAAGCCATGCATCGCATCCATGTGGCCTGGTGGTGGAAAAGATGCTCTGCTCATCCAGGTCGCGAATTCCTGCCCTCCTCAGCCTAGGGAAGGGCACAGCCAAGCACCAAAGTGCTATAGCACCCTAATATGACACACATAATGGCTTATCTTCCACCATCTATGAATAACCTTGTACAAGCCATTAAAAACAGGTGTGAAGTAATGCATTTGCTATGCTTTCACAAGCTAATTGGGAGTATTACAACAAATGACTAGGTAATTAACCAGTGTTTCAACTCCAGTAATCACATATTGTAATTCTAGCAGAGCCACAAAGGCTCCAATATCAACTTGGTTTGGGAAGAAAGCAACATTAAGTTACATTCTGAATGCCTGTTCTTAAGACAAATACCATTGCCCCAGGAAGAGCAGCGGGAAGGGAGTGCTTTCCATGCTTGGAAGGACCTAGCAATCCCCACATTTCAGCCCTGCCACCTACACTGGAGCAGCCCAAGTGTGAGCAGCGTTCAGCTTGGGCTCATCTCAGCCTCCTTTCCCACCAGCAGGGCAGGACTGAGGGATGCCAGCACAGGGATACCTCTGCCAAGGCAGCTGAAGCAGCTCCCCGCACCCAATCCAAATCTCATCCATCCTTCACTGGTCTCTGTTCTCTCCTTCTTTCCCAAGCAGCGAAGCAAAAGGGAAACCAGGGGCTCTGCTGCAAGCAGCACCTGTTTCCATAGAGATTTGCTTAGAAAACATGCGAGGCAGAGATGGAGGTTAGAGAGGAAGGCACCATGGCTTGTCCTTGTGTATCACAGACTCTCGCTCGCTGGCTATCCCACTGCTCCAGTGTCTAAAGATGGAGATGAAGAGTTTCCTTGGCCCTGCAGAAAGCAGGGTTTTCTGATTCTCCCGGCAAACCTCGGTGCCTCGGGAGGAGATAAAAGCATGGATGCAATTAGAGTCTCTCCTATTTGCCTTTAATCAGCTCTCCAAAGAAACAGAGGTTTCTTAGAAAATCATTGCAAACTCTTGATTGCTTCCACAGCCTTCCAGAAGAAGGAAAGAATAACCAAGACAAGCAGGGCAGAAAGAAGAGATGGTGGGAAAGGGCAGAGGATGCTGGCCTGGTTTCCATCACCACCTGTGCCACACTGGCTTGAAGTGACCATCCTCAGGGGAGTACATCAGGAGGTGCCGTCAAGACACAAAATAGAAAAGAGGGTTTGTTAAACTATGGGATGGCACCTTGAGAGAAGACAAGGCAGGTCAGGCTGGGAGCTCCTGGACATGAGCAAAGTGGCCACATTGCCACTGACACCACATCTGGGGAGAGAAGTGTCACCCAGGAACCATGGCCATTGGGCTCCTTGTTTGATGGAGCTATTCCTGCCTCTGTGAAATAGGATTTGCTTTCCCCACGCCAAGCTGACTTGCTTTGAGAAACAATTGCCCAGCTGCCCCCCGGCAGCCGTGTCTTTGCAGTCTGGTTGCAGGCTGCTTGGTGTGAAGGAGCAGCTGCCAGGCAGTCATTCCCTCTGACTATCTCTAGGAGCTGCTCAGCCTTGCTTCCCATTTCTTAGGACAATCTGCACAGGCATTTGCAGCCCCGCTGCTCTCCCCACTCCATGCATTTTAACGCAAGGTGAAATCTAAGCCTGCAACGCAGCCTATTGAACCAAAGAAACCAAGCCAGGCTGAGCTTCAAATTAATGGAACAAAACCCACTACAAAAACGCAGCCAGCTGGTCCAGCCCCCAGCTCCCCAAGCCACTGGTTGGAGCCAGGACAGCTATCATGCTGCCAACCAACAGATTGCCCCAGTGGGTCGGCGGCTCACGGCCATTTAGCACATCCACTGCTGAGCACACTGCAAGGCGTGAGTTCCTGCCAGAGCCCTCGAAATGCAAATGAAAGCATGGCACTTCCAGGGAGGTTTCACCATTCCCTGGCTATGGTCCCAGCTGCTTCTCACATCTGTCCCCGTGCACTGCAGGAACGTGGTCAAAGGGTTCTTGTGATCAACAGAGGCAGAAGCACAGAGAAACAGGAGCTTGTGGAAAAACACAAACGCCAAACAAGCTCCCCAAGCCCCTGCTTTATATTCAGGCTTTATATATATCCAGCCATCCATTTGTCAGGAATGGAGGGTGCAGCGTTCTCCATCTGCAACGTCTCCTTATGGCAGCGCTGGCAAAAATCAAACACTCGTTCTGTTCACAGCTGTGCACATCAACCTGAGAAGTCTGTCCAGCCCTCCCTGCCTCTCATTTCCCAGGTGAAGTCAGACTGTGCTGCTAAGAGAAGGGCCAGAGCCCCCTGATCACTCCTGCTTGCAGGGTGGCCTCCTCCCAACCATAGCACCCACTGTGCCTCTGCCCTCATTGCAGTTAAGAGGAATGACTGCAGACCATCACTTCTCCACTTCCTTCCCAGGCTGAAACCTGACCCACTCCTACAGCCAGTAATAACATCTCAAAGTTAATTCACTGGAGTTGTACTCATTTGCGGCCAAAAATAGTGCTTAATACTCTTCCCTCAGCACAGAGGCTGGTCTGAGTGGTCAGCCCCACAGGCACAGCACCAACGGCCAGCTAAGCAAGGCAATGAATTGCTTTGTACAAGGGAAAGCATTAGGGAGCACAGCAACAGCTGACACCCAGCAGAACACCACCCACCCACCCCCAGGAAATGCAGCTTCATTCCCATAACCCCCATGCCTCAGTTTTCCCACCTGTGAGCAGGAACAGCAAAGCCACACATCCATCCAGACAAAGAAACAACCCCACACCTACTCCTTCTCCAGGGAAAAACAGGGAGAGCTGCTCAGGGCTGTTTAAGAGGCTCATGCCACACACCTGCAATGCACTCATCCTGTGCAGCTGGGAGCAGGCATCAAGCCGGGGGCCAGCACTGAGAACCTCTGTATGGGTGGCAGCTCCTTCTCCAGCACAGAAAGGAGACAAAATGCAGAAAGCCTGAGAGCAGCATGCTGTTTTCTCCTGGAAATGTTCTTCTTCTGCAATATCAACGCTTTGCAACCCAACCAGCTCCAGGTCTGTGCCCTTTGCATGGCACCCCTTTGCACCCCTCTGCTCTCACTCCTGCTGTGAGGTGCAAGACGCTGCTCCCCAAGGGTGAAGAAAGGGGGGTTGCTGATTGGCATTGCCTCTGCACAGCTCCTGCTGACTTCCAGACGTACTGCAAGCTGTGAAAGGAGGTGAGATGTGCTGCTGGGGTGTAACATCACATGCCAGAGGAGCTCAAGCTGGGACAGGCTCTCCAAAAATTACATCTGTGTCCATGAAACTCATCCTCTGAAAAAGTATTTGAAACAGTGTGATGGCACTGTGTTTTAAGCTTCTTTTATACCTGAAGTAAATTATCAGGCCGTGTGCAAGGCCACTCTGATACTTCTGCAGCCCAGGCACCAGGCTCTGCCTGCAGCGCTGAGCAGAGGGCTGAACTCCACCAGGAGGTAAAGCCCTTGGATTATTTCCTTCCTCTACTCCTCCCATTTTGGAAAGGCAAAAAAACACATCATTCACTATGCTCGTGAAGCAGATCTGTGAAAATCAATCTGCAAATCGCATCATCTATGGCAGATTGCTCCATAAATTGACTGACTGGGTCCCGGGGGGAGGGGGGGAAGAAACGTGGGAGGGAGAACTCATACAAAGCATCTGGATCAGGTCTGGCTCCAGCAAATCGCTGCACATCCACCACCCTTCTGCTATCCCAGTGGTACCAGTACCTCTGCTGGCAGCATTGTGTCCAAGCCCTCAGTGCAGCTCAGCCAGGAGGATGCCAGCTGGGAAGGGGAGCAATTAATGTGTTATGCATTCATTTATAAGGATTTTGTCACTTCACTGAGGCAATGCAAGCCCATAGGAGAGGTGGCTCCCATCCTCCCTCTCTCCCACTGCCACCTATAATGCCCAAGCTGACCCAAAAAGGGGCTCCCAAAGTGTTTCCTGCAGGCACTGTGTACCAGAGACCAATTCCCAGGTAGCCTGTCGTATTTTGCCTGCTCACGTGGGATCTGGCATAAATACATCAAACGAATGAAAAAAGAGAGGCACTGAACCAGGTTGGGCAATTCAAAGGAGGAGCAGCAATTGCATGTGCTCGTTGTGGAGGATGCTTACACATGGGTGGGATGCTCACCCATGGAGGGGGGTGCCTGCCCATGAAGGGGGTTGCTCACCCACGGAAGAATGCTCACCCAAGGAGCCACCAGCACTGCCATCCTGCTATGCCACGTGGCTCTCAGCATGAGTAAGCGCAGCCCCACTTCCAATCCCACACACATCCTCAACACCCGAAGAGCACACTTGTAAGTGCCATCGGAGGAACAAAAAGGGAAGAGGGGGACGAGAACCACCCCCGGCATCTCCCCTCCAAGCTGCTTGGGAAAAGCTCGCTGCAGCTCACAAAGCACCAGCAACCAGGGCAGTCAGGGACAGGCATGCCATGATGCTCTGAGACATCCCTGCCAGCAGGACAGGGCTTTGGTGCACTGAGAGATGCACCCTGCTCTTTCCTTTGGCCTTGCAGGGTTGAGGACAGCACCCAGAGGTCACATTTCATTTCCAGTAGTGTCTGTGTCCCCACATCCCTGCAAGGAGGAGCACCCCCCAGTTCCCCCACCAGTTCCCAATTTATCCCCTGTCTCCTGAAGCTATTCTCAGCAGGTACAATCTGCATTGCCATTGTTATTCAGATGATGTACAGATAATTTTAACCTTTCTGTTCCATTTGTCAAGGCTTTTTTTTAGCCTCCACGCCTGCCAGGCAGAGCACTGCCTCCCTAGCAGCAGAGGCTCCTGCTTTGCAGCACCAGGTTCCCTTGCTAGGGCTGAGCTCCTCTTCCCCTCATTGCTTCGGCTGGGGTAGGCTCATGTTGAGGTGGCCCAGGTGAGCACAGCAGTTGCCTCAATCCTTCCCTGAGCCCTTCTTGGTGCAGCACCCACAATAAAACAAGAGCCCTGCTGCAAAGCCGCGCAGCACAGCCATCACCCACAACTAGCCTGCAGCCTGCCGCAGGCTGCTGGCAGCCTGGAAACTTGCTGCGCTCCCAACAGCTCTGTGCAGGAGAAGCACAAGCCCTGACTTCAGCTTCTTCCCTTGACAACTTACCCAGAGGCTTTGGACCAGGCAACAGCACCTGCATGAGAAAGAGCCAAAGCAGGGGGGGGGTTCTTTACAACAAGGTTTTATTTTTGTTTCCTTTTGACAAAAAACATGGAAGTTGTACACGGCCGCCCGTCGGCTCGGCTCCACGGTAGGTCTGAGCGAGCACACTGCAGTACAGCATCCCGCCCTCTCCCCCTGCCTCAGCCTGCCCAACACCTTTTTGGGGGGAACCTCCTGTCTCCCCTCCTATGCTCACAACAAACACTGATGGCAGATCTTGAGTCTTGGAGGAGAAAGGAACGTCCAAAAAGCCAGGGAAGAGAGACATTGTGCGGCAGCAACATGAGTCCAGTGACTTCAGAAGAGGGATGCTGCAGTGGTGCACGGGGGCTGTTCCTCACCCCCTTGGTGCAGTCCTTCCCGCAGCCCTGCCAGAGTTGGTTTTGATTTCGCAGCCTCTATGGCCCTGCAGTCCCTGTCTGCTGTGGGGAACTGCTATGGGAAAGGCCAGATAGGGGCATTTTTGTGCTGCCCCCTAAAAAAGAAAACCAGGCTGCTTTGCTCATACAAACGTATCCCACGTGTCAGTAAAACAGGGGTCCTAGGCAGCAAAGCTTGAGTTCAGCCCATCGACATCTCAGCACCCATTGGTGTGATGCCATGTCCTCGTCCTCTTCTTCTTGGCTCTGCCACCAGAAGTCACAGCAGCACGCACCCCCACCCCCGACCCCAAAAGCTCTGGGTTGCAAAAGCCTGCCTTGTTTAACATGGTTTGCTAGGAAACACTGCAAAGCATCACTATGCATCAGCCCCATTCTGGGTCCGAGAAATGCGAATGCCCAAATCCCCAAATCCATCCTCTCACCCAATGAAGACACAAGGAGCTGCCACCTCCCCAGCCCTGGGGCTGCTCCTGGGACACCCTGCTGCATGTGGGAGGAGGTAATGCCGGTGCCTAAATTTAGAGGACATACAGCAGCTGCAGCTGTCTGCTCAGAAGGCAAGAGGCTTGCATGGGGCCAGCAGGACTGGTTGGAGGTTTGGTTCCATCAGTGGAACCTATTTCTAGGGGCAAGCATTAGCCATTAGAAAAAGGGTTTTGATTCACAACAGAGCCTGACTTTTTGGAACTGGCAGGATTTGCTCTGGGGGAGCTCTATGAGCAGTCGGGCAGGGGCTGATCTGCACATGCAGGAGCAGGGCTGCGTGTGCCCAAAGCATCTGTCAGTGGGGAGCAGTAGGTTACCGGGTTGCCAGGCCACCACTAAGGCAGAAAATGCGATTCCCACTGCTGTGAATGCCTTGGGGGCATGGGGACGTCCCTGCTTCTCTATTGCATCCAGTGAACCCCGCCGGGGCTTGGTCAGATGACTAAAACAAATCCATGTATGTGTATATCTTTATATATACAGCATATAAATATATATACACACACATACCGTATATACACGCACAGGCACACCTAGAGTTCTCCTTATAGAAATACAGCTATATCAATGCGAGGCGGGGTACATTGGCAGCACTGAGCCCCCCCTCCCCCGCTGCTTCCACCCACCCCAACCAGTACAAACCAGTTGGCTTTGGCTTGGCCCCCTGGGAAAGCAGAGCTGCTGCTATCTGCGCTGTGCCCCTAGACCCCACACCTCACCCCTTCCCTGGGCCAGCATGAGACCCTTAGGGAGGGAAACTCAAAGCCAGGGCAGCACAAACCCAAGCACAGAACCCCCGCGCTGGGATGCTCTGGCCATGGGGAGCACAAAAGCAGCATCACGAGCGCTGCCAGGTCCTGCTCGGGCATCCCCGAGTGCCTCTCACTGCAGCTGGGTGCTCTCATTGCCCCCAGCCAGGCCTCTCCACCTCTGGCCAAATACTTCTCTGTGCAGAAAAAAAAAGTGATCGTAATAAATGAAAGTTGACAGGTTTTAATTTTTTTTTTTTTTTTTTTTTTTTTTTTTCAAAAAGACTTTTTTTTTTTTTTCCCCATTCTGGTCAGCTGGGTTTTGTTTTTCTTCTTCTTCTTCTTCTTCTTCTTTTTTTGTCGTGTTTTTTGTGTTCATGGTTTTTTTTTTGTTTGTTTGTTTCGTTTTTGTTGTGTTTTTTTTTTTTTTAACTTCCCCCTTTGCGTTTGGTTTTGGTTTCGTTTCATTCCCAGGCGTGGCGAAGAGCATGCATTGGAGAGGGCAGGGCGGCGGGGCGGCAGCGGTGGGGACACAGCCTCTAGCACTTGTCATCTTCCTCGGTGTCGCTGAGCACATCTATGCTGGCCCCGCACATCACACCCTGCCCAGCCCCTCGCCTCCGCCTCCGGTAGTGCCCGTTGGGCATCTGCCAGCTGTGCCGCAGCGGTGGGGCTGAGCCAATGGTGTTGGAACGACCCAGGCTGGTGGCCACGGCCGCCTCGAAGGTGAGCGTCTCCTCCTCGCCGCAGTCCGAGGCGTGCGAGTCGTCGTGCAGGGCCAGGTAGGGCTCCGAGATGTAACGCTGCGGGGTGGATGGCCGGCTCGGCTTCCCCGCTGGGGAGCTGGAAGACTCGGTCAGGCCGGCGGCGTTGGGCTCCTTGGAGAGGAGCGGGGACCCCCCTTCGGTCTCGTCAGGAGGTGGTGAGGCGTCTCCGGCGGCATGCCGCAGCATGGAGGCATAGGAGAGGAGGGGACGTGGTTTTGGGGGCACCGGTGGGAGCTGGCGGCGGCCTCGCCGGGGTGTGCTGGTGTCCGAGATGGAGGGGATGGAGCTTTCACTCAGGGAGCCCGTTCCCTGCAAAGAGACACAGGGTCTGAGCTCTGCTTGTGGTGGCAACACGCAGAAAGCTTTTTGTGTAACGTGACCAACCAGAGCAGGGCATTGCAAGCTTGCAGTGGGAAGAGCTAAGTGCTCTTTAGCTGCTGTTCTCTTCACTAGTAGCATATCTTTGAGCTACCAGCAACTTTGAGCATCTCCAGCTTGTGTAGCTGGGACTCCTCAGCTTTGGCAGAGAGCAGGTGCTGGTGAAACCAGCTCCAGAGGCACCAGAACCTACGTGGTGACTTCCCCTCTCTCCAAAGACACTGTGAGGCACACCAGGCACTATCAAGCCGCCAATACTATTCTCATTCTCACAGGGGACAAGAGATGCCACCTGTATGGGAACTCTGAGTCAGGGCCTGAACCTCTGATTGATCACCTGAGGCAAGCATTGAGTCATCTGTGGGAGCAAAGGTGAAGGCAATTTAGCTGTGTGACTGGAAGGAGTGAAGCCTGGCTCCATCTCTCCTAGACCCCATTTAAGGGCTGACTGCCACTTGGAAAGGATCTCTTTCTGAAGATTGTTCCTTTTGGAATTTTCTACTGCAAGCCTAGGACACGGGTGAGCATTTCATTTATCTTTGAATATCGCTTTCCACCACGATAATCTTTCTAATTAAACAACCTGTAAAATACCATCTTAACCACGCCACTCTGCTAACTGCACATTTGTTGGCTGTACGCACCACTGGGAGAAGAGCCATTACAAAGCCCCTTGCATGGAATCATAGAACCATTATGGTTGGAAAAGACCTCTAAGATCACCAAGTCCAACCCCAGCCCACCATCACCAGTGACCACGTCATCTCCATGGTTCTGTAACACCTCCAGGGACAGCGATTCCACCATCAGTGCCCTGCTGGTCTTTCTGAAAATAACCTTGTCTTAATATTCGACTTGAACCTCCCCTGGCACAACTTGAGGCCATTACCAAGCATCCCTTTGCACTTAAGAAAGATTTTTCCACCCACCTGCCTGTTGGGTGTTTGTGACCTGCCCTCGCTGGGGGACCGGGACTCGCGCCGCCGCTCTGGAGACTCATCGTGTGCCTGGGGACTCCTCTCCTCTGAGTTGCAGCGGGAGATGTCAGGGGACAGCAAGTGCTTGCGCTCTTTGGATCGGCCCCGCTCCCTGCCACCCGAGCGGTGCCCCTCGGACCTGTGGCCTGCAGCAAAGCCCATTGGTCCCTTGCTCCACGTCCCCGTGGTGGCGACAAGGAAGGACAACACCGAGTTGATTTTTAGAGACGGAAGGGGTTCTCATTCACCTGAGTCAGCGTTGAGGCGCCGGGCAGAGAGCTGGAGCGAGGAGTGGTAGCTGCGCCGGCGGGACTTGTAGGTGTTGTCGCTGCTGTGCTCCATGGAGAACTCATCCAGCCAGGAGGTGTTGGTGCGTTTGTCCCGGATGGTGGAAAACGACCGCCGCATCGAGCTGGTGTCTGTCACCACCTGCAACAACCCAGCCAGACGATGATGGGATGCTCCGGCCACAGCCCCACCGCTGCTCCCGCCATGAGCTCCTTAGCACCATGAGGTTTAGCAGTGCTCAACCTGGGCACTCCCCCTAAATGATCTCGCCACAAATTAGGGGCAGAAAGAAAGTGAGTCTGGCTGAAGAGCGCTGCTAGCAAAGTGCCCGAGCGTAGCTCAAAGCTCTGGGAGCCAGAGGGGGAGCAGCTGCATCCTGCCCATGGTACGGTGATAGTGTGGATACCGAACCACGGCCCCAAGCTGCCACAGCATCCCTCTCACCTTGGGAATGAGACCAGCAGAGCAAATGGGGGCACTGCAGGAAAAATCACGATGAGAGAGCAGTCTCATCCATCTCTCCAGTGCTCCTCACTCAGTGGTTATTTTCACAGCATTTTCAGACCCCTCGCCTGTCCTCTTTTATCCTCATGTCCCCTTTTCCCTGCACTCAGTCCCTCTCTCCCTGCTCACGCTGCCATTTTATCACTCCTCTTCCTCACTCCTCCTTCCTACCTTCTCCATTCCTTCCAGCTTGTGATCTCAAATGCTTTTTGGAAAACATCATCCCCTTGATAGAAGATTGACTGAATGGTTGGGTTGGAAGGGACCTTAAAGCCCTGCCAGCTCCCCCCTGCCATGGGCTGGCTTCCCCCAGCTCAGGCTGCCCAGGGCCCATCCATGGCCTGGGGCACCTCCAGGGATGGGGCACCCACAGCTCTGGGCAGCAGTGCTGGCACCTCCCCACTCCGAGTGAAGAATTTCCTCCTAACATCCCACCTAAATCTCCCCTCTTTTAGTTTAAAGCAATTCCCCCTTGTCCTATCACTATCAGACCATGTAGGAACTCAGTCCCCTTCTGCTTATAAGCTTCCTTCAAGTACTGGAAGGCCACAATGAGGTCTCCCTGGAGCCTTATCATCTCCAGGCTGAACAAGCCCAGCTCCCTCAGCTTAGGAGAGGTGCTCCAGACCTCTGACCATCTTATGAATTTCCTTCCACTTTGCTTTAGCAGCTTTTTGCTTCTCCAGCCTCAGGTCCTTCTCCCGTCTCCTCCCCTCCCTTATTCCCAACCATCTCCCGAACAGTTGAATTCCATGAGGCAAAGCTTCCCTGTGCCAGGCTGTACCAACACCCCTTTGAAGAACCAGACCTGGAGACTTCACAGGGATGCATTGTGAAATCAAACCCCAGAAAACCTTGTGTGTCTCAGTTGAGGCTGAATACAAGACAGAACAACAGAGAAACCAGCCAGACAAACAAGGTGAAACGTGGCCTGTGCTCACCCGGACAGACTGTCCGCAGACACATGCAGACAAGCACGTGTGATGGGACAAGGGGACACAAGGAGAAGGTGTTTCATTCTCTGGGACACATCACTTTGCATCCGAGCAGGGACTCTTTACATCTCAGCCAGTGTCTGAGATGGAGGAAAGGAGGTTGTTCCATCATATCGGTGCCCTGCGGTGTCCCAGCATGATCCTGCTCCAAGAGCAAGTGAGCAATTCCTTTGGCTGCTCTGCACTGCTGGTTCCCACCACACATGGGACAGCAGCTCTCCTCCTTGTGGAGCACCCCAATGGTGCTCTGGGGAGCTATGGGGCTCAGAAGGTTTTATCACCAGTGTTACCTGGTAGGCTTTGCTTGGACCCGGCACCCATGGGAGCTTTGCTTGGTTTTACCTGGGGATCCACAGTGAGACGAGGCATGGAGGAGGCCCTCCCAGAGACAGCGTGGTCCTGAGTGTCCACGGGAAGGTAGCTGCCACGGTTAGAGGGCTGCACTCTTTGAAACTCCCTAACCTCTGGCTCCTGGAAACAAACACACAGCCATGCTCTTGGGATGGGGTCAGGGCACAGTTGGGCACTACTCCTCATAGAGGACAGGCAGCCTGAGGTGGGTTTTAAGAGGGCCAACAGGGAAGTCTGGGAGAGATCACAGCCTTGTAGCCACTCAAATTGACGTCCATTTTCCAAACCAGGTGAGCTCAGGTATGGGACTTCAGGCTCACCTCATGTCCAAGTCCACCTCACACCTCGTTCCTTCAGTGCTGGCAGTGCAAACATTGCTTGGATCAGCCCAGCCACCTAGGCTTGACTTCCTTTCCCATCCCTGATTTAGGGGAACAGGGCACAGGACCCCTAAATGTCAGATTTAGGGGGGGTTGTGGAAGGGACAGGGACTGCACATGTGCGTGGTACACAGCTCACGGAGTGTGACAGAGCACGGGGACACAGACCGGGCTGGAGATGCACAGTGGTACCCAACAGGCACTGTGGCAGTGCGTGGCTGCACACACACAGACACGGAGAAAGAAATACGTGTATAGATGCACACACACACACGGACACTACTGCTGGCATGTGTGCAAGGCTGAAGGGGTGTACCCTGTGGTGATGGTTTGGGTCGGGGACACCAGCACTGACAATAACATGGACACGAATCCAAAAACATCAGATACCATCGCTCAGCACGGGGTAACCCACTGAAATGAGCGCTCAGGGGGAAAAAAAAGAGCAGCCTGCAAAAAGAAGGATGTTTTACTGCAGAGCATCAGACCACGCTCGCAGTCCTGTCTGCAAGAGCTGAGGGGCCAAATTCAAACACAACGATGGTCCCACACCTCCCTGCACCCACCAGCATCCTTCTGGGAGCACAGGCAGTGCCCAGCAGGCAGCGTGTGGCTTTACCAGAGACTGGTGCTCCTGGAACTGCCCCTGGGCTGGATCCATGCACGCCAGCTGGAAGATCTCCTGTGGTGAGAGCGGGCTCAGCGAGGGGAACCCGCTCCGGCTGCTCCTGCAACAACAGTCTGGCTTCAGGGTGGGTGGGCACAGATCAGGTGTTGCTGTCACTTTCAACATCCATGGGTCCCCATGCTCAGCCCCGATACAGAGATCCCCAATACAACCACCATGCTCCTTGGAGAGATAAGGCAGTGCCCATTCCCCCTTCCAGAAACAGAGAAGCTGCAGGAAAACCTCATCCCCTTGTCGAGGCAATACTCACAGCCCTGTGAGAGTGTCCTGCTGGAGGTAAGGCAGAGCCTTTGCGTTGGAGATGATTTCCTGTGGCAAAGAGGATGGCTCCATGCGCTGGAACATGGGTGCGTTTTTCTGAGGGGAACAAATGAAGAAGCTGAGGCTGCATGAAACACAGTCCAGCTCTTTAACTAGAAAGCATGGGAAGGTGAGGGTGCGCTCGTATTCACTGTCAGAGGCTGAGGATGCACGTCTGTAGCCAACAAAACCCAATATGCACCAAGGGATGGGCAGCACCTGTTGAAAGCCAGCGCCTCACTAGCCAAGAGCCCCATGGACATCCTCATTTTGGCTCCCCAGCCAGCTGGAGGCTGGACAGGTGTCAGGTCAGGGTGTGATATGAAGCACGCTGCCTCTGTGAGGTGCTCCAAAAAAACCCATCCTGAGCACCACATGCCCTCCCTGACCCTCACCTGCTCCTCCAGCTGCTGCCTCTGTTTCTTCGCCTTGCTCTGCTTGTAGTAATCCATAATCATCATGGCTGCATATATTTTGCCAACAGTCAGGTCAGAGGCTGAGGGCATGAGAAGAGAAGGAAGAAGGGATGCTTTTGTGTCAATAGAAATAGCAGATCTGAAGGCATCAGCACTGATCTCAGGAAGAGCCCAGCTGTGGGATGCCCTGATCACCCACAAACTTCTCACCACTGAGGCAGTGAAAGAGTTGAACATTTAGGTACATGAGAGGAGATGAAATGGATGGAGGTGGCAGGAACCATAATAAACCACAAAAATGCATATCCTCATCACATCAACAGACTAATTGTGCCTGAGAGCAATGAGTTTGGACCAGGTGACCTCCAGAGGTCCTTTCCAACCTCAACCGTTCTGTGATTCTGTGATTCACAATGCTCAGCTTGCCGCTCCTGTGTGCTCCAGAATGACTTACAGGAGACCTCCTCTGTGAACTGGGTGTTTCCCCAAAGGGCTCCCATGAGCAAGCCTTATAGCAGCACAAATTCTCTTTCCAGCTCTTCCCCATCTGGGGTATTCTGACTGGTCCCCATCTCCCAGCAGGAAGACGCTGCTGTAGGTGCAATGAGAATTTGGCAGTGGTTGTGATGCACACAGAGACTCACTTTTTGGCATGGGTACCAACAGGTCGAGCATCTTCTGGGACAGGTGAGGCCAAATGGTCAGGATCTCCTTTTGAAGCTCAGAGTCTAACTGCTGCCAATCTGCACCACCTTGAACAGCAAGGAAAAAAGCAGCCCATGTACATCAAGATTTGGCATCCATCTAAAGGCACCACTTCAGTGAGGTTCACTCACAGAGATGAGCAGCGCCCAGCTCTCGGGGCTGGGAGAGCCACGTTCCATCGTGCAGCCTGCTCTCCTGCTCTTGCAAGGAAACTTTCCCACCATTCCCTCCATATGTGCCACCATCTCCCATCCCCTGCCCTCCCACTCAAAGCTGCCATCTTCGAGCTCGCCTTGGGTCCGTCTCTGCTGCTCCAATCCTACTCCAGCCCACACACACCTGCTGCTGCCCCACTTTCTTTTTGCTGGGGAGCAGATCATGTGCTGGTGAAAGAGCAGCTCTGCTTGGCTGAAGTCCTTAAAGCAGAGCAGAGCTCTTTGGCCAGCAGCGAAGGGATCCGCTGAGAACCAGACTCAAAGTAAGCCATTAACACACGCCAAACAGAGGCTTGGGTGCCTCTGGGCAAGGGAATTTGGCCAGCTTCAAATCTCTGCTTTATCCAGAAAGGGCTCAAACCTGATGTTTCATGATGCAGGCAGTGCCGGGCTCCTGCTGATCTTGCCTGGGTTGGGCTTTCTGAACTCTTCCCAGGGGACAATTTGAAAGTGGCATGTTTCCGCAGAAAGCTTTTGATCTGATGAATCAGAGTGTTTCCAGCAACAACAACAAAAAAAAAAACGTTTTTTCTGCTCTGAACATGTTGTGCTCACTGCGAGATAGATTTCTGCTCCTCAGTCTTTGGAGCCAGGCACACGTGATGTGTCTCCCTCCTTGGTTTGTCTTTCTACTTGAGGAGAAATGGGAATTCTCCTTCTCCTCTTTCACACAGTGGGTGTCAAGCAGGTTCTGCTCTAGGAGCAGCTTCTAGTGGAAAACTGGCCACCTCTTCCCTACATAAATGCAATCCTGCTCCTTACGAGCGGCAGAAATTTGCTTGCTTGGATCAATCACTTTCATCCACATGCCAGACTCAACCCCAGTTTGGCCATGATGCCAACAGGACTGCTCCAAAACCTGCTCTGCTCCACTCCCAACCCCAGTGCCATTACCTTTGGCAATTTTGATGTCCAGGGCGGTGCGTATCAGCGCCATCAGGGTGGAGGTGAAATGGACGGTCATGTCCTCAGCCACGGGCATGTTCATCAGCACCAGTCTCTGCGCAAGAGAGAGAAGAAAACAGCGGACGGAAAACAATATCGAAAAACACATCGACCAGGCTGGAGGAAAATAAATTAAATGTTAAATAAAAGGAAAAAAATAAATTAAATTAAATTGAAATGAAATAATATAAAAAGCAACAAAGAGTGTCAAAACAGCACAGCCAAAAAAGAAGGGCAAGGATCACCCCCGCCACCCACCCCCCCGGCTCCTTCCACCCCAGGACACCGGCTCACTGCCTTCCAGGGCTCCTCCTGCACCCTAGGAACGGCCCCTGGGCCCCCTCCCCAAAAAAGAGTCTGACAATGGGCCACCTCCCAGCACTTTGTGAATGTCTGACCCGTCAAGGGAACAGCAGGTGCTGGGGAGGGGGAGAGGGGGCTCAAGTCTCCGTTCCTGGGTGGTTTGACTTTCCAGCTCTCAACCCTTCCCACCTGGGGCAGGGGAGAGGAGGGTCCCTAACCTTCAGGGACTTTGGATTGGCTCAATTCCTCTAGCATGCTACATCCTGGCGCCCCTTTTTGCGTCTTTCAGAGATGAAGTTTGCCAGCACATGCACAGGGTCCAAATTATCCAAGGGTGGGGAAGGGAAGGAGGGGTAGAAAGAAGTGCAGAAGGAAAGAGAGGAGGGCAATCAAGGCAGGTTAGACACGCCATGCTCCTTCCCCACCCTGGGCAGGCGGGGTGCAAACCAAAGTGACCAGATCCACTTTCCAGAGAGTATATTTTGCTTTGCAAACTCCTGGGCTCATCCCTTTCCTGCCAGTCTCTTCCCCCCCAGCTTCTCATGTCTTCTCCCTGCCTTCAACCCTATGGTGAGCATATGCATGTGAAAGCACATAACAAGCGCTGCAGTGTGCTTGCAAGCACACAGACCCCCTCCTTATTTCTGCCAGTGCTGCTGAAAGGACAGCAACCAGCTACCAAGGGAAGGCCCAGCTCTCTCCAGTCTGGGCCAGCGCATTGCTCCAGGTCTCATCCTAGCTGTTTCCACCCCACATCCTTCAGGGCTCCCTGGGCATCCTGTAAAGCTCACAGCTGCCTATTGGAGGCACCTGGGTATCCCCATAGCATGAGATGTCCCTGCGATGTCTCAAGCCAATGTGCTGCAGAGATGCTCCTGCAAGATGCACCCTTGCTGCCCACCTGCTTCCCATCTCTGTGAGGTTTAGTTGGCTAGGACGAGGGTGGCTGCAAGCCCAGGGGTTAAACTCCTGGGCTAGATGTCTTAGAGACATGCCACCCTCCTGAAAGTGCTATAGACCCACTCCTCACCTTGTCTCCAGCCCTCCCACCTCCACACTTGCCCTACCGCTGCCCCTCTCCTTGCTTTCCCTCAGGGGTCTTCCACCCCAGAGCTCTTCACGTTTGCAAGTGACAAGGGCAGCAGAGACCTGCCAGTGTGGCTAGCACCCTTTTGGGCACACCATGGGTTGGAAGCCTCCAGCAAACCCCAGGTCCCCCAGCCCCACCGCCCACCAGCTCCTGCTCGGCTCTAAGCCCCCAGAGAAGGAAGGGTTGATCTACCTTATAGGCCACTTTGGAAGGACATCTCTTGCCGAGGCCTAGCGGTGGTGACATAAGAGTCAGCATTTCATACATCTCAGTGTAATGGATTCGGCCACTGCTCATGGAGGGGGAAGGGGAGGGAGGGAGATGCAGAGAGAGAGGAGGCATTCCCAGAGAGCGGAAAAAACGTACAAACAAAATAGTACAGGAAACAGGAGAGAAAAAACAAACGGACAAACAGGAAAAGAACAGGAAACCCGTTAATCAAGGCAAATCATACACGAGAGACTGTCCTGATGTGGATTTATAGCACTGCTCACACAGACCCAGGAATGCTGGCAGAAAAGCGACTCACCCCGCTCTGCTGCTGGCCTCAAATGCCCACCTCGCCAGCAGCCCGGGAGTCCTCCTCCTGCCTCACCCCCGTCCCTACGGCCCTCCAGGAGCCCCCGCCTTGTCCCACAAGGTTCCAGGGCTGTGTGCGAGTGGTATAAATCAGATACACGGCACTCAAGCCATGGGTTATTGGAGGTCGGGTGGTTTGCACCACGGCGACTCAATGTGCTCAGTGGCCTGCGTCGTGTTCTTCCCTCCCGGGGGCCTGGGGGTTGCTTTGTGTGGCCACCTAACCCATAGCCAGAAGGCTGTGTATCCCCATCTCATAAGGTCTATGCAATTGGGAGGCAGCGTCTTGCATAGAAGGCAGTGGGCCAGGGTCACTTGTCAAAGGAAGATGCCCAGTTGCTTCCGTCTGGCTCTGCGGATGGACCGCCTTCCCACCATGCACCAGTGCAAAAGGCATGCTGAATCGGCTGAAAAAATAAAATCAGGAGGAAAAAGTTGTGCATGCCATGCTCCCGCCCTGGCTCTCTCCCGCATGCGGCTGCAAGTTCCACCAGGTTGGAGTTTAAAGAGTCTCAGCAGAGGCAGCTGTTTGGGCCTTCCAACATTGGGGTTCGTTTGGGTTTCCCATGGGGGGCAGCTAGGACAGGCCCCACCTCTCGCTTCTCCTCTTTACCAGGGCCAGTCTAGGGTCACTGTCACCAGAAATTCCCTGTGCCAGGCTCTGCACACCCAGGAGGATGTCTACATGCATTTCCCAGGGATGATGGGCTTGGCCACCTCTTCTTCCCCTCATGCCAAGTCGTTGACCTGCTCCACTGGGGGGTGGCTGATGGAGAAGGGCAACAGTAGCATGGGGGCCATCACGGCAAGAACAGGAGGAGGATGGAGAGGAACGCAGCTCAGACAGGTGGCTGGGGAGAGAAGGATGCCACTGGGATGCTGGCTGTTTCCCAACCCCAGTGGTGAGAGGAAAAGTGAGGAGGTATCTCCTCTTCTCAAGGGCATCAGCCCCTGTGGAAACAGCCCCAGGCCAAAGAGGTCCCTGCTAGGTTAGTTCTGATGTTTCTGATATGACCACCTGCAGTGGGCTGCCAGTGGGACAAGCTGTCCTTTTGCGGAACGGACGTATCTAAAAGGCCAGGAGAGAGGATGATAATAATGCAGGGATGAGATGGGCAAGCGAAAATACCCAGATCCAGCAGTCCATAAGCAGCGCCATGGCAGAGCTGGCTGTACACTGACTTGAGGTGTCTGAAGGTGAGATGTCGACTTCAGAATTCACATGCTCAAAAGCTCTGTGCAACAAGGAAGCAAGATAGTGACCTTGAACCCATCCTTCCTGGCAGAGTGGATTTTAGCACTCCCAGCATATGTCACACTTCACCTTTTGTACTGAGAGGAATGGACTCCCATGAAAGCAAGAGTCTGCATCAAAAGCCAGCAGATATTGCACAAGAACTGTGCTGCTCTTACAGACAGGCTGCATACATTGCATCTACTCAGAGCAGAGATCTTATATCATTTTGCTCAGCACAACTGTGCCCAGAAGCATATCCCCATGAAGCCGAGCACAGGAAGGCATGTAAAATGCTATCCATCTGGACAGGATGGCTCCCAGAGCTGTTTCCAGCATGGGTTGCCAGAAGTAGAAGGAGACGAAGAAAGGCATAGAGAGAGCCCTAGGGAGCAAAGCTGACTGTCAGGGTGCATTCCCAGTGAGGTGCAGTTACAAGACCCGCTCTTCCCAGCACAAGGACAGAGCTTGCTGGATTTCCATGGGAAGGCTTTTTGCATCTTGCGAGCTCACCTGCAGATAGCCCAGCAGATAAGCTTCCCTATCATACCATGCTGCACCCCTACACAGCATCTTGAAGTTGCTGGACCACCACGTCCATAGCATCCTGTCTCCCACTCCATAAACTTCTTTGCCATGTTTCTGCAAGTATTTGTTGTCAAATTGCCTGGTGACGAAAGGCTGCAGGCTTGCTCTCATACATCACCTTTGAAAATGATGATGATGATCACCTTTGAAAATGATGGCTCTGGATGCCTCCAGGAAGGCGAACCTGTGCACTGTGATGTGTCGGGCAGAATCCCCAAGCTGCAAGATGGTTGACATTTGGGGATCTGGACCATGGTAGCAAAACACAATGACCACGTGGAGTTTCTTTCCCTACCAGTTGTCTTCTTGGAACTGTTTCAGGCCAGGAGGAATCTCAGGAAATCTCTCATGTCCTTGAAATGCCCCGTACACAGGGAGGAGACGATGGTGCACAATGAAGAGAAGGCCAGAAGGATCTCTACCCACCACCCCCACTGCTCTGTGCATCCCGCAGAGCCAGCAGAAAGCCCGACAGCTACAAATCTCCCTCCTACAAGGGGTCATCACAGGTACCCCTGCAAGCACCAGGTGCTCTGGCTTAGGAGAGCAGAATTTCCCAGCAAAGCCCTGTAGCCAACTGAGAAAGGCCAGAATTTCATCTGCAGGTGCCTTTTGTTTGCAGGACCAAAGCATTTTGCCAGGAATGCTACAGAGAAGTGTGCAAAGACTGTGTACTGTCTCCTTGAAGGGATGAGCTGTCTGAGATTCTTGCAAGAAAACCCTCAACCACATCTTCATAAACGAGCTGACTGAGTGCCTGAGGCTTGTCTAGCTTCCTCTGCTTTGCTTCTGGTCTTAGCCTTCCAGATGTGTGCATCATCCCTATGGGCATCTGCAGAGGGTGACAAAACCACTTCAGGGATGCTGGAGGAAACACAGCAGAGAGGATGCGGAGGAATCTCTTCCCTTGCAGGATAAAGCCTGGGGAGTGCACCTCAGATGCTGTGAGGGATGAAGAGGGAAGACAGAGCTCTGTGATTCGTCCTCTTCTGCCACAGACACAGACATGGGTGTTTTGGCACTTCGGAGAAGGCAGCGGTGTGAGGATATGCTCAGTTGCCATTCAGAATCAACCTAAAAGAAGGTGCACAGGTGCACAAGGAAGTCATATTGCTCCTTTGGGCTTACAGCTGAGAAGCTGCCTGGAGCAGAGGGATGGCTGAGCTGCAGGAACCAAGAATGAGCATGGGTGGCTGCTGTCCTTGTGGGCACAGCAGGCTGGGGTGGCCACCACAGAGCCAGCCTGGCCCCAGAAGATCCCTGATGCCACCTCCTCCTGGCAGCTCCAGCAAACAAAGGGCAAGATGAGCAAGAGCACAGCTCCCCCGATCACTGAGATCTGAACTGCATCCTCTGAACATCACGCTTAGAGCACGGTGTGTCATGCTCAGCACCATGTCCCCAGGTGTCCTACAGGGAGCAAGGCCACTCTGGTCTCCCAGTCCTCCCTCTCCAAAGCAACTGAGCCCCTGACACCCTTCTGCCTTCACCCATCTCTCCATCCCCAGCAGTAAACCACACCTGAGCTCCCAACAGGGGAGAGAAAAAGCCCTGCTCCCACGGATGCTAGCTGGAGGAGCCAAGTGGGGGACGGTGGCACATGTCCACTGAGCTGAGGCTCTGAGCTGATGGGGCAAAGGGGATTGGCACAATTTGTTAAAACCCACCCCGGGAGGCTCTGGGCTCCCCGGAGGGGACAGCTGCTGGCTCTGGGAGGCCATGGACCTCTTTAAACTCAAAGGAAAGCAACGTGAGGGTTCCCTCGGGAGGCGCGGTGGTGGCGGAGCGGGGGGAAGGAGGGTGGATGGTGCGTCCCGTGGCCAGGTTGTGGCGGAGGACTGGGAGGCAAACCTTGCACGCCACCCTGTAGGGGCAGTTCTCTCCTAGGCCCAGAGGAGGCGAGATCACCCGTACTAATTTGTACATATCCTTATACGAGATCCTGCCGCTGCAAAGGAAGCACAGGTGGGTTAATAGGACACTGAAAGGGTGGAGAGCTTCACCAGGGGGCTAGGACCAGCTGTGGGGTAAGACCCCCAGGGGTGCATGGCTCTTCTCCTTCTGGCTCTGTCAGACCCAGAGAGGGGGAGCTGTGAGCTCCAGCTGCTGCCCTCTCCGTCGTGAGTCAGCTCACACCTCCTCACCCTGACCCACACTGACCCTGGAGAAACACGGTGTAGGCAGTGGGCACCACCCCATCACCCTTCCTCATAGCCATCCTGGCTGTCTATAGTTGGTGGGAGAGAGCTAGGGTTTTAGAAGGGAGATATTGGTTGGGTTCTAGCAACCACAAGCCCTTCTGGTGGAGCTGCATCTCCCACATCAGAACCCTCTGGTCCTTCCCAGAGAGGTTGGCAGCTGAGTCAATTGCATCTCCAGTATCTGGGGAACATGAGACAGGGAGAGATAATGTGACCAGCTGGTGGCCGGTGGCTCTGGCACTGGCACCTAGGTCTCTGGTGGTATGTTCCTGTGCTCTGACCACCAGACCACACTCTGCCAAGGGTACACATTATTAGAAGCAAACCCTCCCACACACACCCCCCCTTCTTCCCTAAACACAGACCCAGCAGTAGCAGTGGCAGGATACAGTCCATATCCCTCCATCACTGCTGAAATAAGGAAGCAGTCAAGGTGGGGATCTGGCAGGACCAAGAGCAGGGATGCTGAGCTCTTCACCCCGCTTCAGCTCAGAGCCCTTTGGGAAGCAGGACTGTGGGGTGGATGTGCTGAGGTGCAGCGTGCTGCAGCCTCCTGGGCATCCTTAGACAAGCTTGGAGGGAAACCATACAGGGAGGCAAAGAGCAGCATTACCACCCTGTGCCTTTGCCTTAGGTTTCTCCTTCTCTTGTCCCCATCACTGGCCAGAGCTAAGCCAACCATGTGGGCAAAACCAGTCCCTGAGCCTCCCTAGTGTAAGACTTGTACAGTCTCCCCTGAGACCCTTCCTGAAACGTTCCCAGTGTCAGGGTGCAGAGCTGTGCCCCACGCAGGTGGGTGGGACCCACTGGGATGTACTCACCTGTTCTTCACCCACAGTGAGGGTCAGGGCTGCCCCAGTGGGCCCAACACCACCATCTGCTCAGAGCCCCTACCCGCCAGCTACATGTCATGACAAAGAGCCTGCTTTGCTCAGAAATCAGAGAGTGGTTTTTGCAGCAACTGCCCTTGGAACCCAAACACCGACATGGGGGTGAGAGTGGCTGGCGTGAAGAAATCCTTTCCCATATCCACAGGCAAGGAACCCCAGAACAACCAGAGGATGTTTCATCTCATATCTCCTCTGGGTATCTACCCATGCTCACCTTCCCAAAGGCACAACCACCTGCTCACAAGCCAACTCACCTGCCTATACAATAGCACTGGGCACTGGTGAGAGGCCATGTGGGAGGAACCTGTCCAGCTCTGAACTGAACGGGGCTGGAGACAAATGGTGCAGGAAACTGTGCCAGGAGGTGATATTAGGCTTATAAAACCTCCTGGATTCCCAAGAGGCAGATTAGCAGAAGAGGTGATGCTTCCTTAAGGAGCATGTGCATCAGCCAAGGGTCCTGATTTAAGAGCACCCAGGCACAGTGTTGGGACATGGCTCCAAAAAGGGTGTCCCTAGGCTGAGGGAAGAAGGGGCCACACAAGACACCTTCATAGTGTTCTGCTCTGCTGAGGGCTGCACGCAGCTCTTGAGATGCTTCACACCATCACGGAAGGAGCAGCACAGAGCTGCTCCAAAGCCAAAGCCTGACCAACCAGTGTGACTCATCCCATTGCTGAGAACAGGGTGCTGCCTACAAACAGGAGCCTTGTTCACTGGGGTTCTCATCAGCAAAGCTATAAGTGCAGGAAACAAAGTGCATCCATCTCCTGTAGGGTGGGTGCATCAGAGCGAGCCTGTCCCCAGCCTACACAACTCCCTGGTGACCTAGCAGGACCCCAGAAGACATTCAGCATCTCTCCAGGCTGGGGACAAGCCACCCTCCACTCCAACTTGATGGGAGCTGTGGGTGCCGGGGACCAGGCTCTAGAGCCCGACTTGTTCAGAGACCAGGAAGGATGCAGAGAGGGACCTGCCTGTGGCACGGTAGAGGAGGAGAGGGACAGCAGGAACCATGGGTAAACACCATGGCCAACCATGAACATCTTCAGGATATCCCCTAAGGTGCCTGTGCCACCAGGCACCGTAGGAACCAGCTGCTGCCCATGTAATTGTCTGTGAACGAGAGCAGTCCTGCTGGGACCACCCCAGGCATCCCAGCCAGGTGGTTTCCAACAGCAGAAAGCAGAGACACCTACTTAAAACCAGATTGGAGAGAGCTGCTTGGGAGAGTAGGAGCTGGCTACATACCACGCTGCTCTGTCATACTCTGCCCATATCCGGACAAATTCATCTAGATGGTGAGGTCCCAGGATGGAGGAATCTCGTGTCAGGTACTCAAAATTGTCCATGATGACTGCCACAAACAGGTTGAGCATCTAAGTGAAAAGGAGAAAAGCAGAGAGAAAGGGAAGTGGGGTAAAGGGAGCACAAAAGGAAGTCATGTGAAGATGGAATTAAAGAAGGAATTGAGACAAACAGCAGGTGCTGTTTTAGAGAAGCAGGTGCACCAGGATTGAAGCTATCTTGGTTATAATGGGATGCAGGGCACAGTGTGCACTACGTGCTAACCCCAAAGCCTTAGGGAAGGTGCTGGGTGGCTGCGGAGCTGCACCCCAGGGAAGGTGGGATGAAGGCATCCAGGGTGACCCTGTGTCCAGGTGAAGGAACTCACCAGGAACGAGCAGAAGAAGATGAAGGAGACAAAATAGACGTAGGCCAAGTCGGTGCCACAGCGCTCGTTCTCATTCTGCCCAGATGTCGCCGTCGTGTCTGGCTCACAGCCCTTGCCTTCCAGGCAGGAGAGCATGATCTCCTGCCATGCCTCACCGGTGGCACTCCTGCACCAACACAGCCACGCTCAGCAGCAGGGAAGGATGCAGGGGGGAAGGATGTAGAGCCCTGAACCCCCCAACCTGTAGCTTCTTACCTGAAGAGGAGCATGAGGGAGCCCAGGAAGCTGCGGAAGTTGTTGTGCCGGTTAATGTGGCTTTCCTCATCTAGTTTGATGTTGCCAAAAACCTACAGGGGGGAAAAAGGGTTCAGGCAACACCAGTCCTGCCCCAGACCAGAAAGTCTCCAGGGCCACGAGAGGTGACAAAGCCCTGAATCCAGGCAACATCCTACTAACAACCCACCTCCAAGGCCACGATAGGACGCGGCGAACGTTTGCAAAGTGCCTTAAATTGGAAAAATGTGCTGTTATTACTGTTAAATATTTATTCCACTTTTCCTGAGCCTAAAAATACTCTAACTGCAAGAGTATTTCTTCCCTTGTACGGGTTTTTTGGAATGCGTAATTGTGGAATATCTTCTGCCTCCAGCTATTTTGCTCAAATAACGCCCACAGACTTTACTGCTTGGGGATTTGTTCACAATGATGTTAAAAAAAAAATAATAATAATAAATCCAATACTACCACACGGCAGAGAGGGGGGCTGACTCAGATGGCAGTTGCTTAGCATGGAGAACACCTGGAGCCGGTGCTGAGATGTGTGGGATGGAGAGGCCAAAACCAGCCCAGAAAATCTTGGGGAAGGATGAGACCATACAGCAGTGCTGCCAAGCAGCAAGCGATGCGCTACCTGCTCTGAAATTCTGCTTCACCCCCCTCCCTAACAGCAAGCAGCAGGAGATTGCTTTTGTTATCACAGAGGCTTGCTCATCGGGCAAGCTGAAGATCCTGAGTGCTAATAGAGATGCTTTGTGAGATCCTCAGCACGGGTGTTAGTCACCGTGCTGCTGAGCCAGTGCCGCGAGCACGTGTTGGAGTGAGAGCTGTGCTCATGTGCCTGTGCTGGAGCCTGGGAAGCCCACGTCTCCCCATGCTGTGCAGAACCTCTGCTCTGCTAAGGGCTGCAGGTCCCTGAGCTCGAGATCCCAACCAGTGTGGCCACCACTGTGTGCAAGAATGGGCTGCAGGGGACTGTGTGGCGACGCATCTGTTGGGATGGGAAGCAATGCTCACCGCATCCTTCCCACCAGGGAGACAGGGATTGGGTATGATTTTGAAAACCTGTGGAATGAAGAGGGAGTGATTGGGAAGCAGCTGCTGCACATGCTGCCCAGCTGAGTCCCTACATCCCCACACGGGTACAAGCAGGGAGGAAGCAGGGAGCTCAGGGCATGCAGTGATGTGACTCCTAAACAAGCTTTGCTGCCCTTGGGACCTTCCTGGGCACCCAGAGCGGTGAAGCAGTGACAGGCTGGCTGCTGTGCAGGGTTGTAACGCTGACGATGTGTCTCTCCAGCTTCTCTGTGCCCAAGGAAGCATGCTGAGCTGTCTGTGCTCACCTGCATCCCAATGATGGCATAGATGAAGAAAAGCATCGCGATTAGGAGGCAGACATAGGGCAGAGCCTGCAAGAGAAGCACGAGTCATCTCCTTACACAGCTTCAGCTCCGGGGGCATACACCGCTCCGGGGGCATACACCTCTCCAGGCCCATCCACCTCTCCTACGAGCCAAGGAGCAGCATGCCAACACTGAGGCCCAATAGGAGCCCTGTGTGTGTAGTCCTCACCTTGAAGGACTGCACAAATGTCCACAGCAGGATGCGGATGGTGTAACCCTGGCGCAGCAGCTTGATGAGCCGAGCCGCCCGGAAGAGCTTCAGGAAACTCATGTTGAAGCTGCTGGTGTTCACCAGCTGAGAGGAAAAAGAGGTGAGGGTCAGGGGGGAGGCAGCAGCACCCCGGCCCCCACACCAGGGGCACGTGGCACCCAATCTGCCCAGTCACCTTGGTGTCCGTCAGGATGATCTCTGTGATGCTGCCAATGACAGTGATGAAGTCAAAGATATTCCAGGTGTCCCGGAAATAATTCTGTGGGAGGAAGGAGAGGGTTTGAGGCTGGGACAGCGAGCCTTGATTGGTGCTGGGATACACATAGACCCTCCAGGCTGGCCTGGCACCAAGAAGCCCAGCCTGACCATGGTCCAGGGTGCTGAGCTTTGACTGCAAGTTGACTGATCTGTATGGACACACACTCCATGTCCAACAGCAGTGGTGGCAGCTGGCTTGGGAAGCTCAGAAGGTCTCTCTTGACCTTCCAGACAAGATCCAAAGGAGCAATTCCAACCACCAGCTTGCAAGCAGCTCTCAGGATGGGACCCAGAATAGATAGCATTGATCTCACATTATTAACACCTTCCCTCTCTGAATCAGAGAGCTGAAACGTGCTGTCAAAGTCCAAATTAACACCTTTGCTGAGAATGGGATCAGATACTTACCAGAAAGCCAAAAGCAATGATCTTAAGGACGCACTCCAAAGAGAACACCATGGTGAAAGCGATGTTCAGGTACTTCAAGGCCAGCTCATAGGTGTATGGAGCAGAGTAGTACTAATGGAGACAGAGAGACATTGCCCTTGGCTGATGTCTGTCCCTGGGAGGACCTGTGATGGCCATGATCCTTGCCCCCGATGCCTCAAGATCACCTCATAGAATCACAGAATGGCTTAGGTTGGAGAGGATCTTAAAGATCTTCTAGTTCCAACCCCCATGCCATAGGCAGGGTTACCAGACACCACACCTGTCTACCTAGGACCCCATCCAACCTGTCCTTGAATGCCTCCAGAGACAGGGCACCCACAACCTCTGTGGGCAAACTCTTCCAGCGCCTCACCACCCTTTGAGTAAAAAACTTCTGCCTAATATCTAATCTAACACCTCCTTATTCCCTTTCTTCCCCTCTCCACCCCTCTCCCAGGACAGCAGGTCCTGCTTCTGAGGAAGAAGCATCTCACAGAAATAACCCAAATACCCTCTGGTCTCATCCCAACTGATGCTTCTACTCCTCACCACCCTAACCAAGCCCACCCTGATGTGCTCACCTTCATCATCAGCACCACAGTGTTCAAAGCAATCATGGCCATGATGGTATACTCAAAGGATGGGGAGACCACAAAGTGCCAGACCCGGTACTGGAAGGTGTGCCGGTTCTGGGGCATGTAGCGTGTGAGGGGCTTGGCACTGATGGCAAAGTCAATACAGGCCCTCTGGAAGACAAAAAGGTTACCTGGCTGATGGTAACATAGGGACAGTGGCCAGACTTCTTAACATCTGGGGAGCTCCAGGCTCCCGAACTCCATCTGGTAATATAGCAATCCCATAGAAACATCCTTCTTCCTCCCTAGACCATACCTCATTCTTCTCCAGACTGCACTCCTCCATCATTTTGTCTCCTTGCTCTTGGAATGTGATGATGATGAGAGCCACAAAAATGTTGACGAAGAAGAAAGGGAAGACCACAAAATAGACAACGTAAAAAATGGACATCTCCATGCGGTTACTGCGGCTGGGCCCACGGTCCTCCTCCGTCACGTCCACCGAATGCTGCAGCACCCTGTGGGCAGATAGGTGGAGGAAGGCAACGGGAAGTGTGTCCATCAGGACTGCCACCACCCAGCACTTCTCATGGGACCTCCCTTGCACGTCCATCTCCATCCATCCACACTCAATAAGATAAAACTGCTTTAACCAGCTTCACAAGGACAACCCTTCCAAGTGGCTTCAGCTTGTTTCACAGTGCTTTGCCCATGTCCTTGATGGAAAATGGATTTTTCAGTGCTTCACACAGAGAAAAAGGTTTCCCAGTCTCTCATGAGCATGGAGAGAGCGCTAGCCCTGTAGTCATTTCTAAAAATGACCTAAAATGAATGTACCTCCATGAGGGAGCAGGGATAATCCATCATTCAATTTCGGATGAAGAAGTTAACCACAGCCATGTCCCCAGTCTCATCTAGGGAATAAAGCTCTTTTGTCCTGACCTAATTTCTCAGCCTTCCTCTCCTTCCCACTGTGCAGCAGTTTCTCTCTCCATCCAGCTGGGATATAGCCAGTTATTAACCCAACTAAGGCAATGGTGTCATGCCCAACCCACCCAAGGGAAGAGGATGAAGCAAATACTCACTGGGGCCAGCCCTCACCAGTGGAGACTGTGAACAAGGTGAGCAACGCCCAGATTATATTGTCATAGTGAAACTCATGTCGTTTCCACTCCCGGCACTTCACCTCCATCTTGTTCTTCTCATGGTCCACGTAGTTCCCTCTGCAAGGTTGGAAGAAAGCAGTACCTTTGCTAGTGTCAGGCTACAGGAGGGTTGTTCTATACCTGGGGCAGTGCACGTGCTGGGGGGGGGGACACCTCTGCTCCTGTGGGCTGAAGAAATGGGGAGAGGCTCGATGACAGATAGGGGGAGCAGAGACATGGAGAGAGGAGAAAAGAAAGAGTAAGAAGAAAATACTGGGCTCTACATCATTGCACGGGCTGATACAAAGCAATGAGATAGGACTCAGCCCAAGCTGTCCATCCTCAGAAACTACATCCAAGAGCAAGTCATGACCAAGGGCTGTACTGGGAACCCAAAGGCAACATTACCCAGCACCCTGCCTTTCCCAGAGCTGTCAGCAACACTGGACCCACGGGGCACATACATGCAGTCCTTCTCTGTGTCCTTAGAGCTGTCAGTGCAGTAGAAAAACTTCCCCTTGAAGAGCTGGACAGCAATGACAGCAAAGATGAACATGAAGAGCTTGTAGACAATGAGGATGTTGAAAACGTTCTTGAGGGATGTCACAACGCAGTCGAAGACAGCCTGCAGGAGAGGGCAGAGCTCACCATGGGGAACAACAGGGCAGAACCAGAAACTCCTCAACACTACTGTGTGGATGCTTCCCACTCCTGGTAGGGAAATGAGGAAAGAGCTTATCTCTGTCCCAAGCAAAGGGACGTCTGGTAAATGACACCCAATGTACCCACAGTGATGGATATTTATATCCTCCAATACTTTCTGCAACCAGAGCAGCAGACAGGGACTGTCCCAAAGATGCCATTAGCGCTCAAGACTAATTAGTCAATACTCCTTTTTCAGCATCATCCCAGACAATGAGGCAGACTGAATACCCCTGTCTGCAATAGCAGCAGTTTCTGAAGCCTCAGAAGCTGTGCTCACAGGCCTGTGCTTTGTGGCACAGGGTGTCCAGAAATGAACTAAAGTAAGCCAGTGTCCAACCACTGGTCAGGAGATAAGGATGAGATGAAAACCTGTGTATCTGGGGTGCCATCCTGGGCTTTATCCGTAAGTCAAATACCTCCTTGTGAGGATGGCTCGGGGCTTCCTTGGTCTCTTAGTCCTTTCCAGCTCCATAACCCATAGGCTCAAGCAGGGAAATGCACGATTCTACCTCCACTACACAAATAATCCCTCTATTCAGCTGGGAAATCCCCTTCTGCTGTAACACGAGGACAGTACAACACACAAAAATGGAGTTGTTTGCAAGCTGCTCTGGTGGGAAAGATAATGAACTTTGGATAGAGATCTGAGCTCTCCCAAAGCCAGGGCCATGTACTTTATCACGAGAGCTGGGCTTTGCAGCCTGGTTCCACACCAGCCCCAGTATCCCTAGCAGAGGAATCAGCTCAGATCTATCCACAGCTGGGCTTGCTTTGAATAACTCTGCACACCCCAATGTGCAGCAGTCTGAAAGGAGCTGTGTTTGAAAACAGGGCTCCTAAAATGCAGCAAGTGCTTGGAAAGCGACTTGTTTATCGCTTGGGAGCAAATTGATGCTAATGCTGGAGGAGGCAGACGTCAGGCCCATGTAGCGTAGTTACCTTGAGCTTCGGCAGCCGCTTGATGGTTTTCAGGGGCCTCAAGACCCGCAGCACACGGAGAGACTTGATGGTCTTGATATCCCGACCCTTGTTGGTCCTGCCACGTGGAAGGGAGGCACAGGCACCCAAAGATGAAACAGAGAGACAATAACGTTCCAGCTCCGGGGCTGGATGTTACACCCCCAGCATGGGGAGGAGAACACGGGGCCATGCTCTGTGGTGAGGGCCAGCTCTGTGACTCTAATTTATTGAATGTGGTGATCAGTCCCACCCACAATGTGGTTTTTTTTTCTCGACTTCTAACCAAAGCCCATGGGCTCCAGCCGGTAGAGCAAGGTAGAGCAGAACAATCCTGGTGAAGGTGGCACAGCTTAAAAACCATCAAAGAAACATCTTACAACAACAGATACCCTGAACCACACAGCTCTTTAGCAAGGGTTAATGCTACAGGGAGCACATTAATGTGCTTAACCATTAAAAGATGTAAACAAAGCCACTAATTAATACTCTAGAAAGTGACTGTAGTAACAGCCCTAGGACTTCCACTTTTAACACGCAGAGCAGCGAGCTCAGATCCCAGGAACTGTGGTTGGGAACACAGCCAAGGGTCAGCACAGATGTCAGACAGACAGACAGACACCTGCCCTCCTCCCATTCCCCCCCGTGGACATTCAGACAGCATAGTTACCCCAAAGCATTCCTGTTGGTAATCCAGCCCAAGCCACCGAACAGCGTGAATAGAACGGAAAAGAGAGGAGAGAGAAAGAAAGTAAGGAAAGCATTTTGGGAGCCGTGTGGGATGGCAACAACTTCCAGCAGCACAGCCAGGGTGGGGACCTGAGGCAGGAGGACATCCATCACATCCACCCATAGGCATGGCTTCTGTCCATGATGCAAGGAAAAGCACAGAGGAGGAGGCAGCTCTGCAGGGTGCTTCTGCCCTTGTACACCAGGTGAGACAGACAGGGCCATGCTCTGAGCACCACTCAACCTTCCCTCCCATTGCAAACCCACAAGCCAGGTCTTACCACAGCTCTCAGAGCTGCAAGCTAATGCCTCCTCTGAAGGTGCCACAGGAGGCAAAAGCGAGCAGGGTCTTTAGTTATGGTGCTGGTTATTCCAGCTAATTTAATTACAGCTCTTTGGAGATTTACAGTGGTATGTCAGGCTTTTTATTTAAGCTGCATTCGGGGTGATGTATTAGCTTTCCAAGCTGAGAGCTGCGGACTAGAGGCAGGCATAGGCGGCCTCTTACTTGGAAAGTGGGTGCAGTGAGTGGGCAGCAGACAAACAGCAACATCACCCGGAGATGTGGCTTTACAGGCAGACACGTGGGCATTGCTTTTTACTGTGGGATGGCACTGATGGCTGCAGGGTGAGAGGGCACCACAGACCAGCTCAGAGAGCTCCTGCCATGCCTGTGGGGAAACCCAAACCTCCATGGGGGTGCAAAAGAGAATTCAGTGGCCCCATGTCAAAGGGGATCTCTCTGTCCCCCGAGAGGTGGGGGACAGGGAAAAGCCACAATGCTGACAATGCAGAGAATATGGGCACAACCCCTGCTGACCACATCCCTGTCCCCGCAGGGCTATGGGGTGATGTCCACCCTGAGAGCAGAGGGAAAGCCACCAGCTGGAGAGCACAACTTCCAGCACAGATGCATTCAGAGAGCAGCTCCACCACACAGAGTGCTGCCTTTGCTGGTTTAGTGCACCCTGGAGTGCATTGCAGGCGTACAACTCCAGCTCTGACACTCTTTGTTCTCATCTATCTAACAAGTCCCTGAAGCTGCACGGCTTTTGGCCATCAGAGCGGTAAGAAGCTATTCTCAGAGCACAAAATCACGGAGAACTTCCCCCTAGATTATGGTCTTGCAGCTATAACACACTGTCACATCCTCCCCCCTCCCAGCCAAGCAGAGCCCACAAGGACGACAGCCACTCACGCCAAGGCGAAGGCCACCAGAGCTCCCACCACCACGATGAAATCTAAGATGTTCCAGAGATCTCGGAAGTAGGAGCCATCCTGCAGGATCAAGCCCTGATCGATCATCTGGGGGGATAAAAACAGGCAGGAGGGCAGCAGCTCAGCCACACAGCTAAAGCTGTCCAGCTACCCAGCTGGGGTAGGGTTGAGATCCAGAAGCATTGCATTTCAAGGGGGTCTGGATGCTGATGTAAGCAGTACTGAGTTCTCTCATCCTACTGCTAAGAACCAGGCTTTTAATTTTCCATCATCAAATTCAGGACCAGAGTGGAAAACCTGAGCTATTTCCCACGCAAGACGCTCGCTCCCCTCACCACCACCAGCACAGCCAGCTGTCTTACCTTGATAACCATCTCGAAGGTGAACACACCAGTGAAAACATAGTCAAAATACCTCAGCACCTGCAGAGAGAGGACATGGGTGCTTTGCAGCAGCTTCCCAGAAAAGAGGCTCACCGAGGCTCCTCCAGAGCAGCCACGAGACAAGCCCCATTTTGGAGGTATACAGAAAGGGGATTTGCAATCACTTTGTTACGGTCGGAGTTGGTGAGGACGGGATCCTCAGCCGCGAGGGCGATGCTGCTGGCGGCGATGACCAGCAGGATGCACATCTCGAAGTAGCGCAGGTTCACGATGTAGTGGCAGGCTCTGCGCACCCTATGGCAAGATAATCCCCATCTGTTACAGCCACCCCATGTGCTCCACGTGTGCAAAGGCCATGAACTGTTCCAGGCTTTCAGGCCTAGGCCATCCAGGTTGGGTATTAGGAAAAAAGTTCTTCTCAGAAACAGTGGTGTGCATTGGCACTGTCTGCCCAGGGAGGTGGTGGGGCCACTGTCCCTGGAGGTATTACAGAACCATGGAGATGTGGCACTGAGGGATGTGGGCAGTGGACACGGTGGAGGTGGGCCGTACGAAAGCCAAAAATAAGAAAATCTCACGGGTTTGTGGTGCTGAAGATGAACATGGAGCTGTGTGGCACCATCGCTTTGCCTGTCTCGCTCTTCTCCTTCTTCCGCTTCTTCTTCTCCATCTCCTCCTCATCCTCTTTGCTCTCAGCCTCCTTCAAGGGGCTGGCTTCTCCATCGGTCTTGTTGCTAACTACAGAGAAATGAGAGCCTTTGCCTGCAGCCAAGTGGTGTGAGGGGCAGCTTCTGCCCCAGACCTGCCCCACTCCCTGCTGTGGGGACACCGGGAGGGATGACATGGGATGATGGGATGGACACCCCCACCCACCCCATGGATATGGATGGGAAAAGCCACATGAGTAGCCTTCAGCTCCCCCCTGCGTGTGCTCAGGAAAGAGAGAGTGGTCCTCACTCTGTACCACAGTGGAGTCTTGGACATCAATCATGATGGTGGTGCTCTCAGTGGCCTTTTCGGTGTTGGCGGTGACAGAGGACAGGTCAGGCTCGCTGTGGCTGACAGTGCGGCTGGCCCCCAGTGCTGCCCCCCCAAGCAGGGCCTGCTCACTGGTGTCTGGGCTGCTGCAGTCCTGCTCACCCAGGCTGCCCTCCATCCCCCGAGGGGGCTCAGGGGCTGATGCTGGGAGGCTTCCCTCCTCGTTTGGAGCCCCATTGGTCCTTTGGGGCAAAAAAAAGAGAAAATAAGTGGAAGGCAATGACACAAGGAGTCACAAGGACTGCAAAATGTCCCCCAGCGACCAACCTGGTGGGGTCCCCACTCGCATCCGGCTCGCCCTGAATCAGGTCCAGTGCTGCAGCAGCATCCCCACGCCGCTCCCCATCCTGCATCCCCTCTGCAGGGCAGGGCTCCTCCAGCCCCATCTCCTGGCTACCTGCTCGGCTCTCCAGGGCTCCAGTCGGCTCCTTCCCCTCCATCCTGGCTTTTCGATGCCGGCTGCGCCGCTGGCTTTGCCTCATCCGCGCCCTCTCCTCAATGCCACCTCCTGCCCCTTCCTCACCCGGCTCGCAGTTCCCATGGCACGTTTTGTGTTGCCACATCTCTTTGTCCCTCCTAGCACGGGGCGATGGGCTCCTCCTGTCCTCCCCACCTCCTGGGTTGGTTCCCGGGGCCGGCTGCTCGGGACCTTCAGCTGGCGGCCGCTCTCCCTTGCCACCTTGCTCCTCATCGCACTTCTCCAAGGCAACACCGTCCCCTGGTTTCTTGCGGCGGAAGATGCTGGCATGTGGGTTGATGAGGGGTGGCTCATCCTTATTGATGCCCTCCTGGCTAGACATCTGCATGTGCCGGCGCAACTGGCTAGTGCGCTGCTCCCACACCGACATGTGGTGCCTCCGGCGCCGCTCCCGCCTGCAGCAGGGACAATCATGTCACCTATGTCCCTGCCAGTGCTGGCATGTCACCCCATCCCATCCCTGCTGCATGCACCCACAGCCCCCTTGACAAGACATGGAGGTGCACACAAGTCACCAGACACGGAGTTTGGGGATACAAACACCTGCCCAGCCCCCAAGACTTAGTTCCCAGCCTTTGGGCATCCTTCTGGTGCAGGCAGGGGCTGGCAATTTGGCTGAGCCTGACCACCTGCTCCTTCCAAAGACTACAGGACTGCAGGATGATGGACCCACACCTGCCCCATGCCAACAAGGTGGTGACCAACCACAGTCATCTTGCTTGCCTGACAACACCACTTTCAACCATAGAACCATAGAATGGTCTGGGTCGGAAAGGACCTCAAAGCCCATTTAGTTCCACCCCTCTCTCCCAAGGGAAAGGGACACCACCCAGCAGCTCAGGCTGCCCAGGGCCCATCCATGGCCTGCGGCACCTCCAGGGATGAGGCACCCGCAGCTCTGGGCAGCAATGCCAGCACCTTCCCACTCTGAGTGAACAATTTCCTCCTAACATCTCATCTAAGTCTCCCCTCTTTTAGTTTAAAGCCATTCCCTCTCATTCTATCACTGTCACCATGTAAAAAGTGAGTCTCCATCCCTTTTTTATAATTTCTCTTTAAGCACTGAAAGGTTACAATGAGGTCTCTTCAAAGAAACAGGGACAAAGTCCTATTGCTGCAGCACTGGAAGTGCCCTTGCTTCTCCAGCTCCTTAGAGCCAGGCTCCTTCTGGAAGCAACACTACCCTAATGATGATCATGCTTGTGTGGCAATGCTGATAGGATGGAGATGGAGAGCAAAAAGGGATAAGATGTCAGGTCCAAGAGCAGCCTTTCTCTATGAGAGATGGCCCTTGCTGCTGAGACGTGCGATGGAGCACATCACAGGGTACAGGAACCCTTCCCTGCCTGCACAGCTGGGCTGATACATGCCATGGGAGGACTACATGGAGGATTTGAGGCTGCAGCTGTTGGCTTCCTGCATAACCAGAGCTCCTCTGTATTCTGCCTTCTAGGATCCCTGACACCTCCCTAAACACAAACACCCTGCGGAGGACAAACATTCCCCTTCCCGACACACCGAGGCACACAGAAACACACACGTGCACGTGCGTACGCCGCTCTCCCCCGGAGCACACGCTGCACACACCCACGGGTACACCGACACACAGATGCACAGAGCCACGAACGCACGCAGGGACACGGGTGCAGGGGAGCACCCCAAGCACCCCACACACGGGCAGGAGCTGCCCCAACAGCACAGGAGCCATAGACGACACGCGACCCACGTACAGGTGGCTGCTGCGTGGCTCCCACATCGACATGTGGTGTCTCCTGCGCCTGTCTCTTCTGGGGAGGAAAAACAAACCCGTTCAATCCCCACCAGCCCTCCTCCATCACTGCAGGCTGTGCACAGAGGTGCCCCAGAGCGCACGGATGCTGGAGCAAGGAGCTACCAGCAAACTGCTGCCTGTCCGTGCTTGCACACCAGCAACAAGGTCGGTATGTGCTCACACACCTGTGCCCCATTTGGACATCCCACCAGGACACATGGACTGCTCGCCAAGGGGACACACGCTGCAGTGCCTGTGCTAGGGCTGCAGAGCTGGGCTGGGGAGAAAGGAAGATGTGACCAAACAAGCTGCCTCGAAGTCCTGGTCCTTGGATACTCCAAGCGGAAAGAGCTATTCACTTCTAGTAACACGCAGCATTTTTACAGAGGAGGTGATGTGTCGGGCTGGCCCTGTGATGCTCAGAGCATCACCATGTGTTAACGCAGCCATGTGTGCTACCGTGTGACCACAGAGTGGGACACACAGCTGATATATGCAAATATGCATACACTGATTTACATTCTTTGCTTTTTGCAAATGCCGTATATGTGTAAGAACGCACAACCAAACTCACCCTCAGGTGCATGCAGAGCTCATGTCTGTAAGGCTCTGTGCATCACAGAATTATAGATTACAAAGGAAGATCATCCGTACTGTGGGCAAGGTTGCCAACTGCTAGATCAAGCACTAGATCAGAGCTCCATCAAAGCTGCCCTTGGGCATTTCCAGAGACAGGCCATCCACAGCTCTCTGGGCAGCTGCTTTCACCATGGGCACTGACACCTTCAGCCCCCAATACAGTCCCATTGCCATGCCAGGGCCACATCACAGCCCCACACACAAGAACAGCCCAGTTCCACGCTCAGGGCACGCGGCTCAGCTACGGCTGTCGTTCCCTCAGCAAGTGGCCGCGCAGCGCTCTGGGCACCTGCACATTGCAGCACCCGCATGCGTCTGTCCGTCAGGCCTCCCACTCACCGAGCAGCCCGAGCCATCTGCACCGCGGGCGCCCGTGTGCGCACACACAATGCTCCAATCTGCACCGCAGCCACCCACACCAGCATGGCCACGTGGGAGCACTCCTCCCAACCACAGTCGGACCTCTCTGCCGGCACCAATGCGCGCAACCCAACCTGCCCGCACCGCGTACCCACGTAGGAATTGAGCCATCTGTGTCTGCGCGCGCCCAAACGCCGAGAGCACTTCTGCTGCACTGTTGTGGCCCTTTGGCACCAGCTCTGCTCTTGCATGCCCCTTCCTGCTATTTCCCCACCATGTCCCCCCGCCGGCTGCTGGCATCAGTGGGACATCCAAATTGACCCTGGAAAATGTCATGCTTGCACCACTGCAACCCTTGAAACTATCCATCCCAGGCACGGGGAGGAACAGGGAAAAAGACCTGCAAATATCCATATCTCCCATTTAAATGCCAGTGGAACAACAACATTAAAGTTAAGAAAATCTGCTTTCCTAACCAGCTATATTTGGCAACAGCTGTAAGACTAGCAAGGATGTGCAGAGGGGACAAATCCTTTGGTGTCCCCACACATTCCATCTCTCACCTCTTCCTCTCCATTCTCCATCTCTCTCCATCCTCCATTTTTCTCCATTCTCCAGCCCAAATTTATGTCTTCTCTCACTTTAGCATTCAGGTGGGCAGCTAAAGCTCATCACAACACACAAGCTCTGCCATCTTGCCCATAAACCCCCAAATCCTGCTTGTATGGATTTCTCTATTACGATGAATATCCCTTCATCCTCAGGCATATCTTACAGGTACATGACCTCAAAACCAGCAGGCACACATTCAGGACAGGGAATCATCACATCCCACTGCTGCAAATCCAAGGAGCCAGGGATCTTGGACAGATCCCAAATGTCTAAGATGAATCTCGCCACTTCCTCCAACACTGTGCATTGGAGCTTGCCTAGATTTCTCTCAGCAGATTTGCTGGAGACTCTGCCGTGTGCGAACCTGGCTTGTTTTCAAAGCATGATGAAACCTAAAATTCCCTGGGAAGGGATTCTATAAAAAAAAAATAAAATTAAAAAATGAATCCCTTCAGCCTTACTGAAATGTACTGTTTTGGGAAACAAATCAAAACGCCTCGTTCCAATGTTGACTTTGAAAGTTTTATATGATTTAGACCATATGACACGGCAAAATAAAGGGAAAAAAAAGGCGTCTAGGAAGGAAAAACAACTTTCATCTGCTGAAATGCAGAGGCAGGGCTCTTTAACATTGTGTTGGGAGTTTTATGCGGTTTTGGGCTTTTTCCTTCCCAAATGACATTTCTGCACAATGAAACGTGATTTTGCAAACCTGCTCCATCTCATGTAACTGCATTACAGCCAGGAAAGGAGCCCAGGGAGGTTTGGATCTGCTCTGTAGGAGTGATCACCACCAATCTCCTCCTCTCTGACTTCATTTCTTACCCTTAGCTGCAACTTCAAGTATCCAGGCTCTATGTTTTGGGGCAGAAAGCCACTCTGGGGAGATTTCTGCCATGTGAGGCTCTGCCTGGGGGCAGCCCAAGGCCACTTGGTGAGCTGGTCTCTGCTCCATGGGGAACACATATCCATCTCCATCCATCCCAAGGGATGGGCTTGGGAAGCAAAGGGAGGCTCAGGGTGAATGGGGTCACTCACTCAATAGCAGGCATGTTGGGGGCAGACATGGGGCTGACTTCCTTGGCTTTCTGAAGGGCATGCTTCTGGTTAAAGGCCTCCTCTTCCTCCTGCTCATCCTACAAAAGAAACAGAGGGGTTGCTCAGTGCGAGGCCAGCAGTTCAAGGGAATGTGCACCCATCACAGGGGCCAAGAGAAAGGGGGAGCATGCAGAAATGTCTTGTCTCATATTATGGGGACACAGCTTTGCCACCACACCAGTTCTTGGTGATAGTCCAAGCTGCCATCATCATCTGCTCCCATGGGAGGACAGGGACAATGGGACAGTGTGAGCCTACATAAGCTGAGGAATAGGCATGAGCTCTGCAAAAGCAGGCAGCATGGGGTAGCTGGTCACGTTTGAAGAGCAGCAATGACCCCCGCAGCTCTCGCTTCCTTGCCTTTGCCCAAAAGGTGCCCCAACATTTAGCCTTTCTCAAATATTTCCCAGCATGGTCTTAAAAGCAGTCAAGCCCAATAAGTTTCTCAAGAGCCATCCTAAATTGCATTCTAAATCACTCCACTGCCCTGCAGGCAGATGTGGAGTAAATAGTGACATCGCTGGAAAGCGCTTCCCTGCCACATCTCCAGCAAATAACAACCCAAACCAGATAGATGAGAGTTATCTCAGTGTGACTGCGGGCAAGCAAAGCTGGGGAACTTATGTGGAGAAATGGTTAGGCCACACTTGATGTGAAGTGTGAGTGTTCAGGAGAGCCACAAGAGCAGCAGGTTCCCAACCAAGGTCCCCAAACCAAGGTCCAGTGATAGGGTTTGGTATCTCACAGGGAACTCTCCTGTGAGCTCTCCTAGAGGAAGAAACCCACATCCACTTTGAGACGACCTCTTTGCAAGTTGAGCTGAGCTAAGGGGCAAAGTGGTCACAGGTACTGCTCCTGGTGCCATCCCCTCTCACCCACCCTTTCCACCAGTAAGAAGAAAAATAAGCAACTGGAATTTACCTTGGTGAGCTCCTGAGCATTAGCCAGGTTGTCCACTGCAATGGCCAAGAAGACATTCAGCAGAGTATCTGTGAGCAGCTAAGGATGCATAAGCCATGTGTTAAGGACATGGGCATCTGCAGCCACCGAGGGAGGTTGGCCCTGATGGCTCCTCACAGCTTAGTGAGGAGCAACCACAAGGACAAACACCTCACCCATCCCATTTGAACCACCCACAGTGCATCTCCAGACAGCTCCTTATCTGTGTTTGGGACATCCGAGAATGCCCCATGTGTGATGGGTCTCCCTCAATGGGTAAAAGAGGAAGGAGCAGTGGTGGGGAGAGTGGATGCCCCAAAGAGGGAGATGAGATGGGTTTATTTCTGCAAAAAGCACAGTGGCCAGGTGGATACAGTTCCCAAACAAGGTGAGGACGATGAAATAGATGGAGGACCACATGCCCGAGCGAACGCCTCCCTGGGAGCGGATGCCGTTGTACATCACCTCGTTCCAATCCTCACCCGTCAAGATCTGCAGAAAGAAAGCCAGCAGATCTGTCACCAGCCACCTTCTCACCACCTGGACAGTCCCATCAACCCATTCCAGACAGGGCAAGAGCTGAGTATGAAGACCTGTTCTACAGGCACAGTCTTGAGGGAGTGAATATCAGACTGCTGAGGGACTAGGTCTCCTGAGAAGTGTTTTGAAACTCTTCCATCGTGTATAATGACAAAGAGAGCCATCTGCAAGTTATGTCCTAGCAGATGATGGAGGGAGACCTGCTTGGTTTAGAACCCTGTCCAATCAGGGTGCAGTGAGCAGATGGCCCCAAACTCATCTGCCTTTTTCCCCTTGCAGCCCAGCTCCTACCTGGAACACCGTCATGATGGCCGCAGGGAAAGTGTCAAAGTTGGCTGATGGTGTCCCATCGATGAAATTAAACCTGGAAGTGGAACCAGAAGGATATGAACAATTTCAAGTAAAGAGGTCATCAAAATATAGGCTGCTTATTCATACTTAGAAGGACTTTCACCCACTCTAGGGAAGATCTGCTGGTCACGTATTGCCAAAACACAGAATAAAAACATCGTGGCCAGAAGGCTTCCCATAGCCCTAAGGCACTTCACAAGCAGGGACTTTTGTGTGGGAAACTTGCCACTGGTAGCAACAGGCTGAGGAGCACGGCTGCAGAATTCCTGGCACCCACAAGGGTATAATTTCTTAGCTTCTAAATCACCCAGCAAAGCTCAGTTTCCCCAAGACCTGCAACAACCTACCCCCCTCCAAACAGCTGCATTCCCAGCAGGGCAAAGACTACAATAAAGAGGAAGAGCAAGAAGAGCAGGCTGATAATAGACTTCATGGAGCTCATCAGTGAGACCACCAAATTCCTCAAGGATGCCCAGTACCTAGAAAACAGAGACAGTGCTGAGCACCTGCAGCAGTGCCAGTAGGAGTGACTGGACTTGGGCTGCAGCCACAGCCCAAGGTGGAGGGTGACAGGCACAAATGGTTGGTACACACTTGGTTATTTTAAATATTCGCAGGAGACGAAGGGCTCGTAGGACACTGATCCCAAAAGAGGTCCCCGGTCGGAAGATGGCCCAAACCACTTCAAAGATGCTTCCCACTGTGACCTGAGAAACAGACATGGCCCAGATGAGCTCAGGACAGGCTGCTGCAGGAAGCTTTGCCATTCTTGAGAGCAAAGCACCCACCTCCCTGCCCCAAAACCTGGTGTTTCAGTTTGGTCGTCCTGGCCCCTTCAAGGACCATGTCCTCATCGGTCCCTTGCTCTGTAGACAACCCTAAATATATTCCCTGGCCTGCAGCATCCCTGGAGCCACCTACCCCACAGTCAAAGCAGTTGAATGAAGAATGGAAGTACAGGCGTGGCCCCATCCCATACATCTTCAAGGACATCTCCAGGAGAAAGAGCCCAAGAAACAGGAACTCTGCATAGTCTGAAAGCAAAAACCCAGATGTGCTACCCTCAGGCAGCGTGCATGCACCCACCAGAGGCCCACATAGCAACATCACAGAGGTGGGACGAGTCAAGGAGCATGCTGCCTCCCCAGGGTATGGAATTCAGAAGCAAGTATGCAAAGAGCTAAACGTAAATAACAGAGCACCAGTCCCACAATGTTAATTTTTCAGGGCAGATGCATTGGTGCCCCAGGGGGCACTGAGGACAAGTGAGGGCTATCATGGAGCAAAGCAGTTCCTTAACATCATATGACAATTGTTGGAGCATCCTCCAAGATGTTAACCACACTGCCCTGTAGGGGAATATTAGCAGTTTGGATCTAAATCATTGCACAACTGGAACTTGGCCAGGGTAACTAAGCCAAATAGCCACAAGCCAATAAAAAGCTTCTCAAGCTATTTCACAAACATTAGCAGGCAATGGTCTGGCTCTTCACCTTGTCCAAAAGATGCTTCTCACCACGACCAGCCGCCACACCACACTGTGTCGTGCTGGGATCCCAGCAGGCCTGAGCATGCTAATGCAGACTGGGCAGGCCTGGGGCTTGCTGGGGACATTTTCAAGGTGAATAAGAGTAACATGGATGAGAAAGCAGCACTGTCCCTTCTGCAACAGCTTGGAAGTAACACATGACTTTCATGGGGTTGACCACACTGCTCTGCTGGTTGCACACGCCAGAATGGGCATACATGTACTGCCACTGAGACCCTTTGTACCACAGCCCACAGCAGACTGGGGGATGCCCCAGTCACTGTCATTGGGATCCCCAATGTCATTGGGATCTGAACCAAAACTTCAGCTGGAAAGTTCTTTCATGACCATTGTTCAGCCTCATCCACGCACACTCACACCTTCCCAGCTCAGACCCTGCAACTGTAGGCATTCAAAAAGAGCTCCAGTAAGATTCCCATTCACCATTGCTCACAATTTCAGGATAAACACAACCCCTGCACCAAACCCAGGGACTCACAGAGGAAGTGTGTGAGCCAGGCAGGCTGGTTGTGATGGACGATGGCCACACAGGCAGTGTTAAGAGCCACCAGGCTCAAGACAATCCAGTAGAAGACCTGGGATTTCACCATGTGGCGAACGGAGATACGCAGGAGCCGCTCCTTGTGCCGTAAATAAGAGGCTCCATCCACTCCTTTGAGACCAGAGCGACTCAGAGGGTTACCTGAGGGAAAAGAAGGGGTGCCAAGGTGCGAAGAGGAGCTGGGATCTCCAGCCTTCATTGCAACATGGAGGTGAGTCAACTGGCTCCCAACACAATGGCAAAAGGATGTCCGACCGTGCTGTATGCAACCACCACAACTCAGTGTGCTGTCAGATGTTTGGGGGAGGAAAGCTTCGAACTGCACTGACCCAAGGTGGGATGAAGAGGCCTCCTCTGTGCCAGCCTCCGCTCGCCCACGGAGGAGATATCGACGCAGTGCTCATCGCTGGAGTCACGGTTCATGGCATCTGTCCGGTTCCTCTTGATGGTGGCTCGCCTGAGCACTGGAAAGAACAGGGTTGGACCATGGTGGGCCAGCTCTGCCAGCAACCTGATCATAGGACCATGATCAGCACTTGGTGAATTCAGGTCTGGGCATGGGATGGAGATATGATCACACTCAATTGACCCCAGGCCAGAGATACTCCTCTGCAGGAGCAGCCATCTCCTGGCCTCAGGAGCCATCCATCTCTCCCCATCCCTCCACTGGGCTGCAGACCCCAATGGAGCATCTGTAGGCCCTTCTCCACTCACAGAGGAGGGTTTAAGGCACAAGGAAGGGCAGTAGGTGCTTTTGCAGGATGTTCTCTTACCTTCTAAGGCTGAGGTCCCAGCGTTTTTGTTCTCTTCAGCCAGCATGACTTCCTCTATGCAAAACACACAGCTCAGCATCAGGAGACAAGCCACCATTGGCTGAGCACATCAGACTTAACCACTTTGCCTGGCCTGGAAGTGGTTGCTAGAGGGTGCAAACTCTCATCAGCTATAGAGTAAGCATCCAAAAGCAAATTCTCAGGGTTGGCAAGGAGCAGCTGCCACATTTCACATCAGAATGAGAAATGACTTCTGATCAACCCTACTAAATAATAACTAAATAGTAACTAAATAAGCTGAATACTGTAGATAGAAAATCTTGTTTCTGAGTCATGCTTTCAGAATAAACCCCTCTACGTATCCCTGTGAGATTTCTGAAGGGCTCCTTGCCCTCTGCTAACTCCTTCTCCTGCTGATCACAACATCTCTTCTCCGCTCACTCACAAGTTAGACTTGCCATCATGTCTGCCAGGGCTGAGCTCACCCACACGCCCATTGTGAGCACCAGGACCACCTTGGGGCTGCAAGGAGAGCACTCTCCATCCCAACCACTCTGCATTCCCACCGCCCCCTGGGATCCCAGCCCTTTACCCGCTTTGTCTATCCAGGCCCGGTAGCCGTTGAGCTCCCGCTCGATCTGCTGCTGTCGCCGCAGCTTCATGAAGGCCCGGCGGTTCTCCACGCGCTCACGTTCTTTGGCAAACTCCCTGCAATAGCACAGAGTGGTGATGAGAGCACACACAGGGGTCCCATGGACATCCCATCCACAGCACACACCCCTCACCTCGCTGCCTCCAGTCACAGCTGTTTCTGCTGTTGTCACCCAACCGATGGCCAAAGCCAGCATGCCAAGAGTTGGGTTGGCTGAATCAGAAGGAACAGTCCTTAGATAGTGGATTCACTCTTGAGAAGCATTGGATGAGCAAAGAGGGCAGAGAAACAGCACTGGGAAGCTCTCAGCTCTTTGTGCACAGGAAGCACACAGTGCACGGGGAAGAAGGCGGGTGATGCTCCATCCAAGGTTCATCTGCTTCTCCAGCAACAGTTACCAAACACTTCCTTTGCTCCAAGTTCCACACCAGTTGGCAAATTTGCTCTGGGTTCCCTCTCAATCTCCAGCAAGCCACAATGAAGTGGGATTTTTATAGAATCATAGAGTTGTTTGAGTTGGAAGGGACACTTAAAGGCCATCTAGTCAAATTCCCTGCAGTCAACAGGGACACCTACAGCTCCACCAGGTGCTCAGAGCCCCATCCAGCCTGACCTTGAATGTCTCTAAGGATGGGGCATCCATCACCTCTCTGGCCTCTCTCCTGCAATACCATTCACTAGGGCACATGCTTTTAGGCTCTGACTGGGGATCTTCCTTTCTCTCTCCAGCCTCTCCTTGGAGGGTCTTCTCACGATTCACCCTAAGGACCTCAGAGCTAACACCATGCCCACTGCTCACACAGCTTCTAATGTGCATGGATATGGCAGCATCCATGTGCTTACATCCACTCCTAAACACATCCAAACGTTCTAGATACCATACCCATCGTTGACACACACCAAGCACCTGGGGCATATCCATTCACACGTTACAACTCCGGCAAGGAGCAGGTTGGCACACAGGGACCAGACATCCCCCAGCACACCCTTTCTCATCATTGGGATGGAATTTGCTGGCTGATGTTCCCAAGTCCTGCAGGACTTGGATTGCACACCAGGAGGAACACGATTGTGGAGAACAAGCTACAAGACAAACATCTCTCTCCCTGGAGCCCAGCAGCAATCTCCAGTCTTAGAATATTCCAAATAACTGAAAGAATTGGTCTGTCTGCTGCAGGGGGAGTTCAAGTGCATCACCCCAGCTGAGCTATTACACCCTTAATGCTGTGTGGGCTTTTGCATGTGTGTGAGCGCGTGTTTGTGTGAAAAGCCCTGAAATGTTCCCTGCATCTCTTGTTTAAGATCTGCAGACAATTCAAGCATTTTTAATTCCACCCCAGGAAGGTGAAGTTTCCTGCCGCTCCGGCATTGAGCATCAAATGACTCTCTCCTTCCAGCTCCAGCTTTCAGCCCAAAATGAGACTTTCTTGCTGGGGCAGGGAAGGGGGAGAGAACAAAAGGAAAGGAAGAGAAAAGCAGCCTAAGTGGAGGGAAGGAGGGCGGGGAGCACCTCCCACAGCCGGCGGGGAAAGGCACTCGCTTTGGGCACGGCATGTGGAACAGCTCCTTGCCTTGCGCGGGGGAAAGGCAGGATGGTGCCGGCTGCGCTTCATCCCCCACGCCAGCTTCTGTGCGCTGCTAACATGGAGATGCCAAGGAGAGAGAAGATGCCATCGGCAGCCAGAGCCAGCGGGGACCATGCCTTTACCCCACTGATGCTGTGCCCTGGTGTGACCCGTGTCGTTGTAGTATCTTCTCCAGCAATCTCATTGAGCCTGGCTCGGCTGGGCATGGTTTGCACACGAAAGCCCCCAGTCCCCTGCAGCCAAGAGAGATGAAAGCCAAAGCGCCATCTCCCCATGGCCAAGCATTGCCTTGCAGAACCCTGACTGCAAGAAGCTGGTGCCACACGCACACACACCCAGGGACACAACGGCCCTTTCTGCTGTGGCAGCAGCTCCGAGGGAGATGCTTCCCACACTCCTGCTCCCTAATGGAGCCTAATTGCTTTTGTCCATTAGGAGGAGGAAGGGGGGGAGGGGGGGAGGGAAAAGTTAAACTCAACTTAATGAATTATTACATTTCAGTGAGACACGTTACCGAGCAGGGCAGCAGCGGGGGCTGGTGACATCTGAGAGTGGGTAGGCGATGCTGACAGATCAAGGATTGCTCAGAGCCAATTTGCAGCAGCGGGTAGAGATAGCGCTGTGCAGTGAGCGCAGAGCTGGCCGTGCTGACTGACAGCCGCCTGGGAACGCTCCAAGCACGGGGCTGGCTGCCATGAAGGATGCTGCTCCCTATGGTGTTAGGTTGTGCCCCGTGAAACAGCACTGTTTGGCTTTGCAAAGCATCCGGCATCACTCCCCAGTCCTATGGAAGGTCCCCAGATCTGCACAGGCACATTCAAGCCTCCAGCATGGAAAAATTCCCTTGCCATAGTGAAACCCACCTTGTGCCAAATGTGGGGCTGTGTAGGACCCAGTGTCACCACAGCCTTGGGAATACCAATGGCAGGCACTGAGAGATGGATGGAAGGGCTAGAAATTGTGGTGGGAGCTCAGTGCCATCTGTTCTCACACCAGTGAGGCAGCATCCAGACCCCATGCCCAGCCTGCCAAGGCCATAGGAGCAGATGGTTTGCTCTTCCCATGCCTGCAAATCGTTCTTCGTTCCCACTCCTGTGCCCAGCAGGAGATCTTGGGGCAGCCTTCCTTCTCCAGGCTGCTGCTGCAGCTGTGCCTTCATAGAACCATAGAATTGCTTGGGTTGGAAGGATCCTTAAAGACCATCCGCTTCCACCCTCATGCTATGAGCAGGGTTGCCAACCACTAGATTCCTCTTCTTCATTGGTGTTTTTGGCTCAAAGCACTGCAGGGCCAAGGTCAAGTTTTAATAGGAGAAGAAACCATGTGAAAGCATCCTCAGAGCAGCCTCATTTGGGGAAAAAAAAAATAAAAATAAGGCTAAGAGAAAAACTATCACAGATGCTGCAACCCACTTGTATTACACCAGGAGCATCTTGGAGTCCAGAGGGGATATATAGAATCATTGAGGTTGGAAAAAAAACACTAAGATCATCACGTCCAACACCACCCCCATCCCATGCCCACTGCCCACATCCCTCAGTGCTACATCTCCATGGTTCTGTAACACCTCCAGGGATGGTGACCCCACCACCTCCCTGGGCAGCCTGTGCCAGTACTTCACTACCCTTATCTACAGCACAGGCCAAACCAACACTGTGGTTTCCATGCTTTCAAAGAAGCCAACCACCTCCACAGAATCACCTTTCACCACCAGTAACCACACCGCCAGCAAACCAGCTACCAAAATGGTCATAAATGACACACAGCAGCAGATGGGGTGGGAAGAGGCTCACATGCTGAAGCTGAGGCATCAATAGCGTGCTGCTGTAAGAAAGCCAGTTGTAGTGGGCCGTGTAGCAAGAGATGCCATCTGTAAGGCACCAGGTAATGCTTCTGCTTTGCTCAGCACGAGGGAGGCTCACGGCTCCTGTTTTGAGAATCACAGCTTGAGGAAAAACACTTTCACCTCCAGAAAGGTTAAGGGACAGAGCTGGCACCTAGAGATCTGGAGAGGATAGATGAGACAGGTGCAGAGCAGGAGGATCAGCTGGTATCTACCTAAGAGGTGTAAAGGAACTAAAACAAGAGCAGCGAGTGCCCCCTGTACGCTGGTGCTGAAGCTTAAACAGAAGGTGCAAGCAAGCAGCAGGGCTGGCACTGCCAGCCAGAGGGTCTGGGCGCTGCGCTGCTGAGGTCGTGCCTTACATCAGCGATCCATTTAGCAGAGGCAGATGCTGATGATTACCCTCTACCTTGGGAGAAGCTTGTGATTTAAAAGAGGTTTTCTAATGGGTACCACTGGAAGCCCTCTGCCAGGTCCTACAGGGGCTTGTGTTAGACAGGGCTGACAGCGAGCAGCATGAATGATTCACACAGAGCACGTCACGCTGATTTGCATTGACACCATGCGCCAAGAGGAGAAGGGTTTTCTGTGAACAAAAACAGAGGCAGAAGGGGAAAGCAATGCCCATGTGAAAGCACAGGGAAAAGGCAGTGCAAACAGGCAACTGTCCCCAACAGTGAACAGGGAATTGAGTGGCTCCAGTGAGGAACCACCAAAGTTCCCATCCCCAGAGGTTCTTTTATAAGCTGGTTCCTCCAAGAGATGCAGATGTGCGGCCCCATGTAGGGCCCAAAGGCAGTGGAGACAGGGCTACCAGTGGCCAGCTATTTCATAGGACACTGTGCTCCTCCCAAGGAGTGACACTCTGGGATCTGAGGAGAAACGCACACACGGAGGTTTGCTGCATATTCGGCTCAGCCCTGCTGTTCCGTGCACTGCTACCTTTAAATGCAGCTGAGTTTCCCAGGACACAGGCTGGGCTCAGAGCAGCCACGAGCCAGCAGAGCTTATTGTTTTGAAGTAGAGAAAAACAAAGGTCAAAGAGGGTAAATATCAAATGTTAAGCCGCTGACATCCAGCTGCAGAGCCTCAGCTTCAACATGTGTCTCAATGTGACAAGGTGGGGTTTGCATCTGTGCTTCCACTGTTCCAAGGACATGCCGCTCCTCCCATCCTCTCCTGGGCTCTGCATTTCATCCTCTGTAAACAAGGCAGGTTTTGTCCCTCTTTGCAAGCGACAGCAATCTACAGATGGGAGGTGTGGGGCTAGTACTGATACAGCATGAAAAATCACCATTTTTCAGTATTTCATCACGTTATCATCCCAGCAACTTTCAAGCTCTCTAATTGATGGCTTCAAAACGCAAATACAATGGATTCAGAACCAACCATCAAGTGCAAAACCCACAACAACTGCTAGATATGTCATTGCCACTGCAAAACAAACAAACAGCCGCCTACAGCGTACAGAGGACTGATAATGTGCAGTGATTCATTTGGGAGATCCTGCCCAACCCACCCAGCAAAGGTGTAAAGCACCTCTTTCAGAGAATCACAGTATGATTGGGTTGGAAGGGGCCTCAAAACCCCTCAGCCCCCTCTGCTGTGGGCTCGCTGTCCCCCCAGCTCAGGCTGCCCAGGGCCCATCCATGGCCTGGGGAACCTCCAGGGATGGGGCACCCACAGCTCTGGGCAGCAGTGCCAGCACTTCACCACTCTGAGTGAAGAATTTCCTCCTCACATCTAACCTACATTTTCCTAAATTAACCTATCCTTATCATGGCCACTACAAGGAGCTGGGCATTGCCAAAGCTGTAGAATCATCTGTGTTGGAGAAGACCTTCAGCCCAGTCATCAGGCTGATCCATCTACCCAGTCAAGGAGTTCATGGATGCTATTGCTAACAGAAATAGGGAAGAACTGGAACAAACAGCTCCAAAAGCAATCTCCAAAAGAAAGAGCTCGCTGCCGAGTGCTTTCTGAAGAGCATCAAAGCGAGCCCCTCACCAGCAGCCTGCAAACCATGGGGAGTCTGCAGAACACATCTGCAAGAAAAACAGCAAACACGGAGCGGCTGAGCCGTGCCAGCAAATAATTCCCAAGGAGAAATCAAAGGGGAGACCCTTGCACTGCCTCGTGGCTGTGGGTTTTTCTCTCTGGTCCCGCTGGCTGCAGGAGAAGACGACGCTCCCAGTGACATGGGGGACGTGGCAGTCCTGACATGCCCCTCTTGTCAGGCAGCGTGTTCACATGGGGCCTGGGGCCTCGGGGACAGGTGGCACAAGCAGGCGAGGCGGAGAGGTGCTCAATGAATATGGATGCCCACCTGGCTGCTGAATATAGATGAGCATCGCTCCTTTGCATCAGCCGCAGAAGGTGCTCAAGTGCTATGTTGGTGAGATGAGAGCTTCTCCAGAGCACAGCAACAAGTGCAGCCCAAATCTACATCCCCATTACAGCTCAGAAGAGCAAATTCCCAAACACACAGTGGGCACAGACATCCTGCCCTCCTCTAAACCACTCCTCAAGATGCCACTACTGCCGAAGAAAACACAATGTAAGCTTCCAGCGCAATATTTCCTGGGTGCATTTGTTGGCATCTTGCTGTCATTCATGACGTCCCCACAAGACTTCTCCACAAGCACCTCCAAGGCATTAATCATAGAACCATTTGAGTTGGAGGGGACCTTTAAAGGCCATCTGGTCCCACTGCCCTGCCCTGAGCAGGGACACCTACAGCTCCATCAGCGCTCAGAGCCCCTCCAACCTGACATGACTGTCTGTAGGGATGGGGCACCCACCCCACATCCACCTCTGGCTTCAAACCACCTGATCCAGCTCAAACGTGGGCCAGCAGAAAACCCTGCTTCCATTGACAACATGCACTTGTGCCTTTGTGCCTTTGATGCCCCGATCATTAATTGTTAAAACTTAATCTTATTCATCATTTGTTATGCCTCAGAATCGGGTAGGAAAAAAAAAAAATCCAAATGAAGTGAAGTGAAAAGATTTCAGAGATGGTACAGGAGGCTCCTGGAGGAGCTGAAGAATACTCTCAGGAGACTGGGAACGCAGTGCTAACCCAACCTGAAAGAAAGAAGATCTTAAGACAAAGAAATCTTGCCAAATTGATCCTTTAATTATAACATTAGTCGTTTCTTTCAAAGGCTTAGTGCAAGAGCTGAAGGTGGGGGGCAGAAAAGACTCAAAGGGAAAAAAGACTTAACATCACCAGGATGAGTGGAAGCAATTAGGAGGATTTAAATTACTCTCTTGTTTGGTACAAGGCAGATAGATTTCATTTCTCTTGCCATCATTGCTCAACTTCTTGCTTTGGCATCGCCCTGGGTTACACCAGCCCTAGGACACACGACGTATTGAGTCGTGCTCCTGAGCTCCCCGCCCCACAGCACTGCAGTGGCTGCTCCTTCCCTGCTCTCTCTGATGCTCCTGCCAGGGCTATTTCAGGAGCTTGTGGAGCTTTAAAAGCTGAGCAGTCACATCTCCTTGGGCTTTATACCTGCGAAATGTGCACAAAGAGGAACGGGGCCAATTTTTTTTTTCCCTTTCCTGCTTTCAGTTGGAATTAATTGATCTGTAATTGCACCCATAGAGGGGAAAAAGTTAATAGACGCAGTAATAAATGCCAAAGCCCCAGAAGATCTGGCTCTCCAAGCCCCTGCCTGGAGCTACTCCATCTCTGCTAATAGCGGTGCATGCAATTCCAGCGCATGTGTGTGTGTTAGTATCTAGAGAGCAAACCGAGAGGCCTCGGCATGATGGAAATCATTGCTTTTTCTCTCCCACATACTTAGTGCTCAGGAGCAGATGGATCCAGGCTGTTTACATCACGGAGGTCATGGCTCAGCCTAACAGTTGGGGAACTGACTGTTGGGAGAGATGCGCATCGCAACCAGAAGATTGCTAAATCTGGGCTCAGGCAAACTTCTAATGGTGGCAAATGAAACAAATGTCCTCCTGCAGCCTCTTGGCATTCATGACCTGCCTTGGGTGGCTGGTTGGCTCCCCAGTGAGAACAGCTGCTGAGCTGTAGCCGGGAAGGCAGGAGGCCAGACCACATCCCAGTGCAACCACCCCCTCCCTGCTCAGCACAGCGCAGGGGGACGCAGAGTAGAAAAGCCAGCCTTTGCCTCCCAGAGCAGAGCCCAGTGCTCTCTTTCAGCACAACAGAATGGTGAGAAATGTTAAAACCAACAAAACCTTTGCAAGCAAAGTAAGGAAAGCAGCCTTTGCGTGCCTCCACTCTGAGGACACCGCATCTCACAGTCCTCCAACAGCCTCATCACGAGGACAGCCAGCCTCAACCAGGTCCTGCACCCAGGCAGGCTGTGGCCTTACTGGTGGCCATGCACAGCCCATCTGGCTGCCTCCATCACCTTGCCCAGCCCTCCAGGAGCTGAGCAGTCAAGCTTTTCCTTAGGTAGCTGGCACACCACAAGAGCATCTCCATTGCCAATTAGGCCACCCACCCACTTGCATCCTTCCCCAGTACAAACCCTATCAGCAATAAACAAACATTGGAAATGCCAGCCAGCGCCTGGGAAAAGCCTGAGGTGCCTGCATCCAATTCAGCGGATGCAGGAAGGGTTGCCCCATACAGTCCTGCTGTAGACAGACATCAAGAGAGGAACATGCCATTGCCATCACACCTGAACTCATGGGGACGTTTAAGACAGTGATGGAGATGGTCAGCTTCCACTTTGATCCCCGCATTCTGACATCACACAACACTCAAAACAAGGACCAAGGAATCATATGATGTACATGCAAAGAAGTCTTTTTTTTTCCTCACTGTAGGCTGTCTCTGGCCATACAGCCATCCTGTGCCCAAAAAAAGCATCTTGGAACACCCTCAAGGTACTCCATGGGGTTGCTGATTACACCCCAGCAGGAACAACCCACCCACCATGCCCCACTGCCCTCACTCTGCACAGCCTACCACCAGCCACCCTCCCCACGTGCCAACCTCTGCCAGTGCTGGGGATGCGCTAATGCAGCCACAGTTCATTGTCATGGAAACAAGAAGCCTTTTTCTCTCCAAGGCCAGCCTGATGGCTTGGAGGAAAATCTCTGTTCCACATGGAAGATCAAGAATAAGACAATCATCTTTCCCCTGTGTCCCCCTCCATGTGCAAGTGATGCTGGGGATCCTCAGCCAACAGCTCCCAAACCCATCCCATGCCCACCACGCTCCATCAGCTGTCGAATGTGCACCTGGCTACAGACACAACCCAAACTCATAGGCATTTCTATATCTCTTCCTCTCCCTCTTCCCTCCCAGTCACAGTCAACAACTTCTTGCACATCAAAACACCAAAATCTGCAGCCCCTTGTTGTGAGACAGGCATGGAAGGGAGTAGCAAGGTTTTGGGACGTGGCAGCACCAGGGCCAGGCACAGGGCTCAGGCACATGCCAGGAGGATGGTGACTTGCTTACCCTGACAGCACTCCCAGGACAAGGTTGAGGACAAAGAAGGATCCAATGATGATGAGGGGGATGAAGTATAGCCAGTTCCAGGTGGCTCCTAAGGCATCATTGGTCTGGAGGGGAAAGAAATCACAGGGGTGACTTTATGCACAGCACAAGCAGAAGGTACATTAATTCAGGTGCAGGAAGATTCTCCTTCTGTACTGACCACACCAAGCTCCTTGGGGTGACCAGCTCTTCGCCAACCCTGACAATAGGCTTCTGCCATCATCCCACTGTACTGTTCCATTCTGGCTGCATGAAGCAGTTTGCAGCTCCAGACAGTTATTCACCAAACAAAGCTTTTAATAAAAGCAATGCCCCCTCACCCCTCGCAGCCACTCCCTGACCCCATTTGTCCCCTAGTGTAAGGCACTGTGCACATGATGCCAGGCTGGAGGGTGATGCGGCAGAACGTGACTGTCTGGGGGAGGTGGCATCAATCTTGTTGCAATGAAAGGCTCTTTCTCTTTTCTCTTTCTTCCTCCTCTCCCCGTGCTAATTAAGCCCTCATCTCCGTCTGAGTCATTGGCACCACGTCTCCCCATCGGCCAGCACAGGAACCTGCAAGTGGGGAGGTAGCCACCTCTGGTGACCACCACACAGGTACTGGGGCCACCAGTACATCTGGCTGTGGGCACCAACCAGCACACAGAAGGATGCTGCAGGGAGAGACACCAGTGCTGTATGTCAGCCCCTACCCTGAGGGGTATCCATTTGTATCCATTTGATATCCATTTGTAGTTTTGCCAACATTGACCTTTGGCTTACATAGCTCTTCTCTTCCCTGTTTCCCATCCTGAAGTATTTATAGATGGTGACTGTTGCCATTCCCAGGCTCTGCTCTGGTAGCTCAAGTAAGGTTCATCCAGTTTTCTCCCGCGTGACTGCCTCTCCCTCTTCGTTCATCCAGCAGCCCCTCCTCTGCTCCAGTCCAGGCTCAGTTCATCATCCATGTACACAGGAGACCCAAGTGAGCAATGCTGACAGGTCCTGCTGCACCCATGCATGATGCTGCTGAGACCTCACCATCCTGCCTGAAAGCTTCTCTTCTTTCCCCTCCATCTCCATCCTGGCACCTTCCAGTCACAAAGACCCAAGTTCTTGGGAGGTATATCCTTGTCATTCTCCAACAAGCACACGACTCACCCTGAGAGCCCTAAACCAGCCCCACCTTGGTGCTGCTCCCTTCCCGCTAGCTCTGCTCCGCCAACCCTTCCCCTTAGGGAAAGCATTACTACGACAAGCGACTCTGCATGTTTCCTGCACTTAGAAAACCAGTCCTTGGATGCCAGGTTAGCCCGGCATGACCTACCTTTGGCAAACCCATGATTCATTTTCCTCTTTTGCCTCCAAAATCTGTTCCGAAATGGCATGCAATTGAGGTCAGGCTCGCAGCCCTATTCCTGCCTGCCTTACTTTTCCCTTCCTCCCCCCGCTTTTAAATATAGGCACTGCATTCACTCTTCCCCAGTCAGCTGGTGCCTCCCCCAGCACGCCAGAGCTGTTATAAATACGCAGGACCAGACCTGCCATCTATGTGCCAGCTCCCCCTAAATGCAGTGGGGGTGATGCTCATCGTCAAGCTGGTGGGCACAATGGGCTGTGGCCGTGCTCGTGTTCTTGGTCACACTATGCATCCTTTTGTCGCCCTTGGGTTCACCAGAAGTTTGAGTGAAATGTCCACCTGGTGTGGGGGTCTGTGCCCAAACATCCCCTTATTCCAGGTTGGATATTAGGAAAAATTTCTTCTCTGAAAGAGGGGTGAGGTGTGGAAGGGGCTGCCCAAGGAAGTGGTGGAGTCACTGTCTCTGGAAGTGTTCAAGAAAAGGGTAGATGTCGCCTTGAGTGATGTTTAGTGGGCATGGTGGGGATGGGCTGATGGTTGGACTTGGTGATCTCTTTGTTTTTTTCCAACCTCAACGGTTCCGTGATTGGCAGAGGTGAGAAACCACTTACTGCTCCTTTGAGCACTCTGCACAAGGTTCATGTTGCTTGAATTTTGGCACTTCCCAACTCCTTTGGCAAAAGGAAATCATTTTCTTTAGCAAGCAGCCCCTTTTCCTTTATATTTGGAGCACCATTCACTCCTAATACCCTTCCACAGACAGTAATTCACCACCTTGCGCCTTCCCATAGATTTTCCACTTGCTCAGGACCCAGCAGGACATCTCATGCAGGGTCCAGGGAGGCCAGACCACGGGTAGTTCAATCCTCAGACCACACCAAAGCTGCAACTCCTTTAAATGAAGAAACTCCTTCCTGCCCCTGGCCTTGTGCTGGGGCCTTTGGGAAACTGAGGAACCACCTGATGTCTGGTCCTTCTTCACCTTTAAGGCAACAACCTTCTCATTACAGAATCACAGAGTCATTCAGGTTGGAAAGACCTTCAAGTTCACCAAGGCCATCCATCAAACTGAATCACTGAGTCCCACCACTAACTCATGCCCATTAGTGCCACATCCACACATTTCTTCAATACCTTGAGGAATGGAGACTCCACCACCTCCCTGACAGCCCATTGTGAATCACTCCATCCTAAAATACCACCAGCCACACTCTTCCTTGGCTGCTTGACCACAAAATGTGTTCACTACCACCTCCAGGAACGCGTGAGACACTGACATATACAAAGCATACAAATGACCCAAGCCACCTCACTGGCTCGGGCCACCGGGGTGACAGTGCTGGCACCATACCCACCACCAAGGCCACCACATGGACTGGCCCTGTTACTTTGGCAGCTCCTATATTTCCAAAGGGCAGGAAAAGGCATAGGGAGCTGCAAAAGCAGGTCTCACTCAGGGGCCAGAAGTCTAAAGAAGTCTAAATATATACTGCCGTCAAACGCAAAGCACAGGCTCGCAGCCCACACATACCCTCCCTCAGCATGAGAAACTTCAGGATTTTTTTGCTGTGCTGGGAAAAAATAATACAACAACCACAAACTCAGTTTTTTCTGCGTAAAAAATTAGCAAAAAGCACCTTCTGCCTTTGCAGGGCACCTCTGGATTCCCAGTGGTTTGACAGAAAGTGCAAGGGAAGGAAGGGTGATGCTGGACAGACAAGCAGATAAGCTTTGCTATTGAGAGAAACAGTCTCAGAGATGGTCCCTGCTCTGAGCAGCAGCACAGCCATGTCCCCTGTCCAAATCCATCTGCATCAGGAGAGCCTCTGCGATATCTGCTCTAATCCAAACCCAAATGGCACGTAATTAGATTGGGGTAATATTCAGATATTACCATAACCCACTTGCTTAGGGAATAAACACAGCTTGGGAGCAAGGCCCACAGGCAGATGTAGCAGGGCTGTGCACACCATCACCTCCCAGACCCCAGTACTGTGGGGTCTGAGGATCAGAGCCGGTACTGAGCCTCCCTGGCACAGATCAGTAGGAGCAGCATCACAGTCCAGCCAAAAGCTAAAAAAAAAAGAAATTAAAGAACTCTCCCAGCAGATTCCCTGACCTAACCAGCTCCCTCAAGACCTTGACACCCACTGCAGCTCCACAGCACAGTAACAGATCTCCTTCTTCCCTTTAATAGCTATAATTTGATATCCTGCGTGCAGGGCCATGCTTCACTCCCCGCCAGCTGTGCCTGGTATCTGTCAGCGACCCCAGTGCTGTACAAGATCTGAATGAAAATGCTTTTCTTCTCCAAATTAGGTTAATGAGGAAATTGCTGTATTTCCTTCACAGAGCAAAGGCTGGGCCGTATCCTATCCTGAGTGGGTGCCCAACGCTGTGCCCACAGCACTGTGCAGACCCCAGAGTACCAGGGCTCCCCACAATGGAATTCTTGGTGAGGGCTGGACTGTGTGGGCACGCATCCTGCTGGGTAGGAATGGGGAGACAGGGAAGAGCTCCCATGTATTTCATTTTTCCTGTTTTCTAAATGAAACATTTCAATTTCAGACTAAGAAAACAACGCGTTGCTAAAAGCATTATGAAAAATTAAGTGTTTTGAAAGTGCTTGATAGGGGTGTGGAGACTGACTTTGGTTCTGTTCTACTCTGATCTGCTGAGAAATCACACCCAGACCCCCCAGCACTGCATACCATGGGACGCCAATGAGACCCTCCATGGGTTGCCAGCAGGACCTTTCATGGGATGCCAATGGAATCACAGCCCCTGGGCTTAACAAAGAGGGGCTGAAACCCTCTGTCCTTGTAGGGCAGTTCCAGAGCATCAGGTTCTGCTCTGTTCCTCTGGCTCAGGACAGAGCCGTTCCCTTGGCAAGCAGGAGGAGGGTGTAAGCAGGCAGCTCTCAGCGGAGCAAGCCTTCGAAGCTGCAGATCCAGCAGACACAGTTTGTTTCTTGCTGTGTCATTTCAGTGCGCACACATTAAAAAAAAAATAAAGAGGAAAAAAAAAAAGGAACAGTTGGCAAGAAGGAGAGGGTCTGGCTTTAAGTGCTAGCAAACAGCTGAGCCAAGAGAGAGCAAAAACCAGCACCCTGCCCATGGCTGCTCGGGATGCATGCAGCAGCATCACTGGGCTCATCTGGCAGGGCTCAATGACCAGGAGCCATTTAGGGGAAAAACAGCACACTTAGTTAAAAGTTCGGATGGTGTTTAGCCCTTGGGGTGGCACTTCCTCAGCTCCTCTTCCCTAGAAAACCCAGCACTTGGCTCCCTCCACCTTCGCTCACCAGCGTCTCTCCCTCCTTGGGAATGCACAGGGATAAAGGCATGAGTGATGCTCAGGACCTCAGAGCCAAAAGGCACAGCACTGTGACCCCCTGTATTTATCACCCCCAACCCATCCATCATGTCAACAAGGCGGATTTTGGGTTTACAGCAAGCAGCTGTGGCCCGTCAGCTCCCTTGATGCCTTGCCATGCATTTTTAATTAGCAGCACGGATGCTGCTGTAATGCCTGGGAGGCAAAATGTTTTTACCCATCGCTGCTAACAGCCGTGGCCCTGTGCACAAATCAGGGCTCTGCCAAGCCTCCTGCTTGCTCCCACCACCTTGATACCATCGGGGCTGCCCGTTTCCCACCCCAGCATCAACCCCACAGTGACACCAAGCAGCATTCTGCATGACGCCTGGTCCCCATGCCACACAGCCAATGTCCCTGGCACACAGTGTGAGGAGGCCCATGCTCTCTGAAAAGGAATCAAAGCCCTCCAGGGATGGGCAAAGGGAAGGACTCCAGTTTGAGATATTTTTTGCTGTTTTTTTCCCCAATCACACTGTGATTTCTGCATAGCAAGGCGGCATCTCACGCAAGCAGGGTGAGGAAAACAAGGTGAGAGCTGAGCGCATCCACAGAATAACACACGTGGAGAGCACCACGGGGCTGATTAGCTTTTTCATGATGCTTTCTACATATTTGGAGAAATGTGCTTCTAGACCGGGTAAAACTGCGGGAAAATGGCTCTTAAAATCACGATACAGCTACACGGGGGAATATTATAGTAAGCAATTTCTTTGAGAGATTGCTGAAGCATTTTGCCTGCCATCTCCTCTCTTCTGCAGAGCTCATTGCTAACCCAAAAGGGCTCCATTTCTCACCACTGCACCCAATGGCCGAACCCCCAAACCTGCAGGCAGTGAGCATTTCCCAGAGGACCTCAGCCCATACACACGCTTGCTCACACGTCCTCATTTGTGGCATTTTTTCCCATAGGAAAAGAGTTCCAAAGCCCATTTTGCAGCCTAGAGCCAGGCATCCCCATGAGACAATGGAAGGACAAGAGGCAGCTGAGGGAGAAGTGAATCAGCAGTGATTTGCCACCAAGCCCCAAACCCTCATTCAATTAGCAGCCAAGAAGGTCCCTGATACTTCCATTAAAGGTAAGTAATAGCTGGAGCTGTGCGAGGAGCAGGAAAGGGAGGCAGTGGGCAGTCACAGCCATCAGGGATGTGATGACAGAGCACATCTGGACAGTGATGCCGGGAAGATCACTTGAATCCCAGACCACCAGGCATCCCTGAATATCCATCTCAGCTATGGGTCGCACCCAGCTGCCATGGGGATGGGAGGGCTTGGAATGGGGTTGTGGGGATACTCAGGAAAGGAATGGGCTTGCCATGGTTCCCAGCCATCCCAAAGGCAGTTGTGCAGGGGAAAATCCCTTTTCATGCTGTACACATTTATCCTGCCAATATGCACTATGGTTAAGTCTCTAAGCCCACTGATGTACCAGAAATGCTCTTGTATTTTGATCTCCTAAGTCGTTCAGTTCTGCCCAGTTCCCCACCAAAGCAGCAAGATGAAGACACCAATAGCTCCTTTAGGATGAGGAGGAACAGAACCTCTGGGCAAGAATCATCATAGAATGATAGAATCACTAAGGCTAGAAAAGACCACTAAGATCTCCAAGTCCAACCATCAACCCCTCCCCACCATGCCCACTGCCCACGTCCCTCAGTGCCACATCTCTATGGCTCCCAAATACCTCCAGGGATGGTGACCCCACCACCTAGGCAGCCTGTGCCAGTACATCACCACTTTTCAGAGAAGAAATGTTTCCTATCATCCAACCAGACCCTCCCCTGACACAGCTTGAAGTCATCACCCCTTGTAGGTGAAGCCCTGGCCAAGACTGCTCCCCCAGTCCAGGTTTTGGTGGTCCATCTGCCTCACGGATGCCAATCAGAACCCCCAGCATCACCAAAACAAACAGGGTCCCTAACGCTGGCAGCGCACAGCCTTCATCCAGCTTACAAAACAGCCTTCCTGCTTACAGCAAAGCAAATATTGGAGAACGTTTCTCCATTGCGATCCATCCAATCTGCCTCCTGCAGAGCACTGCCACTCTGTAAATCTCCAGGCGTTATGGGAACCAGCGTATAAAAACATTCCTGGTGCAATGATGCCGGAGGCGATGCTGAAATTAGGCTGGGAACAGAACTGGCACGGCTGCTTCCAGTCCATGAACTGAAACCCATCGCCCACAAAGATGCAACCATGCACCTCTCTTCCTGCTTCATGTTCTGCTCAGTGTCACTGCCCAGAGCCGGGGATGGAATGACCCCTTGGACCAGTAGAACATGTAGCACATGTCCCTTTATTTCCCACTTCCTCCCCAAATGGGATGCGCCAATCCCATCTCATAGAATCACAAAATCATTTCAATTAGAAGGGACCCTTCAAGGTTATGTGGTCCAACTCCCCCTGCAACAAACAGGGACATCTACAGCTATTTCAAGAGCTTGGTCTCCACCAGTCAGGATCTCAAAAAATTTCCAGTCCAAGTAAATGCCACCTCTAGAACCCCCATATCCCCACACCCAGCTGTACCAAAAAGCCCCTGACTTACATTGTACAGAACTGTGGTCCACCCTTCCATGGTGATGCACTGGAAGACGGTCAGCACAGCGAAGAGGATGTTGTCGAACTGCGTGATCCCATCATTGGGACCGATCCACTCTCGGCACTCATAGCCCGGCGGACAACCCTGCACCCCGCAGGGGTGGGGAGGGTCCAGCTCCTCCAGCTCACCTGCGAGCACACAACATACCCAATGGAATGGGAGTGAGAGATGGGGAGAACCTGGAGGCAGATGGGCAATTGGGGGATGCAACTGCACGCAACTGAGGGACGCCCGCAGTGTATAATGCAAAATGCACGTCACAGCCCCTGGTGGTCAAGGAATCAGCATGTGGATGGCAGAGCATGGTGCCCAAGCCAGGATGCAGGGTGCCTCCCTCACCTGAATTGTTTGTGTAGCAGGCTCGGTGCAGTTTCCCACTGTAAAACTCCAGGCCGATGATGGCAAACATGAGAATAGCAAAAAAGAGCAGCAAGCCGATCTGGAGGAGAGGCACCATGGCCTTCATGATGGATTTCAGCACAATCTGAAGGCCTGGAAGAGAAAAGAGTGAGTTCAGCTCAGCAGCCCCTACCCAGGATACATGCACCCTGTAGGCAGCGGGACAGCTCCTGGTGCATCCATCACCTCCTAACACAATATCCCAAGACAAGCACCCCAGTTCCCATCATGCCAACAGCCAGTAGGGCAGGGGAAGCTCCCCAGCACCATACAGACATCTTCTGGACTAATCCCCACCATCCAGCATGCACGCACCATGCCTCTCATGCTGCCTGAGCTACAGATCCCATACACCACATGTTGGGTGCCCAGGGAGGGGAGGGAAGCTCAGCCACAGTAGCAGCCTGGTTTCTTTATTTATCTCCATTCCTGCAGAGGAAATCTTGACAAAAAAGAAAGAAATATCCCCTGGAAGGATCCACCCACTACCTTCTGGTCATGGAGCTGAGCCCTACAGCAGGATGCACCCTTTGCATTTGGGTTGAAGGAGAAGACGCGCCACCAGGGAGCTTTTCCTCCCCTCCAATTTCCACACCACGTCACCAAGGTGGCACGAGGTCTCCTTGCAACGTGAGGAAGATGGGAAGAAGAGGAGAACTGGGAGCACCCAACTTACTGGGAATGCCCGAGACGAGCTTCAGAGGCCTGAGCACACGCACAGCCCGCAGGGTGCGCAGGTCCACGTGCGTGTTGAAGTGTGTTCCAGCGGTGGCAAGGATGCTGCAGACAGACATGACGAGAGCATGGTTACAGCCCCATAGTGCAGGGCTGGGTGCTGAGAACCTGGTTTCCATCCAATGAAGCAGTCCCCACCAGCAGGGCCCGGTGTGGGTACTCTTGACACCTCCCCTAAGCCCACGTGCCATCAGGCTTCAGAAGATGGGACCCATGGCCGAGTCTTGACCCCAAGCTCACGTGGAGCCATCAGCTGCATCAACTCCTTCAACATGTGGTGTTTCCTTAGGGAATGAGCCGAGAGCCTCGCACGCATTCAAAAAATATACAGTAATGAAAATTTGATGCCCTTGGAAAGCACAGGAAGGACTCCAGTATTTGCTTTTAAAACACAAAGATTTCTCAAGCTGATCTCGGGAAAACAAACTGGGACAGAGGGGAGCCAGTACACTGAGAGTCTGGCAGTGCCCAAGGTGCCCATAGTGAGAGGGGAGTGGGGGAACTGGTGACACTGAGAGCACAGAGCGTGTCACCAGGTCTGCTGGCCTGTCCCACGTGGGCTGAGCGAGGAAGAGGAGGACGAGGGCTGCATGGTGGAACCAGGGATAGGGAGGAGAGGGGGACAGAGGGTGGCAGCAACCTCAGGGATGTTTGCAGCAATCCAAAAAACTGAGGGAAATTGGGTCATTGTTCCACTAATTCATCTAATTGCAGGCCAGAGTGGCTCTCTGGCACACAGAGCAATTAGCACAAGTTCCCTGCCGTGCTCCCCGAGGTACGTAGGTCCCAGCCCCCCCAAAAGGTAGCTTGGTTTCCTAGGATATCCGGCACCACAATGCAAGCAGGTTGGTACCGCCCGCTTCCCAACCCTCCTCTTCCTCCTTGCTGGTTTACCAGGCTGCTTGCAGAAGGGATGGGCAGCAAACCTGTCCCAGCATCACTCTGACATCACCTACAGCCCCAGTGCACCGACCTGCTCATCCATGGTGCATCCCCATGGGGACCAGCTCTCACACCCTTGGTGGCATACAGCACCAAGCATCTCCCTGCTCCCAGCAGTGGTCAGACACCCCAGCTCTCTGGAAGCAGACCCAGTGAGGAGCCAAGCACCCAGGCTGCAAAGTCCTCTGCTAACCCAGATTCATCTGAAAGGCTCAGGAGCATTGGTGAGGAGCCTCCAGGCAAGGTTCACGCAATTTCAGGGCGAGCCTCCACCACGCTCCAAATTAGCTGCTAAGAATGGGACTCCTCTGTGGCAAGGTGACATGCTCCTTGTCCTCATGGGGGGACAAGGGACATCACGAGCTGTGTCACGGAGGGGGTGGGTCAGAAAAATCACCAAGCACAGCAGTGCCACTGCTGATGCTTCTCTTGACCGAAGGTGTCTGTGCATCCCTCCTGCTCAGCATCCCAGGGCATCCACGCAGCCTAGAGCAGGGTCTCAGCAGCATAGGACTAAATTTAGATCATTTGAGGTGCTGGAAAAAGCAAGCAAGCGTGCAGGCACGCGAGCCTGGTTTCTGTCTGCTTTCTCCAAGCCCTTCAGTCTGTAATAAAAGACATCGCCTCTCCTTGATAGCTTCTCCTGTATACCCAAAACCTCCTGCTCTGGATGTCTCACTCAACATCTGTTAATTGCTCGTTAACCCTTACATGAACCTTTTTGGTGGCATGACCCACATGGCACAGTGCGACCCACTTCTGCTCCACTTTGCTTTCACCACTTGCTGCTCACCTCCCCAGGCCAAATTGCTCAGACCTGGCTCTGAAACCACACAGGGAAGCCCGTGCCATGCTGGTTTTGCAGCCTTTCTTTCCCTTTTTAAAACTGCCACCAGAACTTTAAAAGCTTCATCACCTACAATAAACCAAAGTGAAATTGGAAGCAAGAGTTAGAAGCCAAAAGGCAAAAAAAGCAAGGGAGAAAACCACGGCATCACCAAGCCTGCTGGGGAGCATCACCCCAGGGTTGGGCAGCAGCAACAACAAGCACATTGGCACACATTGAAAACCCCCTTGAGGATGGGATGGAGTTCAGTGTTTGTGCAGGACTGCAGATCTGCTATCTGCAGAACAATTGAAGCCCTCTCCAACACTTACAATATCCACGTCTGATGTACTAATAATTATTCTTTATTTTTAGGCAAGGACCCAAACTAAAATTACATCTCACCATCCAAGTTATCTGAAAAAAGCTGCCAGATTGGGCTATAAAAATCCCAATGATCTCATGCTTTTCATCATATGTACCAGAGAAAAAAAGGAAAAAAAAAGTGAAGGCGTTTTTATAGGTCACCTAGGCAAAGGGGCGAGCTCTGCTTCTTCGGAATAAAAGGGAGAAGAGAGACTTCAGGTGGAGAAAGGAGCAGAGAGGATCTATTGGAAGAATGCAAATGAGAGAGGAGGCAGGGTGGGAAATATATGCTAATCCGCAAAGTATAATTGAATAGTGAGCAATCAGCAGCAGACAAAAACACACTTTGGAGAAAAAAAAAATATATTAGAAAAGAAAATCCGATGCTTTGTGTTTGCAACCTGGGCGGTTATTTTGTTTTATTTATCTGCAGCCCCTGCAGCAAGAGATGAGACCCTGAGGCACTGTGCAGCGGTGGGGAAACCATCTCCAAGCTCAGTGGTGATCAATGTGATGTGCATTGGGTATGGCACAAGTCACGTCCCGTGGTCACACTCCCACAAAACCATTCTGATGCACCCGGCTCTGCATCATCACCCTAGCATGAACCTCAGCACTGGGGACCACCGGGCCATGCTTTCTAGCAGGGAGCCCAAGCAAATGCTGACCTCTCAAAATATTTGGATTCAGCATCCCCCAATGGTTCCACGCAGGGGTGAGGTGGCAGAGAGCTGTCCCAGCAAGGGGATGAGGGAGCCACCGGTGCAGCCAGACAAATCCCAGCTCCGAATCCGGGCCAGGCAGGGTGCTGGCTGGCACACAAATTAATATTTATAATTAAGTGGAAAGGCCCCTCAAGGCCTGAACCGCCACCTGACTCTATGAGGGAGACGAGTGCATAATTAATAGACTGGTCAAACAGCTCACAGGAAGGGACCTGATGGATTTACCCCATTCTTCCCCTTTCTGGCTGGTGAACCAACCCCTCCTCTGCAGAGATTGCTGTGATTAGCACCGGTTACACCCAGACAGATGCACTCAGCAGCCCAGCCCTGGGGATGCTGTGCAACCTGAAAGCCTCTGTCCTTTTTTTCCACGCTCTTTCTAGGTTTTGGGGCCACGACACAAGTGGATTGTGAGGCTGCAGAGCTGCGGGTCCCATCTCAGATGGCACCAAAACAGTGCTTTGCTCCAGGAAACCCTAAGCTGAAAGCGATGGGAGCATTAGGGTGACCACTAGGGTTCCTCAGCTGGCCCTGCAGCAAAATGGGGGATGCCTGTGTTCCCAAACCCATAGCACAGCTCTGCCTACACAGGGCCCCCCCAAAGCCCTCCGGCTCTAACACATCCCTGACGCTTGCAGTCTGCCCTTTGTGCAAGGTGCCGGTGGAAGGCACGTCCTGTTGCCATGGCATATGGCCCATGAATCATTCACAGAGCTCAGGAATCAATTATTCATCCAAACGAAAGACCAAACACTTTACTAATTGTCCTGGAAGGGAAGAGCTGGGGACGGGAGACGGGGAATCACTGTGCTGGAGACTGGCTAAAGACTAAAGGAAAAAGGGAAGATGACCAAGGCGAGCAGCCCGAAATCCCATTCCCTGTGCAGACAGATGACATCTAAGCCATTCTGCTAGCCCATTCTTGTGGCGTTAGGGCTCCTTCCAGTCTGTTCCAGGCTGCATTTTGATCATAGGTTTTTATTCCTTACACTAACAGCAGAACCACTCCATGTGCAGGGAGGTGATGCTCCATCACCAGTTCATCTAGCTCCAACCTCTCCCTCCCAGGGCTGCATGTAAAGAACTGACCACGGTCCACTTCAGGACCAGGACACACTGCACCAAGCAGGTTCCAAGCCCAGCTTCAAAGCATATGAGGTGAGCATCCCCAGGGTAACACGTGCCATCTCTATCTCAGTTCTGCTCCACAATGCATGAAGGTACCTTATGCACGTTTTCTGAGAAAAATATATTTGGCTGGGGGAGAACGGGCTGTTTTTCAGGCAGCTGAATGATTTAGAAGCCATAGGTTACAAATGGAGTGGGTTTACAAATGTGCCTATTAGTTCCCCAGTGGAAGCTTTAGCATTAGGGAGTTTGGGGTGGGCGTTGATTTCCACCGAGATGAGAAATCTGGGTTTATTGACATAAGAAGCAAACACCAGTTGAACCTGCACTGGTGCCATCTGCTCCCTCATGGGGTCCCAGGAGGCCACTCATGTTATCAGCCCCTCGTTAGGCTAATTTGTGCCTGCTGCCCACAGACACCCGAACACAGTGCCCGGGCCACAGTGCCGCCTGCCTAAAGCACCCCTCTGATTTACGAAGCTAAATGAATGCTAAAAGAAAGAGCACCCAATGTCATCTGCACAGGGACAGCGATGTTGGTCCACTGGGATGCACACCACTCCCATGGATGCCCTCTGTGTTGCATCACCATCCCAAATCACTCGGCGCATCCTGAGGACACTCACAACACCCCCTGCACCCCAGGCATCTCCGTGCATCCCAAAGACATCTGGCCAGACCTAACCATCAAGTTCTAGTCTGCAGAGGCGCTCACAAGGCCCGGTGCAGCACTCCAACATTGCCACCCGCCCATCACAGCACGTGCCCCTCCCACGGTTGCCTGCGAGCCGCTTTGCAGCCCGGCATCGCTCACTGCAGAAAGCCACGGATAACTCAGAACACCCAACGCACGCACTGGTTTATCTTGCAGGGAGGCAAGCTGTCACTGTCACACGCACACCTCTCCGAGCGAGAGCTGCACAGGCGATTCTGGGAGGGGTTTCCATCTGCCTGAGCAAAAAGCAGGACGTAAGAGGACAAAGTGGTGAAGCTGACTCTCTGTGCCCCCATAAGCGCGCTGTGGACGGCACCTGTGGGCACAGCAGCAGCCTTACACAGCCGCTTGGTCCACTGGCACTGGGCCCAGTGCAGGCAGGAGCTGGCGATGCCAGCGGGTGAGTAATTGCTGAGCGCTGACTCAGCACAGGCTGGGCTGCAGCCGGCTCACCCCAATCCGCCGGAGAGGCTCACGGTGGAGCTCCCAGCTCAAACATGGCATTTCCCCTTGGCTGAGCCCCAAAGAGTGCTCAGGCCAGCCGGCAGCCCATGGGCATTTCCAGCCAGCCTGGGCTCATTCCCCAGTCCCTGCATCACCCTAGAGATGCCACCAGGACAACCAATCCTTCCAACCAGGACATCTCCAACAAGCACACCCCTGACACATGCCATGCCATGCCACTGTGGGCACACAACACCCATCACCACGTCCCAAGCACCAGGCTCAGTGTCCACCTTCCTCCAACAAACCGGTGCCACATCCCACGTGGTGCCACTGTGCAGGAGCTTGCATACCAGGAGATGGGACTGCAGCCAACAGCTCTGCGAGGACCCCAGATACCTGAGGTTCCCATGCCTCATTTTCCCTGAGCCACTTCTGCTCAAGCCACCATCAGTGAGTGCAAACCCAACAAACAATATCTGCTCATTTTTTTTTTGTGTCACCAGCACAGCTCATCATATCTGAAGCAAGAGTTGAATCTGGGCCACAATCCCAGCAGGTGACACAAGCAGTGACAACCAGCACCTGGCACAGTTCATACACTGCCACCCCCAGCACGGATCCCAAGTGCTGAGCCAGTGTCACCTGGAGCTGCAGCCCCACCAGGACCCTGGGTCTAACTAACACCTGACAACACCCACCTCACTCCATGACCAGGCCACCAGCTGAGAAAAGCTGGACGTGATGCCTTCAGAGCTTGCTCGACAGGGAACTACATCCCATTATGGGAATCCGTCCTCCCTTCCCTCAATTTGGTAGAAAAACAGCACCACAAAATGGCAAAACATGGCTGCACCGTGTCCTGGAGTTCGGTGTCACCACCAGGACAAGCCCTGTGCCCATGCTCCGATGCCCCCTGACTCACCCACTGAGGACCACGATGAAGTCCATGACGTTCCAGCCATTGCGCAGGTATGAGCCCTTGTGGAAAACAAAGCCCAGAGCCACGATCTTAATCCCAGCCTCAAAGCAGAAAATCCCAATGAAGTATGGCTCCGTTTTCTCCTGCAGAAAGCAATCAGGGGCACAGTGAGAGGGCACAGGGCACACATCACCAAGCATCTCACAACAGAGCAGCTTCACCTTGCATCAACCCCATTCCATGTCCCATCCCACCTTCCTCATCTAGGAGCTTCCCCAGCCCTTCCTCAGACATCATCAATTTGGAGGCCAGAAATGCAGAGCTGCGACTTACTTCAGTGCCACTTTTTAGGGTTTTTAAACCTTTCCGGACCCACCCATCACAAAGGCTGCTAGAGTTCCCTCCTGACCTACCACCCCAAAATGAGCAGAAATCATGTGTTGGGAAAGGGGCCCCGATAAGGATGCTCACCAGTCTCCGTGACATGGGTGTCTTGTCGTCCTCTGGGAGGTGCTGCTCCAGGGCCAGCACGATGCAGTTGGCAATGATGGTTGCCAGGATCATATACTCAAAGGGAGTGGGAGAAGTCAAGGAGAAGTAGAATGGAGCTGCCAGCCCCCCAAGCTCCCCCGTAGCTACCCCATTTTCCCCTATAGCTCTGTTGGGATGGCGCTTGCGGTGGGTGCCCAGGGGATGCATGTGAGCGTGGAGGTGGGTAGCTGTGATCAGGCTGGGCTTCATCTGAGAGAGAATTTGGGGTTGTGCACTGTTAGAGTTGTGCACTGTAGAGCCAGGCATGACACCAAGCTGAGCACCTGCCATGGAAGCTCCCAGCTTGGCCACCCATCAGAAAGGAAGGGAAGGGCAGAATCACCGCAGGGAAGCACGCAGACCAAATCCTTGTGGTTTCCAGCAGTGACCATCCACCAACCACCAAACACCTCCAGCACCTTGCCAAAACCCTGTGGCCACATCACTACTGTCACGGCACTGTCCAGGAGAGCTGCCAGGGGCAGGCAGCCCGGCTCACCGGAGCTGGGATGTGTTTAGGGATACGAGCCAGAGTGGCTTCAGCCAAAACATTTGAAAGGCCACTCAGGGAAATTAATGGTTGATAAGTTAAAAACACACCAGGAGAGATCTCTGCAGCACGCAGGTTCCACGCAGAAGATCCAGAGCATCTCCTCACATTCAGCCAGTGCTGGAAAACTTTCCCCTCAAGGCTTCCTACCAGCAAGGATTCTATTGCCTCCTTTCCCTGCTCCCTATCCACAAACTTCAGCTAACACAGAGGACACAGCACTCGACCACAAGCTGTCAGCCTATTTGGTGTCTGTTATTTCATTTTCCTGAAAGTGTGTGAGCAATTAGCACAGCTTCCAAGGAGCCAGCATTTTGGAGGGGCAGCTGCACTGGGCACACGTGTCAAGATAAGAAGGCAGGCAACAGCGTGGTCAGACCTTAAGAGCACCCTGAGCTCCTCAACAAAGGCATTTACCACTGCTGCCTCCTCCTTCCTGCAGTGTCCTCACCTATGGGGGAAACACCTCACATTTTCCCACCCCACAACACTATGGGGTCCACTCTAAACATAGGGTCCACACTAACTGTGGGGTGTGAGGTGAGAAAAGCCTCCCCCCGGGGGCTGCAGAAACATCTGCCCAAACGATGGGGACATTCATCCGCACACATCCCAGTGTCCTCCCAGCTCAGGGCCAGGTGCTGCTCTCAGAGCCTTTCCTCTCTCATTAGGTGTCTAATTGCCAACCTCCCAGCCCCCCAGATCGCAGCACAGCGCTCGCCTCCCTGAGAGGCTGGTAATAAAAACCCATCTCTCTCCAGCCTTCTCCTCCTCCTTCGTCTGGCTTCTCCGGGCAGATCATTAGGGAGCCGATAAAAATAGGTTTTCTTATTGATTTATCTCCTTTCCCCATGCCCTCGCCCCTGAGCAACTGACTGGTTTCCTTAGCAAGTCTGCTAATCCCCAGGCACACTTTGCAGCCCAATTCCCATCCAGGGTGGAGAAGGGTCCCTGAGGCTACAGTATCCCCAGACAACGTCACCACAACCATCATCGTGAAGGCAGACGTGCAATGGTGATGGAGATGCCAAACTTGCCTCTCTTCCCCACCCAGGAGATATTGCTCATGAGGAGAGCATGAAGATGGATTTGCAATGCTAGTAGCCCAGCAGTGCGACCTCACCAGGTGGTTGGACCTCACCAAGTGTAAGGATGAATCCATCCCTGGGCCTGGGTGAGGTGTGGGAGCCGCAGGGAACCCTCCTCACCCCCTGGCCCAGCAGCAGCCTAGTGCTCACGCCTCACCCAGCTTTCAGGTAGGAAGGTGTGGAAGGAGCAGAAGAAAAAGATGGAAGCCACCTGAGCATCTCCAAAGGGCAGGAGTGGTTCCACCTTGCTCAGCCCCAACATCTCCTACAGCCTCCATTCTCCACCCATCCCCACGTCTCTCCCGGGACCTGCTGCACTGCAGGCATTTCCACGCTCCCATGTGTGAATGTGATGGATCTTCACCTCCTACACCGCTGGGCTTCGCCTTGCTGCTCCCAAGCCACTGTCCACACACCAACACAGACCTTCTCCTGCCCCACGTGCCCATCTCTCAGCTCCACACCCAGCAGGAGGCATTCAAACAGAGCAAGCACCACAACTGCTCCTCATTCAGCACCAGGTCCCCCAGCCCTGCTGCCTTTGTCCCCAAGGACACAAGCCCCATCCAGAGCAGAGCTGCCCGCAGCGACGTGGGCGCAGGCACTGCCTACCACGTGCAAGCAGCGCCAGGGAGAAGTGCTCTCCTGAAAACTGGAAACCAGATCTCTCTCTTTTTTTTTTTTTTTTTTTCACCCCCTCCCTTTTTTTTTTTTTTTTAAACAAAAAAGAACCGCATCATGTGATTCTCCTGCCTTAACATCAGTTTTTTAACTTTGGTTGCCACGGCAACAGGATGCAACTTGGCGTCACCATGACAACAGCTGCCTCTGTTTAAATTCACCATCTGACAGGCAGCCTCTCTTTCCCTGGCTGTCAGAAAGATGGACCTGCCATTACACCTACTCGCCCCTCCCCAAAGAAAACATTTTAAGAAATCCGATGAATGAAGGGCACAGAAAGCAGCCTCGGGTGATGGAGGGGAGATGCTCCTGGGTAGCACAGCGTGGTGATGCTCTTCCTGCAGGGTGCGAGCAAAGGGGACAAAGAGGCTGCGGTGTCCCCAGGTGACACTCACCGCCCAGCCGGGGACACCCACTCATCCCAAATCACTGCCATGTGGGGTGCACCAAAGCATGGATCCCTTGTGGGATGAGGCAGCAACGGGCACTGGGATGCGGTGACACAGCTGTCACTGGCTGCAGTGGAAAGCCACGGGCACAGGGAGGTCACCTGGGATGCAGGGGAGGCTTTGAGGACGGCGTGCTGGGGATGAGCCAGCAGCACCCCATGTCATCTGGTCCTTCTGGGGAGGGAGAAGGATCGTGTCAAATGCGATTAAGTGGATGAAGGACGGAGCAGATAGAGCAGAGCTGCAGCCCATCTTGTGCACTAACTGAATTGCAGCTTCCCAGGCAGTGAACAAATGAAATCAGGGCTCAAGACCTGGCCATCAGTGGGAGCAGTGGGGCTGTGTTTCAGGAGGAAAGGAGAAGCAAAGGGAAGAGGAGATGTTCCTGCAGCCGAGCCAGAGGCTGCCTTCTGTTTGGAAGCACCAGCACCCAAAAAGAGCAGCTCCAGAAGAGGTAGCAAAGCTCTCAGCGAAGGCTCTCCCCGTGGAGCCAAATCCTGAGCCCTGTTCCTTGTGTTTCTCCTCCTTCCCCTCCATGCATCATCCCTATTTACACTGGGAAGCCAAATTGCAGAGGCTGCTGGTTATAATTATACAGTTACCCAGCAGATATCCAGGCCTGAATCACCCGTTATTTTTAGCCCTATTACCTAGTCAACTGGAGCTGGGTGAAGAAGAGCCTTCACCCTCCCCTCGCCCCATCCCAGCCCCCTCCGACCCATGAGCCCAGCCCTCTCAAGTGCAACACTGGGCTGCAGGCTACAGCCAGGTGCTCACATCCCATGGCCCTGATGCACCAGTTTCAAGAGGAGAGCAACTTTCTTGGCCAATGACACTGACAACAGCATGACCACACTGCTTCCACACAAGGAGACCTCGCTATAAGGTTAGCACAGCCCAAAGCTACACTGATGCTAGCACGACATTTGGGGCATCATGGTGTAGCACAAGTTGAGGTGGCACTGAGGTCCTCTCCACCAAATGAAGCTCAGCCTCATGCAAGGCTTACAAGAGGTCATTCCACTTGACCCAGCATATACATCCAAAGGTCCCTCTTTTCCAGCCTATCACTCAGTGGGCACAAACTCATCACCAAAAAGCTTTGCCTGTAGCCAAGCCCTCAAAAGCTCAATACACAACAAGCCCCGAGGTGGGAGAATTTCCTGGAAAGAGATGGCAGCCACGTATGGCACGGCAACCAAGAGGCAGCTCCCACTCCACACACTTGCCTAAGGATGTGTCCTTTCTTTTGGGGGAAAAAAATTAAAATAAATCAATGAACGAGCCCATCTGCTTCCTGCAGTGCAAGTCTTAGGGAGGAATAACACCGTGGGGATGCTGCAGCACGGTGGCCGTGCACCAGCTGGTGGGTGAGCATGGCATTGGCATGGGACCCCAGCCCATAGCCCCGCTCAGAGCAACAGCCAAGCAGCGGGAGCCCTCCCACATCATGCTGGGAAAGCACATGAATAATTTGGCATATTCTGGAAAACAAGACCCGGCGGCCCAGCGAGCGCCCTGCAGTGCTCTGAGTGCAGCTGCTGCCTTGCTGATGCTCTGCACCCAACGCAGGGCTGGGCATGGCACGGCAGGGATTCGGCAAAGCTGTCCCCATCCCACCATGCCTTGCACCCCTATGGCACAGCTGGACCCCCAACAGGCCCTGGGGGTGAACCCAGAGGTTGCAGTGCACCGGTACACAGGGTTATACCCCCAGCAAGGCTTAGAGTGGGGTAGTAGACCCATGGGTGTCCCCAGGGCACCTGTTGCACTGAGTCACCCTATATCTGCCGGACACCTCCATCTCACACCCAAGGAGCCAGCAAGTTACCCAACAAGTTGCAAGGAGAGGAAGCAACGGCGAGAGCTGCACATAATCACCACTGCAGAGAGCACTACAGGGAGGGTCCTGGAGCCAAAGCATGGCCACGGGGAAGTTTGTGGGTTTGGGAGGGGAGTGGGGTGCTGAGCAGAGGTGTGATGGAGAGGGGCATGCAGCAGGGCTAGGTACCAAGCACAGTTCCCAGGACACCTGCAGGGAAGGTGGAAGGGGAGAGAAATGCATGGGGGTGCAAAAGGATGGGGGAGCAGGGGAAGAAGTGGGAGATTCATGCCCTCTGTCTGGTGTATACCTGGGGTAATCCCTGGAGAGCTGCAGCAGGAGGCAGGCAAAGGGGGTCAGCACCTCTGTGCAGCACAGGGAGGGAGCATCTCACTTCCAGAGGGTGGGATGAAGCTGCAGGGTGATGGCAGCCGTGCTCGTGCCCAGCATGCCAGGCTGCACAGGGATCTGTCCCCAGCAGGATGGGGGCTCCGGGTAGGGAAGTAGAACCCCCACCAGCCACACACGTCCTAAAGCCAAAATGGATCAGAGAGCCCCTGGACAGCACAGGGGTGATCCAAAGCCTCAAGAGGCTGGGGTCAGCTGGGGGGGGGGGGGGGGGGGGGGGGGGGGAGGGCGGGATGGGGCGGACCGATCCCTGTGCAGCCTGGCATGCTGGGC